TAACTGATCAAAGATAAATTGCAAAAATAAAAATACAACACCCAATTCCCAAGAAAATTGATCCACGCTGCTCTCTCTCTCCAATTCTCTCAATGACATCTTTATTTAAAAAGCTGCTTTTGAACTGCAGATTATCAGATTATTTTCCTTGGCAACCACGTATTAATTTCTGGGCAGGAAGAATTTGAGATCAATGCCTTGACAATCAGATGTCAAATTCAGTTAAAATTCCATCCACGCAATTCAAGTCAGGGGTCACATTTCAACATTATCGTTTCTATAATAAACCTGACTGTGTATATCATGGGGACTGGTTCACATCAACAGGGCAAAATACAGGAGAGGGAATGAAGTGACAGAGATTGCTAACAGAGACGAGTTTTCAAATTTATTGGAAACCTTTGATCTAAGGCCTAGTTTTATGAAACCGGGGGTGCAATAACGATGCCAGTAGGGAACAACTGGGTTGCCCCTCTGCCCTACCCTTTAAAGCTTTGGTTTTCAATAAACAAGGAGGTGAAGACAAAACTGCAGGTAAGGAAAAAAGCATTGGAAAAGTGCCGAATAGGTAACGGAGAGGAAAATAGGAGTCAGTACAGCATTCTTAGGAAAGCGGTTTAAAAAAACGATTAGGAGGGCAAAGAGGAACAATGAGGAGAGTGTAGCAAAAAATATAAAAAGAAACAGCAAAGTGTTCTATAGGTAGGCAAGTAAGTTATCAATAAAATAATGATTAAAGTAGGGATAGGACCATTAAGGGCAGAAGGGGGTAAAGTCACAGTAGATAATAAGACAGGAATACTAAATGAATATTTTGCTTCAGTTTTCACAAAGGAAACTAATAAGGAAAATTTAGTAAGAACAGAAGGGCCAGGTATAAAATCACACAGTTAAGATACGAAGAAGGGAGGTTTTAAATAAATTACACAAGAGGACAAGGCACCTGGCTCAGATTGACTGCACGCAATGATCCTTAGGGAAATTAGTGAGGAGATAGCTGATGCTCTAGTATATATACGTAAAAACTCTGTAGAGAAAGGAATCAGACCAGAGGACTGGACAATGGCCAACGTAATACCCATTTTTAGAGCTGATCCAGGAAACCGCAGCTTATCAACAGCTGTGGGCAAGGTATTAGAATCTATAATAAAAGATGAAGTAACTAGTCACCCGGAAAAGGAGAATATAATTAGGAATAGATTTACGGATTTTTGAAAGGAAGGTCATGCTTGACCTACCTCATCAAATTCTTTGAAGATGTAACCGACAAAGTAGATAAGGGACATACAGTGGATGTATTGTATCTGGATTTCCAGAAGGCCTCTGATAAAGTGCCACATGAGAGGCTCATGACTAAAATATGGGTATGTGGATGTTATGGGAGAGGCAGCAGAATGGATTAAAGAATGGTTAGGAAACTGAAAGCAAAGTATAGGAGTGAAGGGAATCCTGTCTGATTTTTCCCTACCAAACCCTCCCTGAGCCAATTGCAGCACCTCAACTGAGATCAGGTAACTTGCCAGGGAACTGAATTCTAACCAATCTGGATGCTTAATCTACTTACAAGTCACAAATTGGACTCATTTTTAAAAAAAGCAGCTTTATGCCTCTGCAACAGAAGAACGGTATTGTGAAAGAATAAGACCAAATGGGCCAAATGGCTTTCCTCACCCAAATCTCTCAAATTATTTTGTGATTGTATAACCATGTTAAGCCATCTCCATTTAATCACTCCTGATGTCTCTAATTCCTCTGGCTCTCTTGTTTAGGCTGCCTGTAACGGCACAACATATTTTTTTCACTGCAATGAATTATAGAAAATGTTGCAATTGTGAACTTTCTGATTCCACTTAAACAGGATCCCCAATGTACCGTTTTCCTACAGGAGAACTACAGGTTTAAAACCACTAACGCTCTTTGAAGCACCAATTCCCTTCTAGCATTTCGCTTGCTCAATGAAAATTATTTCTGATGTTGATAATTGCCACTGACCTGCAACAGATTTCAACGATTCATTACCAGCCTTTTGTCACGAGACAACGACTCAGTGTGTGCTGCTGGTTGGAAATACACAGCAATCAGTCCTTTACATTTGTGAACAAAAAGCAAAATATTTCAGATGCTGGAAATCTGAAACAAAAGCAGAACACTCCGCAGATCAGGCAGAGTCTATGGAGAAACACTCAACAGATCAGGCGGAGTCTATGTAGAAAGGAAAGTGAGTCAACGTTTCGGGTTCATGACCCTTAGCTTTACATTGGTGAGCTTTCTCTCAGGAGAAAATTCCATGGTCAATAAAACACAGAAAAATATAATTGTGCTCAACCTTGCACCAAAGTCAAAATGGAATAAGTCCATTTTACATCTAACACACATGTTTGTTACACTTCAGTCTTGAGACATTATTGGAAAACATTTTGTTTACCCAACCATGGCATTAGGTCAGAATAACATAAAGCGAGTGAAGCGTTAAATTTCAAACTGAATTAAACCCAGTCCTGAAATGTAACATGGAGACAAATGCCCTCATTTGCCTCACAGTGCTTAGCCCAGGAAGGCAGGGGTGCTGCAGGTTAAATGAAGTCCCATATCCTCGAGTGACATTGAGACCCAGCTGAAGAAGTAGTAGTAATAGTGCTGGAGCATTAAAATATAAATGCTGCCCTGGAGATGCAAGCTACCAAGTTTACTGGAAGGGCAAACTAGCCAGTTTGCTGAGTACTCAGCCTGTCTAAATAATCCAGTAATAATAATCCTTGCATTTGATGTAGTGCCGAATCACGTCTTCGAGATGTCTCAAAGCGCTTCACAGGATATACTGTAAAGTGAATTGATGGAATTTACCGATTGAAAAGGTGCACAAACATTTGCCAGCCTTTGGGTAAGATCTAACAACCAAAACACACAGCACAAAACAATTTCTAAGTCAGCCATTCAGAGTTATATGAAACTTGCTGCTAGTGATGGGGGAATTATCCTATCATGTAAAGAACATGGGTCAGCTGCACAAGGAGCTCAGGCTGTTACAGATCCCCTCCTACTGGAAGCAATTCAGTAATATATACAAAAATAATTGAGATCTGTCACCAAAGACCACCAATGTAGATTCTTGACTGGTTGAGGAGGGAAGAGGAAAGGAGAAACTCTCCTTGTTTCATCTTAAAGAATTAGACTGTATATAATACAAAACTACTAACTCATTTACTCATAATACCTGTGGCCCGGCTTTTGCTTCAATCCACATGAAAGATCTGAATTTGTATACATCAATATAATAAATATGTGGGGTTTGCTTTCATGAACACAATTATATTCTGCCCTCTGCTGGATGTACTTTGTGCTCTCAGTAATACAGCAACTTACAACAATAGGTTATACTTGATTGCACCTTTCACAAGATCACACAAGAGGAAGGCCCTTTAGCCCATTTGACCTCATCCTTGTGAACATATTCCCAACACTTTCTCTGAAATAAGACCAGCATCCTGACCCTGATCACTCTGCCTGATAACCTGTTCTAGTCATTATTTTCCCTCCAGGTAAAGAAAACACTTCACAAGGTCTGTCTTGAAATTGCTCTTTGCAACCCTAAACTTGTGTCTTCTTGTTATGCTGTGTTGGTGTATCTGAAAGCGTTACTCAGATTTGATATAGTGCCTTATCATGTCTTCGAGAATCTCAAAGCACTTCACAGAATACACTTCACAGATGCAAAGTGAATTGACTGTAGTATTTTGTGGGTGAAACTAAATAAATAGAAGTCTATTCTTAAGAGTGAAGAACTGAAGCTTGTATAATTGGTGTTCATTGGTCATTCTTGTGACACTGGGGTTTATCCTTGTTGCTTTTCGTACTATCTCAAGGACCCGGGCAGCCCCATTACTTTACCGTGACAAGAAATGTATAAAGTATTCTAATGTGTTGTCTGACCAGATCTGTATACACATCGAATATGTGTTCTGGGAGTCTGAACTCAACTGATTTGACAATATAGCTCAACATCCTGTTGGCTTTGTTTATTGTTGCTCAATATTGTTTTGACAGGGTGAGCGACAAGTCAACTAATACCCCTAATTCTTTTTCAGTTTCTCCCTTGGCAAGTGCTATCCCATCCAAGGAGTACACGTTTCCTATTCATACTTCCTATACATAGTACTTTGCATTTATGTGTATTGAAATTCATTTGCTAGTATTCAACCTACGTGCATTCCCTATCAAGCTATTTTTGCAGATATTTGCAGCCTCCTCTGACTCCACAGTTCCCTCCACCTTGGTGTAATCTGAAAATGTAAGTATCGTACACTATGTCTGCAAATGCAGGCCATTAATGTATATAAGGAAAAAATTGGGTGCCAATACAAACCTTATTAATATCCTCACTATTTTGACCTCACTCCCTTAACAATGACCCTCTACTTCCTTCCTTCAGCCAATTTGGAATTCATATCCATGTCTTGTTCTTGATACCCAGTGACATGCTTTTGTGAAGGACTGTTTTTCATGTGGTACATTATCAAACACCTTCCACAAGTCTAGATCCACTGTGTCACAACTTCCCAGTGTCAATTTAGAATATCATCATCTTACAAAAGTCTATGAGGTTGATCAGACAAGATCTATTGCTTCTGAATGCATGTTGGCTGTCATTTATTTGATTGTTTCACTTAGGAATGTCGCAAAGCGATTCACAAAGGTTAACAGTAGCAGTTTCAGGGATAAATAAGTTGAACATTTTTCCATCAGTCTATACTTCTCAAAACATATCTTTACTACCTCTAATAACTCTGAATCATTTTAAATTTTAGAAACTATTTGGATGCAATTCAATCCAAAGCAGAGTAGTCTATTGGGATCAATTTTTGTACCAATATTTTAAATACAATACAATTTATATTTGCCTTTCATGTTGAGAGGACATCCCAAAGCACTTATAAATATTCAAGCAATGGAGACTAAAACAACATATTATTTAGCGCAGAGTGCAATAAACCATTCAGAGTCTACAGATTTTTTCAACTTCATATTTACCATTCATTCATCAATTTTACATAAGTAAAAAATATTAAATATTTTATGTTAACTCTTTTAATCTGCAGAGGTTCTCTTTGTAATGTAAATAGTTCTCTTCCATGTGATGTATTGTTTTATACAGTCCAGGCCAGGATGCTGCTGGACTGTTGAAACCTTGGAATTGTTAGACAGAAAAGAAGCATTGACAGATGACACAGGACTCATAAAAAGTGAAACTATTCGAATGATAACATGCATTTTCTTCTCGAATGACTATAAAAAAGTTGCTGGAAAACACAAAAAGGAAAATACAAAGACGCTACACATGGAACACACAAGCCACAAGATGCACAGAACTCAATTCCACCAAAAGGCACGTTGTTAACTGCAAGTCAAGCACGCACACAAGGATTCTCCCCTGAATCAGCCGCATTGCCGATAAAAGTAAAAGTAGTAATCTGTATAGAGTATCCCAGCGAAGTGTTGAGTAGTACTGCAGTCTGCCAGCCCCTGTGGAACATAGAATGCCGAATAGTTAAACAGATAAAGCTTTGACTCAGACTCATAGTTTCATTTCAACAAGAGCTGTAACGTAGTTCATTTTACATTTAGTACTGAAAAGCTGCACCAGAAATAAAATAGGTTTTAAAGTTAATTGCTTATGATCTTACCGGTGCGGCAGCACGGAAGTGGTATTTGCATTCATGGAGATGTGCAACAGACAGAATCCAAAAGTGCCAATATCCCTGCAAGAACATTTGCAAATCCAGCGGAAGGGGTTAAATAAAGTCTATAAAAGCGCAACAATTATTTGATATAAAATCTAACATAAATGGGAAAGTTTTCCCAATTAATGACCCGCTGCCTAATACTCTGTAATCTTGGAGAAGGAAAAGACTAAATACATTCAGGCTCTTTATTTAAATGCCACAGTGGAGCATTTAATATAATGTGTATCCACAAACTGAGAAATCTGAAACCAATAGGTGATGACGTAGACAGCAAATAAAACAACAATTTACATTTATTCAAGTTTAGAGGATACCTCAAAGCACTCACAAAGTGGGTACCCTAGCAGGGGGTGGGTGGGGAGCGGGGTTGCTGAGAAAACCTATGCACTTCCAATGCGGGGCTATTTTCCAGTGCTTATTACTCTGCAACAGATTGTCATTGGCATTATAACGTAACACAATGGTTAAGATTGTGTATTCCTCTGACATTTTTCCAGCTGAGTTTGGGCAGGTCAGCGGCTAACTGTTAAGAAGGTTTTCCAGGAAGAGTTACAGGGAGAGTTCCTGGTTGTGGACAGTCTGAGCAAGGGCTGTCCCCCAGGATAGGAGAGAAAATCAGCTGTCACGTTATTCAAGGCTCTTCTCTTTAAACACTCTGCCCACTTTCAGAGTGACGTTAGTAGCAATTTGAGAATGTATCCTCCCATTAGGCAACAATGCATGGCACAGGGATCCCAGAAAATAGGAGGGGCGAAGTTGGTGAGCGAGCAAAAGAGAGCGGTGGGTGGGGGGCGTGGCGGGGAGAAAGGGAATAAAATGACATAACTTTTGAGAATGCTCCTCTGCTGATATTTTGCACTGAATAATAATTAATCACAACTAGAAACATAGAAACAGGAGTACGGCATTCAGCCCCTCGAGCCTGTTGCGCCATTCTATAAATTCATACCTTAATTGTACCTCAAATCCAATTACCTGCCCTTGCCCCGTATCCCTTAATACCCTGACCTAACAAATATCTATCCACCTCAGTCTTGAAGATGCGAATGGATCCAGCATCCACAGCCTTTTGGGGGAGAGTGTTCCAGATTTATCGCACAGCTTTATGTAGCACTTTCTATACCAAGATGCATAGAACTCAATTCCACAAAAAGGCATGTCATTAAATATAAGCCAAGCACACACAAAAGGATTCTCCTCCAAACCAGCCGCGTCATCTACCGCGTGTTGCACTGAGCATCAGAATGACATTACCTGAGACATTTCCTGTGATGAGTCTCTTATGATGCTTGTACTTAGACATGTCTTCCCAGGGATTGTTGTGCACTTGTAAACAATCAAAGCTGCCTTAGTGCTGCAAAGTATAAAAATTCAATTTTCAGTGTTGCACTGTAATATTTTACTGTCAAACCATCACCAGTTTTGAAAACACTTCTTTGAATGCATTGTTCAAAAAACAATTTTACATTCTCCTAACTTTTATATCAGTTGCAATTATAATAGATCATCTATGAATGGAAATTATTTGGGTGTGGAATAAACCAGTTGCACTTCTTTCTTCAAAACTAATTTTCTTCTCCAGTGAAAGAGTTTAACTCCTTTTCCCTTTTGCTGGAGTACAGTTTCTAATGCATCAGCCATTCTCCAGAAATTCCCAAATCCTGCGATTATTCATGCATGACCCTTAAATGCAAGCTTACAGGATATTTGATTGTCTGCTTCTGATGTCCACACACATACCCAATGCAGGAGTCAGCAGATACGATTCAACAACAACAACTGGCATTTATATAACGGGATAGTATCTCCTAGACTGGAATTCAGGAGAGGAATTCCTGGCTTAGTTTCTCTTATGTAACTCGGGGTATTTAAGCCCAATTGTAGCACCTCCCCACCCAACCCTGCTAAAATAAGGTAGCTCACAGTAAACTTTCCTCTTGTCAATCGGTGAGGGGAATGAGGTGTGGGGACTCGTGTGGAGTGTAAACGCCAGCACGGACAACTTGGGTCAAATGGCCTGGTTTCAAGCCATATCACTCGTTGTAACTCAAGGAAACAACACAAATATTAAACACGGAGAAGTACATTGGTTTCCATGAACGAATTCTCTTAATGTGATGATTTTCTGGATAAGTGCCCGATTCCTGGTGTGGATTCATGCTCCCTTCACTTTGGTTTCAGCTATTCTCAAACCATTTGATTTATGGAGGCCCATATTACATTGTATCAGCATAAACAAGGAATATATCAATGTGTTTAGAATCCATTGTCCCCCCCACCCACCCCTCCAAAAAGCTCAGCAAAATAACACCTTGTTTAGAGAATACAAATGAACCAAATGCAAGATTCAGTTCCTGTTCTTACCTCAAACCATCAGGAATTTAGATCAATTGCATTTTCTTTTTTAAAAAAATCAAATTCAGGTACAGTTTATTTTTTAAGAATTCAAATTTGAATAGGGCAAGGTAAAAATTGACATCACAGTAGATACTGCTAAAACAGCTAAGATATGAGGTTTAAATAGCTGCTGAAAGGCAGAGAATATGGGGTCTGACAGAGGGCAATGTTCTCCATCAGTGCAATCACACCCTGGTATAGGCAGAGTACCTTCATGAATGGCAGTGGCTGCTTCCAAATGCTCAGAATCAGGTTGCAGCTCTTGTAAGTGTATCCATTTGCTGTAATATATTTGGTCTGACTGTTTGTGTGACTGCTTATTTTTCTTTCCCATTCTAAAAACAGGGGCCTTTTATTGCTCATGTTGTTATAAAATGCGACACGCAAACACTACACACAGACATCTTTCCTGTAACTTAATTCAGCATCTCAAGGTTCAAATACATTAGAGGCTTATTCTAAAACAGAATCAAACTCTAAAATTTACTTGCAATTTAACTGGCATTTTCCTGATCCTTTTTGTGCCATTATATATATATATACACTGTAATAATAATCCTTGCATTTGATATAGTGCCTTATCATGTTGTTGAGACATCTCAAAGTGCTTCACAGGATATAAAGCTAATTGACTGTAGGTCATGTGAGCCACTGAGCAGTGGGCAAACAAATTTACACATGAATTCATTTCTGATGTAATTCCAACAGAAGTTTATAGAAGTAGCGTTCACTGCCTTGTAGGTAATGTTCTTCAGCTGTGCTGAAACTGATTCAAATTAATAGAAAACATGTGTTTTTAAAAAAAATCTATGCAAGCCAGATACTTTTGGATTAATTTAATCAAGTAGACTTGATTTGGGTTGCTGAATAGGTAAAAATGTAATATTAAATCTGATTGAGATTAACCTAATCCCCTTTCTTATAGCTGTATGATTTGCAGCATCACTTCAAAAATGGGGGCGGGAAGCCTGAGCATTTATCCACTAAGAAGTCCTCCCACCAGGGGCTGAGGAAAGCTCTGCACTGGCTTGAATAAATGCACACACAGAGCTTCGCTAACTGATGCCACCTGCCAGTCCATTATTTTAACTCCATTTTATCACCTGGGAGAATAACTGACTCTCTCACATTAAAATCTTCCTAGGTAGCCCTCGAACTTTTAAGCTTACTTTAAGTTTAAGTTTGATTGTTTTTCAGAATAGTAGAATTGGTTTTCTTCTGCAGTTGATAGCACCGATTTGATTCCAAAAGCATTATCTGGAGATGGTTCAGGTGTAAACCAATGTCCCAGCAACCAGATTTATACAGTATACAGCTCTTACCCATTGAATGCAAGCCCATTGGTTGAGGCAGGTGTGTAATTTAATTTAATGTGCTGCTTTCTGGTATTAGTGCAGGTCTGTTTATTGGGAGTTTACAACATTAAGAAGTGAATAAGGTAAACGATTTTACTTGTTGTCACAAGATGGTTATCACTTAAAAGTTTTTGCCATACAACTGTACTTACCTGATTTGCAAAGTAATTCTCATATTCAGTGGAGTGTATTTGTTGATTGGAATTATGTAACTATAATTGCCATGCCTGAAGAATAAGGAAACAAATATTTTCAGTAGTAAAATAACAAGAGTTTATTAAAACAATAAAAGTTGAGGATACGAGCACTGGATATTACATTTATTCCGCAATTTTAAAAGCCATTATAAACAAGGGTGAATAAAGTCCGCTAAAAGTTGTGTTTGAACCTCAGTTATCCAGCCCTAATTTACTTGTACCACAGCAGTGATATAACTTTTAACAGGCACAACTAGGGGGTAAAGTTTGCAGCTTTTCATAATGCATTCCTTGTGTTACTAACTACATACTTTACTCCTACAGTGAACATGTAATTACAAAATCCAGTGCGGTATAATGATATTTCATTAAGCAGGGCCGCCTTGTTTAAGGGCTAGATGACTCCATGAGAACACTATGGTACAATATCAAGGCCTAATATAGATCCAAAATTGGCAATCAATTGTATGTAAACTATGGGTCAATTCTACAAATAATTGTGACACATAATCCTGACCCTCCCTATCATCGGTGGCCGGGCTTTCAGCCTCTCTGCTCCCACACTCTGGAACTCTATCCCACAGTCCCTTCGCCTCATTTCCTCCCATGCCTCCTTCAAGGCCGGTCTCAAGACCCTCCTTTTCAGTCGCCCTCCAACCTCTCTGCCTTCCCTCAACCCTCCCCCATGCTCGGGTCTTGACCCCTGACTGTCCAGAGCCTTGGGATGTCCTCCTGAAGTGAAAGGCACTCTACAAATGTAATTTTGTTGTTGTTGTTGTCTAGCATAGAATAACACAACTGATCACTTTCTGAGATTAAACTATAAATTAGAAAATTACTTTTCATATAATATCAATTGCAATTATAACCACTGATTTTCAAATGAACTAGTTTATAAGTATGTTCAAAGTAACTAACCCACTGTCATTGTTTTTCATGCAGTAACGCTGGTCGATAACTTGCTGACTTTCCATAATCTGTATTGATCTAACAGACGTATCAAACCCTATTGACACCAAAAAGAAATTAAAATCAGTGCAACCTCATTTAGATAATATTCTAATAAACCAAACCACTTGATCTCCTAAAACCCAAACAACTTACACAGCATTATGTTTCCATTGCAAGTCTGTGTTTCTAAATTTATACGACTCCCAACAGCTATACTTACGTAATAAAGTTGGATCTGAGAAAATCATTTCAGTTCATATATTGAAAAGTCATAATTAGCAGAGGAATATAACATAGAATTTTTATCATTCTTAAAGCAAGCTCCAAAAATACCCGAATAATAAGTCAATTTGTTATTCAAGGTCACAGTATAATAACTGTACTTACAGTCACTTTGTAATCTCGCCTTCATATTTGATATTTGTTTGTCTTTCTTCTCTGAAAGAGAATTTAATATCTTAATAGTTGCTTCCAAAATGAACGCAGTGAAACCCATGTATTAAATCCAGTTGCAGGTGGTGTTTATACAAGGATGACCTATTTTGTCATCCCAGCTACTTCATTGTCAATAATAAACAATAACAACCCTTGCAATTTGATATAGCCCCTTACACATTTGGGACATGAAAGTCCTTCATAGGTGTAATAACTGTATTTTGTCGGTGAACGATGTAGCCAATTTGCTCACAGCAAGGTTCCACAAACAGCCATGAAGTGAAGGCCAATTTTATCTGGGAGATTGTTGACCAGAACAACGGGAGAAACTATTTTCTCTTTTTGAATGGTGCCACAGGATCTTTTGTGGAGCATTGTAACCTGTCAACATCACACTGTTTATCATATTTGTAACAACCAAAATTGATCTTATCTAATCAGTAAAATTCCACAGTGCAGGCTATCAAATTGATGAAGGTGCTTTCCTTAAGTAAGGATTGCGTAACTAAGTGGGAAGGGCAGGGATAAGTAGTGTCAATGGCTTTTGATAGCCCAGTGACTGAAGAGATCGCTGTAATGCAACAGGAGTAGATGATGTTTTATCATATAGTGCACTTTGAAATGCATCAGCTGGTATTGCTCGTGAGAACCACTGCAATGAAATTGCAATTAAACACCTCCCATGAGTTATCCCCCCCCCCAGCAGAAAAAAGATCACAAATTACATTAGGAGCCAAAATATTTGGCCATGCAAAATCAACTACCACTCCTAAAGGCTTACCTTGCTGCAAAGCCTCTTGCCCTTCAATTGAAGGCTGACCTTCAATTATATTCAACTTCCTGTGGTGACTAGGAAGGGTTTTTCTTTGTGATTGAGGCAGACAACAGTGTATGTTGACACAAGGCAGGATATCACAGAAGCTTATTTCAGGCACTCCAGTACCACCGACTGCTGTTGTATAAAGTGAACTTGCATTCTCTGCTGCAGAATAAAATGGTTTAAGGGAATGTAAGTAAAGCAAAGGACAGCAGATATCAAATACTTACTATACTTGGTTAGCTGAAAGAACTCTTCCTTTACCTGATGTGTGTGGAGAAAAAGTGGTATATTCTGCTGTTGTAAGGGGATTTGGATTAGAGCTGTAACAGAACAGAATTGCTGTGAGAACCACTGATTTGACTTTGCTTTGAAGAAAATAAACAGCAAAATAAACAATTGCATGTTCCCCAAATGATACAATTGGATGAAGGCCTACATGGTGTAACAACAAGTCACACAGACCAGAACAGTGGGTTGAAGGCACAGTTAACAGTTGCCCCTGAGTTAGCTGATCTGACCCAGGGCAACACTTGAATTGCTATGACTTGCCTCAAACTTCCTGGAATAAACGTTGACCAGACTTCCTCCCCCTTGATCACTATTCACTGCACTCCAGCTAGAAAATGCACGTATGTGCATGTCAGGTGAGAAAAGGATCAGGCCAGGCCTCCAGCGTCAAAATCCTATCTGGGCTCGTACATGAAGAATAGCCACTGTTCTTTCTTATTTTAGGTCAGCCGGTTGTCTAACACATGCAGAAAACCCGTCACCATGCTTAAGAGTATCCAAACCAAGCTGAGATTTCCACGTACACATGGAAATCCCAGAGTTCGATTGTTGGAATGCGATGTGGACTCTCACTGGAGGGATGTATCCTGCTTATCTCATTCTGGAAAGTATTAGGTGCATGTTAAGAACAGCCAAGGCTTGGGAACCCCAGATTGTGTGCTGGGGTACTGCTGGAGTCTAACCAGCTAAAGCCGCATAGCTTGCCTTTGATATCGCTGTCTGGCAAGCTATCCTGCTGCTTATCCAGCTTGGACCACCCTACCCATTAGGGCTTTGGCTTGCAGGGTTAAGAGGAGCTATTTGAGATAATTCCCTGCCCCTCGTGACTTGCTCTGGTACTGGAGGGTGCCTGTGAAGAGTTAGTGTCTCCAGGAAAGGAGAAAATTGGTGAAATTATTTTTTGTTGAAAACCCTAGCCATTAAACTATCACAAAAAAAAACATACTCCATGGAATACAGCAGAAATTGGAAGTAGGTCGCAAAACAATTTAATAAGGTTTTACCTGTTAATGTGGTCGTGATTATCATTTATCTCTTCACTCAAGGTTAGTATGTAAAGTGCAGATATCAACATAACACTGCCATTAAAAAGGTAAATGTTAGTTTTCATACAGTAAACAACAACAACAAATTACATTTGTAAAGCGCCTTTCACGTCTGGAAGAAGACCCAAGGGCTGGACATTCAGGGATTTGGATCCGAGCAGGGGTTTAGGATCAGGAGAGGTGGAAGGCGGGTAGGGTAAGAGGGTAACCAAATGCGTGATTGAAAAGGAGGATCTTGAGATGTGCTTTGAAGGAGGCAAAGGTGGGAGTGAGACGAAAGGACTGCGGCACGGAATCTCAAAGGGCGGAGGGGCAGAGAAGCTGAAGGCCTGACTGCTGATGGTGGGGCGGGCTGGGCAGGGGATGTGGAGCAGGCCGGAACCTGCTGAGCGGAGCGAGCAGACAGGTTGATATGGGGTTAGCAAACACTTGATATTTACATGCAGTAAATTCTCCGAGCAGCGAATAGATGCTTTGAAACAATAAACCTGTTCAACCTGCTAGCATCTTAAATTGTTCTGTTGTTAAAATCAGATTAAAACGTGGTTCATGGAACTGCATTCTTAAATCTCCTATTTAAATAGAATAATTTCCAGAAACACAGCAAACCAGATGTACAAGAAGGACCAGGAAGTATCTTGTAGAGAGGATATAGGTCTGGGCTGGGGTGGGTAAAAGGACACAGGAGCATCTTCTCCACGTTCAATAGGCAATTAACATGTTTTTAACATGACGTGTTTTACAAGGAAACTAGTTTTGCCACTGGGAGCTCAAGCAAGAATAAGTGGCTTGTATCTTGTGTACATTCCTGTAATTGTGGGCAGGGCAATACAAATTTGAGCAGGTTTATCAAAACAAGTCCAGTGATAAGAGGGACACAAAAATAGCCCTCATCTCTGCACCACTCACTAAATTTATTTTAAAGAAGGAACATAACCACAGCATGTTCTCAATGGCCCTGTTTATGCAAGAAGATGCCACAGTCTGAGGGAAGGTTATCTCCTTCACATTATATAGGATATTTTCCCATCTGGGCAACCATTAGCTGTGACGCTGCATGTCTACTGGTTCACTAACATTTTTGCTGTGAAAAAGGATGTGGAGTAACATATTAGGACAATGTTTGTATTGACAGAGGAGAATTTGGAAGTTTGCCAATGTTTGAAATGGCAAAACTGCAATTTTAGATGGTAAAAAAATTGATTCATTCAATGAAGAATGTATACATTTATTAGAAATTAACTTACACTAAGCTGTTTTGTCTACTAGCCAGAAAGAAAAAAGGCTACATAATTTACATCTACCAGAATGCTTACCAGAACGCCATGAGAGTGAGTAATGTCATGGTTACAGCATGGAAAATCTTCCGCAGAGAACAGGCTTGTTTCCTCTGGACAACCGAGGCCTGAATTGGACATTAAGAAATCAAACATTTCTGAAATTTGATGTTGTCAGTCACTTTAATCGCAATGGAACATCCTCCTGATGTGATAAGCGCTAGACAAATACAAATCACTACTGGAGTCAACATTCTGATATCATGAGCACTTGAGGAATTATCAACTGAGGAGTTCTGGAAAGACTTAAGGCCATGACACTGCTGAAGGTTTCTATTAGGTTGTGTTGGTGAGCACGACACCATACAAAATCATCACACATATAACGAGGAAGCTACTTAACAGGCTAACTTCCAGCAAAAGTAACATAAAACCTAATATCATTGTAGTTTATACAGGAGGGAAGTTGCTGCAAGGAAGGAAAACCAAGAGTGTGGGGGGCGGGATGTTCATGCAGACATTTTTCTAGACTGTTTTTTGGTGACTCCCAACACCCAACACAGAAAAGGCCATAGTAGTAGACAGCAGACTCTTAGCCCAGGCAACACCAGGTGGAGAGAAAGAACACTTAAAGATTTGGAGTGCCAGAAGAATAAAATATCCAACAATATTTAATGGATTTAATACAGACAGTCACAGGACAGGCAAACAAAATAATCCAGGGCTGAGGAATCTCACCAGTTGGGCCCAAGTTGGGGATGAAAAATGACAATGATGCTGAGGGAAATGCTTAAATATGTAATAAGATTTCAGGTAATGCAGATGGTGTAAAAATTGTTCAGCGACAAACATGGCATCTGTTGTCACCAGCTCATTTCAGATGACATTGACAAAACTGACTTAACCTTACAACTCCCCTTTTGTCATTCACATACCTTTCGCTTGGCAGTACCAGGTTTGTTTGGTGGTGACATGTTACCCTTCATAGGAAATACACTAAAAAAAAGGAAACAAATCTTAATTTAGACCTTCTTCAAACTTGATCAATAGCAAAACATTTTTGTCTCATTTATGGCCCAGTTATACAGCAAACTTCTATTGGTTCAGCCCAAGCTTCAGATTGCACCATTACCATTTGAAAGGTCGATTAGTGCTAAAGTTGTGTGACCAGGTTAAAGATCTCCAACAACAACTTGCATTTATATAGCGCACCTCCCAGAGTGATTGAAAACTAACCTATACAAGATGTGAGCTAACCTCACATTATTTCAACATCACAAATGCAACCAGTGCAGCCAGCTGTCTAAACTTTAAACTGTAGTTTAAAAGTCCATAGTTTTTGATGTTGGAAACAAGTCAACTAACTCTGCCTACTGTTGATCTAGCAAGTCAAATCAGCACTAAGCCCTACAGACTGGACTGGAAGATTGCAAGCTTGATACCTAGTCTGTGCTGAGTTAGCTAATCTCAGTCAGGTACAAATGGCTTCAGAACCACTGGGTGATAAAGGAAAAGGAACAATCAACTCCTGTTTCCCTATTCCTGTCCAGTGACTCCTCAAGGAAAATGGATGTGGGTGCCCATTGGATGAGGGCAGGACACAATACACTTTCTTGTTCGCCCACAAAATACAGTCACTCCACTTTACAGTAAATCCTGTGGAGCGCTTTGGGGCACCTCCTGACGTGAAAGGCGTTTTACCAAATGTAAGGATTTTTTTTTATCATTCACACACCTTCCGCTTGGTTGTACCAGATCTCACCTATGATGTCCACGGATTCTGAATAATGCTAATAGGCAGTATTCATATAATGTATAATAATAATCCTTATATTTAATGTAGCACTTTATCATATCATCTCAAAGGATTCACTGTAGAGTGTAGTGACTGTGTGTTTTGTGAGTGAAATGCGGCAGCCAATTGCGCACATCAGTATCCCACAAACAGTTACATCTCACCATCAGAGAATAATATTTGGGCTGATACATGACAGTTATCGTTTGGGGAAGATATAAACAACCATTTGAATCATGCTGGAGTCAGTTCCCATGTAAAGCGGCCCTCCAGTGTCTTATGAAAATGGCTGTTGTTCAATGGTGAGTCTGTACAGTAAGTGTTGTTGGATTTTCAATCATGGGGATCATCACTGATTTTACTCTAACCAAACTCCTTGATGTGCATTTTGTAGTTGGGTCAGTAATTAGCAGTGAGAATTCCTGACTGATCTTTGCTCTCCCCTAGCCGAGGAACACCAAGGAAAAATGTAGTACCCTTACTTATTGAAGTTCTGTTAAGAGATTGGTGGACGTTAAGAGAATGGTCATTCATTTCATCACTGTCTGAGGAACATTGCTGTGTGTAAATTGGCTGCTGCATTCACTGAGAAACACACTGTCACAGTAAATCCTGTGAAGTGTTTTGAGATTTCCTCCCGATGAGAAAGGTGTTGTGTCAAGTGCAAGAATATTATTATTATTATTATTAACATCAGCTAACTCAACACACACTACTGATCTAACCTTTCTGCTTTGTTCTGGCTCAGGCAATGCCTTTACACACTGAGTCATGCAAACCACAGAACAAGATCTCGACAACAGTCTCAGAGCACTGTGCAGAACACAGAGTGAAAATACACAGACCTTATGCTACTTTTCTCACTTATTGTGGATTTCAGACTGCCAATTCGCTTCAACCTGGCAAGTCGCTTGTTCCAGGCTTCCAACTCTTGGATTCTGTTTTCCAAATTATCTGTCAATTTACACAGTTCTTTCACTGCCCCCACATTTTCCATAAAAATTTGTTCCTGCACAAAACAAAAAAGAAAAAAATATTTTTTTTACATCTGACAAAGATACAGACTGCAGAAATGCAAGGTACAATTGCAAACCAGAAATGAAGGAACAACAACATCTTGCATTTATATAGTAACTTTCACCCAGGGTAGTGTCCTGGAGCGCTTTGAGTGGACGGAATCATTTTCTCACAGTTGTCATGTTAAACATTGTGTAGGAGCATGAAGATCTGCAGTGACTTGACCACGTTAACCTTGGACTACACACCTTAAGGACAAGTGTTTCACTCCTGGAGTCTTAAATGAATGGCATAAGTATCTGGGACCTCATGCAAATGAAACATTCAAAAACAATTTGTATTTCATGTAGCACCCTTCATGTAGAATAATGTCTCTGAGCACTTTACAGAAAAATAGTTAGAAAGAGGCAACGAGAGAGTGAATAAGGAAGAAGATAAAATAGAGGGAAAGAGTGCTGAGAAGGCAAGCACCGGTAACATTTAAAACGCCTGCACGTCCTTGTCCCAAATACTTTGTGATACATGCACATAACCTCCACTCTGCTAACTCAGGCCTGCTGCACTGAGTCCCCCTTCCCAGCGTTGGCAGGTGAATTTTCAGCCACGTTACCCTACCTTCTGGAACTCTCTTTCAAAATCCCTCTGTCTCACACCCTCTCGTTTTGTTCAATACTGCTTTCTAAAAGCTTCTCTCTCCGACAGGGGCTTTTGGTCAACTCCTTCCTATGCCCAATATCTCTCAATGAACTTAGGCCTGACTGCATCTCTATAAATTGCTTTGGGGGAGTATATACAGTAACATATATTGTTGAATACTTCACATTATAAACAACTCACAAATATCTGAAAGAAAAAATCCTATTACTTTGTCAACCATGAGGAAGTTTTCAATCTTTTCGCCATTGGTGTAAGTCACATCTCCAACTTCCCTTACAGCTGAGGGCAAGATGCTCTTCACTTCTTGTGCTATAATACCTGTTTAAAGCAAAGAATCATTTAAAAAAAACTTCCCTGACTGGTAAAAACAGTAATATTTAATATCTTATTATCAATGATATTAAGTAAGTTAAGATAATAAGTTAAAATAAGTTTGTGATATTTCAAAGATTTGATTGCAAGTTTCTATTTCAGATAAATCCTATTACTTTTCTAACCATCTGCTATTTTACATTTTAAAGAACATCATGCTTAGAAATGTCTGTGACTTCCACTGGACTATCAATGCAAAGGTAACTGTTGCACATCATCGTCAATTGCTGATTTTATTCTCTATTAAAGATCAAAATAAATACTTAAGTTGTTTTAATAAGAGAGTGTTGGGGAGGAATAAAAACAACAATTTTTATTTATACAGTCCCTTTGTGCGAGGTAGCATCTCGGAGAGCTTAAAACAAAACAGACCAGCATCACACAAAACACAGAGACATTTTAATAAAGGTAATCCTGCATTAATTTGATATAAAAGCTTCAGCAGAAACAATGAGAGTCATCAAAAAGAGTGTTTGAGTGCTCAGTGCACCACCAGCATTCCAATATGACGTGACAATTGTCCAACTGGTGATCCTGCCCAAACACAACACACAAGTAATAAATCTCCCAAATGCTTTATGGGATCACGGTCCATCAGTTTCTCAACTTTGATTGAGGGAAAGAAAGTGCCCAGCACTGGAGGAACAGGCACAGCCTAAAGCCTCTTTGGAGTGACCTCACTGTTCAGCTCGTCCTTGATTAGCCGTCCTCTACATTGCCAGTCCTCAAGTCTGTTCCAATTTTTTTATTGAAGTGCCAAGAACACGAACACTGCGTACCTGTTTCATGGGGATTATCTACTCCCATTTGGGATGCGAATTCGGGCTTGTAGTCATACTCCACTAGCCTCATTTGTGTTATCCGTTTGAGCTGCTCAGTAGTATCGACCTGCCGGGTAAACAGAATAAATGTACAGAATAAAAGAAATGTTACACTGTGTATTTTGACTGAGCAGCGAAGGCTCTCACAAATATTTAATAATTGGACAGAAACCCAGGAGTGAAATATTGCGACGTTGTGAATGGATTAACACATGCATAGATTTTGTCAAACTTATTAACACATTGACTGGTCCCTTGGTGTGCTGCAGGTAGACACCCATCACCTTCTCAACAGCATCACCAAGAAGCCAATCACACTGACCATTAGTGGCTGACCATTCTGGCTCAAGACATCAGAGTAAAGCCAGTACCTTACAAACCAAATGTCACCTGCCTGGCCAGCTTCCCAGTGTGTCAATTGAGAAGGCTATCAGGAGAAGGGGTTAGGATTATTTAGGCAGGATGTTTCTCTGTCAAGGTGATTTTCATGCTTTGGCAGCTTTCTGAAATTGCAATCAATCGTTTTGCAAATATGGCAAATTAGACCCCAATATGTTACAATACTAAACCATGCATCGTGACTGAACATTAGGCTCTGCTCACCTCTTGAATGTTCTGTTTAGCCCGCCTGTCCGAAGGATGCATGACTGTCCCCATGACCTTCACATTGCCACACACAACCAGGGCTTCGTCCGGAGAATCAGTGTTGATTCCCACGCAACCATGGCAGACTACTGTGTTGGGAACAACCCCTCGTTGCCACTCCACCTCGCTGTCATTCTCAAACTGACTCGGGTTTGAAGCCTGAAAGAAGTCACATGCGACAGCCTTTACTCAGTGTTAGAAAAACAATTATTTCCGAGTTTTTTCTACAAAATGAAACTTTCTTTTTCATTTGCTGAAGCAAAAAGAAGATGGTTTTAACCAATTCCAATGACTGCCAAGCAGAATTAGAAGGAATACAGTTCACCGACAGTTTGATCTGTTAAATCTAAGGATTCCACATTGCCAACAATTTCCATCACTTGAGCTGTGCCTTTCTTAGCTCCAGCGGAAACCATACTTTCAAAATGGATTTTCTCTGTCCCTGTCAAACATCCACTGTTTCATTCATTTTATTACAGCGGTGCAGCTTCAGTAGGTTATGAAGAGATCAAAAAGTAAATCTTAGCTAGATTGTGCAGTTCACAACAGCTCAAACCCTTAATGTGTTGTAGCATGATTCATATGCTATTATTCTACGTTAAGGTGACACAACAGTGTGGTAGAAAACAATGAAGTTGAACTTCACCCACCCGTACAATTATTCTTTCAGACACATGAGCAACTAATAAATAATTCTGATTCTGGTTGACTGTGTACAGGGCGACCACAAGCATGAAATACCTAGGGACAGAAGAGACAAGAGATGTTAGAGCAATCTCAATTAGCTTTTAACAACGATCCTCTTTTATCAGGTTTTCAGAGATGGAAGTAAACTTATTAACAATTAATGCAGTATTTCACATATAATATCCCCGAAAAAGCCCACTGTTATATGGAGTGTTATTCGTATTACTTTGTATAATGGTACACATCTTTTTAATACACAAATTATGGTACTATACCTCTGATCGGGGTTAGGTTTTCCTTTCTTCCTCATGTTATTTGCTGTTGTTTCACTAAAGTGTAATCTTCCTAAAGTGACTTTAGTGGTTTGATCTCCTGGGAGGTCAACCCTTTTTAAAAGAAAAAATGTTGAAAACCTGCATTGACCATACGAAACAAACCGTTTACAAAATGTGGTGGGATCGATATTTTGTCTAAAATTTCCCTCGTTTGTAATACACAGAAAACTACCTTGTATATGTTTTTTCATGTCTTCAACTTTACTGATATGTCTGTTATCCTCGCTGCAAAAGCTCAACCCTCAGACCACCGGCAATTTACTCGAATGTTTTCAGTAAGTTAGTTAATAATAATAATCCTTGCATTTGATATAGCGCCTTATCACTTCTTCAAGACATCTCAAAGTGCTTGACAGAATATACTGTTAAAGTGAATTAACTGTATATTTTGTGAGCGAATCAAGGCAGCCAATTGCGCATAGTAGTGTTCCACAAACATTTATGGAATGAGTGACCAAATATTTTTTTAAGGATTGCTACCCCCAGAAAGCAATCTGCCAATCGACTAACAACCAGGTCTTACTTACTGGTAGGTAAACATAGCCTTGTGGAGGAAGGAAACTTGCCTAAGGTTTTGCCATGCCCAGGAATCAAACACGGGTCCTCTTGCTTGTGAGGCGAGTGCTCTAACCATTGCGCTACAGGACTCCTGTAGTAATTATGTTGTGAAATACTCAAGACACAAGTCTTCTATCAGCATCAGCATTCCAATTGACTGTCCTGCCCACTGGTACCACTTCCAGGCAGGGCGAAACCTTGGGCAAGTTTCCTTACTCCACATGCCTAATAATAATCCCTCCAAAACCAAAAACAATAATAAATTGGTCATTTTCAATCTACAACTGTTTGTGGGCCATTGCTGTGTGCAATTGGCTGCCGCGTTCGCCCACAAATATACAGTCAATTCACTTTACAGTGTGTTCTGTGAAGCGCTTTGGGACGTCCTCCTGACGTGAAAAGCGCTCTATCAAATGCAAGGATTATTATTATTATTATTATTACCATTAACTGCACTATTGAGTCTGGGTCAACAGGAATTGACTCTTTGGTGAAAAGGAGGAAAGAACAGTACAGTGCTGTTTTACAGCACATCTAACATTGAATCAATGTAGTTTTTGTGTTGAGTCAATGTTAAAATTGCAGCTCAACACCAGTATCACATAGAATAACTACTTCCTGTGCTTCTCCTCCATTAGATTGTAAATTCTCCAGGCAGGAGGTGGTGTCTGGTTGTATGTTACATGGGCCTGGAACTTCAGTAGTGCTGTGCTGGCTCCAATATAAAAGCAGAAACAGTACATTTCCTCTTGCGTAAGCAGGATCAAGTGCATGTATCCCAGGATTGTATACAGATACACTGCTATTCTGTGTCTTGGAGGAAACTCCAGAGGGTCAGCATGACCCTGTCAGAGTGTCTGAGGCACTTTATGTTCAATATACCCCATTGTTTAAGGCGCCTCAATCACACAGACTCATTGAGTACAACAGGAACATAAACGTCTCGAGGCTATAGCTCCGGTGCCTGGAAAGGATAGGTTTACTAAGCATTTATTACACTGTGTGCACACAACGTACCAGACTTGACGCTGGTCTGTTCCCAGCAGTTAAGCGACGTAGCACAGGAAGTCTGATTTATACTCCCCGCTCCAGATTGCACCAAATCAGGAAAATAGAAAACATATTTGCCGTGCTAAGTATGCTTACCTTGGTGCAAAGAGAAAGTGGCAGAACCTGCCATTTTAATGGCATTTTAAAATGGTCGCTTCCAGGTTTTTGGTACCGCACAAGACAGCTCAGAAACAATGAAGTGAGCCTAACGCGATTCCCACACACTCTCTTTATCACACTCTTTCCCAAACTACCCCCCCCACCCATGGCAACCTATGTTGCCTTAGCTCCCATTTATATGATGTTTGTTGGCAAATCACCTTCAAGCGATTAAATTCTTTCCAATGATCTGCTGACAACTTACCTGACAGGATTGAAAGGTCTTTTGCTGCGGTCTGACTGAGACTGTTCTATGGTGATTACCTGATTTGTAGTTTCAGCCTTGGGTAGAAAGAAAATACAGTCAATACAGACAGTGCCTGAGGGGATTTGTTTGCAAGAGCCAAGTGGGATAGCCTTGGATTGTCGATGTTGAGTTGGAGAAAGTTAAGGCTACCGTAGTGATCTTTGAGTGTAAATAAACACAGAGGTCCAATTTTCAACATTTCTTAATAAGAAATCCCCACTGAGCTGCAGGAACTCCACTCCAGAAATACATCACATCAGAGCATAGCACAGTGTGATCTACTTCTAGTTATTGTTAGGAGCCTTTGTTTACTCAAATCAGATTCCTTATTAAGGATTCCCATTACCAAATCAATTCCCCAGTTTAGAAACCACATGCTGGCCATAAAATGTGAGGTATAAAGTGACACTGGCTTGCAAACAGAATCTTGGTGGCATTTTCAGACCAAATCTAGTTCAAAATCAGTTTATCCAAAACTGATTTCAGCTTTCCCAGTCCATTCATTTCGCTTCACACACACACACACACACACACACACACACAGCCTGGACACATACTGAACATCAAAAACAATCGTTTGAGCAGCTGATGACCTGGAAGCTTACAATCAAAAATTAAATACAGAAGGAAGGGACCTGTACATATTTCAATTACTACCAAAAACAAAAGCATAATTCATAAGACAATCAGTCAGGAACAGCTACATTACAAAGGTGAGTACTTCCTTCCTCTAGCAGTCATCTGCATCCTTTTTGTTCCCTGATGATATGGTATGGTTTTGTATTAAACAATTAGCCGGATTTAGGAGCAAACTGTAATGGAATTTAAGGAATGATCTTGGGTTCTATGTAATATTGGCAGTTTTAAGCCAATTGACAACAAGGCGATTTAAGTGACCGTGATGAGTTAAGCCAGGGTTAAGGTATCCGGAGTTCACTTAATTCTAAACATAACTATTTTAGTCTTTAATAATTTCATCCTCACAAACTTTTAAACCAAAGAGAATTGCTGACTGATGAACTAGTTTTTTTTAAAAAGTGCACCTAAAAATCCTTCCCCGCTATTTATTTGTGCTGTGATTGCTGATGGTCACTCCATGTGAAAGGAAGTGTCACCATTTCAGTTTAAGGCGCCTCAATCACACAGACTCATTGTCTGTGTGATTGAGGCATTTCAGTGAGACTTAAACATTAGATGATGAGACCCTAAAGTGAAGCTGAAGGAAGGAAACATAAATCTGATACTTACTTTTACACCAAATACTTTCAAGAAAATCATTTCAATTGGTTTAAGGCCTAGAGGTGTTTTGACATATTTTGGGTGTCCAATCATCCCGATGTGAACTGTGACCTGAAAGTGATTCTTCTTTTGGCAAACAAATGAATCGTCTGTTGTTGAAAAATGAAATCCTTTGTCTGCATTTACTTGGAAGCCAGGAGTATGTCTAAAACAAATCACAGACAAACATTATCCACAACCAGACAATTTCATCATCACAATTTATATCCTATTTACCAAAAAATAACTTTGAAATGGTTTCACAAAAGTAAAACCATGAAGAATATTTGAAGCATTCTGTCAGAAAATATCTAAATATCTAATATCTAGTTATATCTAAAAATGAGTAAACTACAGGGGGTATTCAGTCTCCTTGAAGTGATCACAATAAATGGGATAAAGTATCCCACCAAATATCATGACTTTTGGATTAAAAGCACAATGCCAGAGTATTATTTAAGCTTGTTGGAAAAAAAACACAATCTTTTTAATGGACACTTACAATTCAACATAGCTGCTGTTATGCATAGCTTGCCATTGACTGTGCTGGAAAGGTTGCCATTTTAAACATTGACAGCCCTGGTCTACCGAAGCTCCATTTTGGCTCTCAGTCTCATAACCATACATTTCTCTGTTGTAGTTTCCCGAATTTACTGCAAGGAGAAAACAATTATTAGATGCTAGGATTCCATGATTACAGCGCTAGATTCACACTCCTCTGCATAAATATTGGCATTGAACAAGCAGGAGGTTTGTGTAAAGCATTACTTTGCTGCCAGCCTATTACGAATGGATATCATGTTGCATTGGGTCTGTGTAGATCATGTGCAGCACAAGGGGCAAATATCTATTCGTTAAATCTTAAGCTTTTAAATAAAATAATTCTCATTCAATTTTTATCAGGCTTGATTATACTCAGTTTGTTTTTCCACTTCTCTGCTATATGTAAAAGTCAATCTGTATTGCTTTGACAAGAGCAAGTGCCTATCAAAATATCAATAATAACTGCTATTAAATTTAAAGGCATTTGTCCAGGAAAGACCATCTTGCCTAATGTTGGTTTTAAGCTGTCAAGTTTGAGGGCATTCTATGCTTCTAAGTCAAATTAATGAGCCAGAGTTGTAGAGAGATGGCCAAGTCCATTTTGGAATCCTGTTGTGATCACAGAATTGTTTTTTGTATAAATCAGCAGATCCAAGTTGAGGATTAGTACTTGTTCGATTAGTGCTGTGGAGACTTTTGCACAATTACCCTTTGGATTTCAACATGGTGAGGTCCTGCAAGCAGTACATTTAGCAAGTAAAGCAGCCGTTACAGAAGTGGCACTCTGTCGTTCTGCTAATGACTCTTAAGGACGTAGATTATTACAAGAGGAACATTTTAAAATTATATGTGCTGCAACAAGATTCAATTTGCTGTTCTTTCCATAGTTTATGGAAATCCTATTCCAACAATATTTCCATTTGGCACTGATCGGGATTTAAACGTAATTAGATCTTTGATTTACCTGGACAAACAGTTTAAAAAGATGAACCAGGACGAACCTACCATAACTTCCTTGGTCTTGAAGATTATTCCAAATACAATCAGGGGTGCTCTCACAAGTGTCTGAATACTTGCACTTTTTTGGCTGCTGAATCAAAATCCTTTAACACAGAAGATGACTTTCTATCAAAAATGCTGCATTATCATGAATATTATGTGTGTTTGGGGTTAGGGGGGGGAGAATATCTGTTTACCATGAATTTCAACTTATATGATTTTGTGTTGAAAGATACTTTATTTAATATTTTAGTAGATAAGCTTAATATTTTAGTGCGTGAATTCAATTGACATATCCCTGGAACATTTTGAGGTCCATGTGTTTTCACCAATTGAACCTCTGCAAATTAATTTTTTTAAGGAATTTTAATGTTACTCATAGTGAGATGTGTGTAGCAAGAGACTGCAAGTTAATTATAAATTTACAAAGTTAAACTGAAATTGATCACTCAATCATCAGAGAACGATTATTCTAAATCATAACACTTAAACTTGTGGGTTCTCTCTGGAATAGAAGGAGCAGTAAACTAAACCAAATTTTCAAGTTGATGACAATGAGTGGATTCAGATTTGTTTGCAAGAATTCAGGGAAGGAATGCACGTCCATATTTCATCTTTCATAGACGGTACATGCGTAGGACTGCATCGAAGTGGAAATAGATGTTTGTGATCTATCTGATCAATTCCAAAATTTGTTGTGGTCTTCAGAGAGAGGAATTACAAAATGCACATTCAGTACCATCTTAATGTTCTTTCAAAAGTGAACTGGAAAGTGAACCACACAGCAAATTAACAAATCAATGCTTTTTACCCATGATTATTTTGGTATTACTGTGTATATTTCTCAAGTCTTCCAACCTTAGCTTTATTGCAGGACATAAATGTCTCCTCCTCCCACCAGCGTGTTTGGTGCTGGAATGAGGAAGGACACCAATGAAGCTTGTTTTAGTTTGAGTTGAAGGTGAGTCACCACAGTGTAATTCATCCTAAGATCCAACAAAGGGCAGTAAAATAGTAGGTGTGACTCACTCAGGTTGGTGATTGGATCTATGCTGAACAGGAAGGTTTGGTGCAGCCAAGCAGCTGGAAGATACTGTACTGTTGCTGGAAACAACAGACACATCAGGTTTCATACAATTGTCCAGAAGTCCACTGTGTCTGTATTGTTCTGGTAGACTAGAGTGAGCAGGCAGCACAAGTTCATTGAGTCTAAGTGGAGCTTTATGATGGCCCATTGAAGAAATTTGAGCAATGTGGGAATTAATTCCAGTTGTCCACTTGCCACCGTTCTGCACATCTATATAAAATATTGAAGTATTTCAGTAACAACAATAAGATTACATTTGTATAGCGCCTTTCACGTCGGGAGGACGTCCCAAGGCGCTGGACAGCGTACAGCATGTCAGACCCGAGCTGGGGTTGGGGGATAAGGGAGGGGAGGGGAAAGGGGGTGGCCCACGGCATGGTCGAAGAGGAGGGTTTTGAGGCGGGACTTGAAGGAGGCTAAGGAGGGGGTGAGGCGGAGTGATTGGGAGATGGAATTCCAGAGGTTGGGGGCAGAGTGGCTGAAGGCTCTCCCGCCAATGGTGGGGCGGGTGGGTCGGGGGACGTGGAGCAGGCCGGAGCCGGCTGAGCGGAAGGAGTGGGCGGGTTGGTAGGGGGTTAGGAGGTCATAGAGGTAGGGGGGGGCGAGGCCATGGAGGGCTTTGTATGTGAGGACCAGGATCTTGAACTGGATCCTGTGAAGGATAAGGAGTGGGGGAGATGGGGTCACGGAGTTTGGTGCGGGAGAGGACACGGGCTGCAGAGTTCTGGATTATCTGCAGCCTGTGGAGGGAGGAGTTGGGAAGGCTAACAAGCAGGGTGTTTGCATAGTCGAGCCTGAAAGTGATGAAGGCATGAACAAGTGTTTCAGTGGCCTAAGGGGTGAGATAGTGGCGGAGTTGGGCGATGTTCCGGAGGTGAGGGAAGGCAGAGCGGGTCATCGCTTGAATGTGGGGGAGAAAAGACAGATGAGGGTCGAACAAGACATCTAGGTTCCTGACTGGCTTGGTGAGTTGTAGTGTGCAGCCATGGAGGTGCTGAGGCGCTGGCGCGAGCCAATCAGGAAGGCCTCAGTCTTGTTCACATTCAACTGTAGGAAATTTACCCTCATCCAGGACTTGATGTCTGACAGGCAGTCTGTCAGGACAGCAGTGCTCCTGGAGTTGAGGGTGGAGGCAGAAAGATAGAGTTGGGTGTCATCCGCCTACATGTGGAAGTTGACCCCATGTTTGCGGATGATGTCACCAAGTGGGAGCATGTAGATATTAAAGAGGAGAGGGCCAAGGACAAAGCCCTGGGGGACGCCAGATATGACCGTGGAGGAGAATGAACGGCTGGAGGAAAAGCCATTAGAGGCAACGAAGTGGAGACGGTGAGAGAGATAGGAACCGAACCAGGAAAGGGCAGATCCGTGAAGATTGACTAAAGCAGAGAGGCGGTGTAAGAGGATGGCGTGGTCAACAGTGTCAAAGGTGGCAGAGAGGTTGAGGAGGACAAGGAGGCAAAGGGAGCCCTGATCACAGATGTTCAGAATGTCATTAGTGACTTTGACCCGGGCTGTTTCCGTGCTGTAGGCAGCGTGGAAGCCGGATTGGAGGGGTTCAAAGAGGGAATGGCGAGAGAGAAAGGAGCGGAGCTGGGATGTGAGAACTCATTCCAGGAGCTTGGAGAGGAATGGGAGGTTAGCGCACCACATTAATACAATGCTTTTCTACCATGTTGGTTCAAATGCTTCTAGAAGCTGTGATACAAGGGAAGATCAAGAGAAGATTTAAGATGGTCAAAAGTGGTATCATTATACTGCATACCTTCTGTCACTGCGAAACAAGCTTTGTGTTAGAGAGAAGCCAGCTGACCAGTGCAACTCCAGACAGAGAAAGATAAGAAAGAAAAATAGGAGAGTTAAAAGGAATTGAATTGTGAAGGTGGATTGGAGTGTGGGAGTGCAGTTCCCAAAAAGTATGCAACAGGTAGATTCTGTGTCAAGAGCTATGAAACACAGTTCTCGGAGTTCTTTATTTCCAGAATGAACTTGGTAAGGTACAGGTAAAAGAGCAGTGAAAAGAAAACTACAGAAAGCCAGTGAGAAGCAAAGAACAACGCACCAGATTGAGAGGCTTAGAACCAGTAAACATTATACTTTATTTAGAGGTTGAGACTGGAGGGAAGAATCAGTTGAGATGGATTAGTTGCACAAGAAGGCAAAAGAGCACAAGGCATTTTTATTAGCTAAAATTCAAAGCAATATTTACAATTATTTAAACAGCAGAGTCTTCAAATTGGATTGTCTTCAAATGAATAAAGAATCCAGAATTATGTGAGGCCAAATCGTTCTGACAAGATGTATTTTAAGGGCAAAGTTGCTACGAGTCAGCACAATGTAGTTCTGGTTCTAGGAAGGAGTTTCCACTTAGATTCCTTATTTAGGAAGGTGGGAACATAGGAATTGCTGGATGAAAAAAAGTCCATCTGGTTTGCCTTCTACCATCCTGGTAGTCGCATGCTACAATAATGGATATGTTGATAGCAATTCATTCTATATGAATTCTGTATTAGTCTTTATATTATATTATATCCAAAAACCAAAAACAATAATAAATTGGTCATTTTCAATCTACGACTGTTTGTGGGACATTGCTGTGCGCAATTGGCTGCCGCGTTCGCCCACAAAAAGTCAATTCACTTTACAGTGTGTTCTGTGAAGCGCTTTGGGATGTCCTCCCGACGTGAAAAGCGCTATATCAAATGCAAGAATTATTATTATTATTATTGTTTCGCCCACAAAATATGCAGTCAATTCACTTTACAGTATATTCTGTGAAGCACTTTGAGACGTCTCAAAGTCATAAATTGCCCTTCCATAATAATAATAATGATAATAAAGGTAATGGCGAATTCATCCGCAGTCTCCAAGCGGTCACTGTTTAGGCAGTTTTTACAGAATTTTTTTGCCAATTTTACAGAATTATTAATTGAAAATTAAAGACATTGTATGATTATTACTTAATAGATTCCTACTTCCATACTATTTCAATCATCCAAAGATTTGAAACAAATAGCATTGCTTCATCTGTAGAAATCTGTTTTTAACATTTCTGGAAGTGGGACAAAAGTACCCGCTTTGAGTTCAGTCCCTACCAGTGACAATTCCTTAAAAAATGCCACAGAGTATCAAGATCATACCAGCTTTATTTTTCACATTCTTGCCATTTCAAAGGCTTTGTTCTGAGCGCGTACATAATACTCCGACACTAATACAATGGGTTGAATGGCTTCCTGCTGTTACTGCAGATTTCTACCATTCCACGGTTCAACTCCACACTAGTTATTATATGGCAACATTTAGAAATGAAGTGAGGGTTCACATACTTGCCACCTGGGAGGGAGACCATCGCTCAGATCCAGAATCTGGGGGTGAATCTGGTAAAGCTCTGTGTTACATAAAAAGACATTATTGTTACTTCCAATGCAATGAATTCATTACAATGAATGCACTACAAAAACGCAAGTTTTATACTTCAATATATTCATTTTAATGAACTAAATTCAAAACAAATTGCAGAGCAGAATTGAGAAATAAAGACAAAGACGATCCCAGGTTTAAATCCTAATCTGTATTGATTACCGGCCTCTACCAGAGGTTCCTGCTCTACTGTTGTGCAGTAACTTCGGACTGAGGTAAGGGAATGATGGTTTTCATGGTTGAATAATCTACTGAAAATAATAATAATAATCCTTGCATTTGATATAGCGCCTTATCACGTCTTTGAGATGCTTTGAATGGAATCAAATTGTAATATTGCAAACTAAATTCAAGTTGCTGATTAAATTCACTGCTTTACTACAAAATACACAGTTACTACACTTTACAGTAGAATCCATTGAAGCACTTTGAAACTTCCTCCCAACCTGGAAAGCGTTATATAAATTGCAAGGATGATTATTATTATTGTTGAGAGATTCATGGCTTGATTATCAAATGGGAATTTACAAATTCTAAGCTTACCAGTTAGCAAAAATATTGGGTGGAAATGGCAAACAGTTAGTGAATCATATTATCAACCCAATTGTTTCAGCTCAAGCATGAAGGGGACACTTGAACAGATGCTAAAGTGTTCACACCCATGGATCCAGCATTTGGCTTCGAGCAAGGAGACAAAACAAGAAATTTAGACAGACAACTAGAGAATAAAATGATCCTGATAAGAAAACACATTTAAAAACTATTTTCTTTAAGCATGTAGCAGCATCAGTGGAAATCTAAACTCAAATCATAATTAAAACTAGAGGTAAGTTGACATTTTTTTTAAAAAAGTTAGTAATTTCACTACAAATGCCATTTTAATAAGTCATCTAGGAAATGATAATACTTACACAGCTCCTGGTTCTAAATCAATGCCAATATAGGCTTCCAGCATACTAGTGTCCACCAAAGGATTCTCGAGACAGATGTCTTGACCTAATAAGAAGTACAATAACCAAGCTTTGCTTTGAACAACTCAAAATCACTTATAATATATTGTGATTCAAAACAGCTGGAAAAGGTTGCTTTAGTTTATTAAAAAAGCACATAAAATCTGTTCCTGTATATCCCAAATATAACACACACACACACACACACTTGTACACATTTTCCTGTAAAGCATTAGGGGTTTTATAATTCTTTTCCAGTTGCTGGGAATAATGATAGTGGCAAACAGTAGTCAGGTAAATATTCAGTGGTGGTGAGACAATATAAAGGCTCATAAATGAACTCAAATGGAAAAGGTTAGAAAACAGAAACATCAGAACACTCGGCTTCATGGAAATCAAAGGATGATTGTGAATTTTTCGCAATGATCCATGTTTCCTCAGATTATCGTATCAATCAGGGGACATTCCATGGAATGCAATAATGCACATGGTATACACTGGGGGGAAATCTTCCATGGCTTATTCATATTCCATATTTAACATGGTTTATTTGTTTATTTCCCTCAAATGATTTAACTCCCATGAAAAATTACTTGACCTTTAACTTGGTGTTGAGCAAAGATAAAACATTTCTGTGGATTCCACTTGCTGCTTTCTGCTACAAATCATCCTTTGCCTCTCTCTCTCTGTTCAGTGCCTTGGGATGTCCTCCCGATGTGAAAGACACAATACAAATGTAATTTGTTGTTGTTGTTCCTATAATACTCTTTTTAGTTAAACTCAGCTGCCTTTTATGTGAGTTCACACTTTTTTTATTTCCTTCTGTCTTTTCAAACATTTGTTTGACTTTTGGTTCGTTTCCATTTCCTTATTTCAGCCATTTTGGCTGCAGGTTTTGCGATGTTTCACTTTCATTTTGGAACACTCTATTTTCCTTCCACCTCCCTCAAGTACAACCTAGAAACAATTCTTTATTATTTTGTACTTCTGCTTTCTGCTTCATCAGCAGCAGTCACAAGTCATACCCCGTTTTTCACTGGCCTGTAGGTTTATTTCTGATGTACTTTACAACAGAATAAAAACATTTTGAGTTAATCTTTCACCAACATATTTCCCTTTTCCCTAAGTTTAATCTCCCATCTCTTCTCTCAGTGCTTTGGGATGTCCTCCCGACGTGAAAGGCACGCTATAAATTTCATTTTGTTGTTGTTGTTGATTATCTATAGGCCTCAGCTCCTTCTCATCGACCAATGCACTGGCATTGAAATCTAGTTTAATGGAAATCTGTAAAATTATTCCCCAAATCAGGACTGACAGTTAATGATTATGTAAAACATAACTTTTTGCATGGTGAAAACAAGAAGAAAAATTTTCCAAAATATAGTACAACTTCCTCTGAATTGTGGAAGACTTACCTTCAAAAAACTGCTGCAAGGCCTCATTTTCATCTAAAACATCCATCTGGGCAGTCTTTAAAGCACGTAGGCCCTGATCAGCCGAAACCCTTTCCAATAACACTTCAGCAAGCTCTCAAGCTTTTCGATTGTTCAGAAGAAACATACCACTAGCTTACACAAGCTGGACAAAAGACGAAGAACGTAGACTGAACGGCCTTCCTTTATTTGCACAACTGAAATATAATTAGCTGTGACTCTCCCTGTGAAGTTTACCTTTGCCCAGTTGACGTGCTATTGACAGCACTGTGTTAGATACACAATACTCACTCGCATGGGTCTTCATGGTCATTGGGCATAACTCAAACCCATAATTTCAATGAAAAATGAAACTTATTAATATTAAAAATACTTAAAAAGTAAAGCCTTGCTTCATCTCACTTTCCAAACGAGTGGCTATTCTTTTCAGCTTCTCCTCAACCTTCAGTAATTATCCTCTGCGTAGGCTGAATACAGCAATCCAATTTTACAGCACAGGGCAGTGGAATCATTACGTAAGAAACAATCGGTGCATAGTGATAAATTGCTCGTTTCGTAGCTACCAAGGTCACACTATTGCCAGCAGCAATAAAATGTGGAGGATGGGAAAGAACAATTAAAAAATTATTGATTTTCCTTCACCTGCTGCACCCCACCCCCTTCCTCAACTGCTGATGGCTGATGGCTCAACTGTATGGCTCAACCTCCGTCTCTAGTACCTATTCTATTCTTCATTCTTAGTCTAGAGGATAAATATGGTTGAGAACATTGCTTGAACAAAGGAGGATTAAACTAATGTGAATGATCTGCTACATGTTCTCCAAACACAATGGGTATTTCCCCCCCTAAGTACTGAAGTATGTGCACCTCAAGCAACCGTTCTTCACAGGCTAGTTGTGTTTTGGTTATTAAACTGTGAGAGTCATCAGTCAAGCATAATTCTGCTTTTACCTGGTATACTCACGCAGCACTTAGCACTGGATAGCAAACCAAAGCCAGAAACTGGACTGTTTCTTCTCTCCTCAGCCCAAAGACACAGAGTCCAATTGTGGTGACTTAAAAGATTCTCCAGCTGAGAGCAGATAATTTGGTACAGATTGATAATTAAGCCTTCCGAGTCTGTAAGGTTCAATCCTACATTAGACAGCAGCTTCACCAACAGAGCATTGGGGAACGTGTTGAACTTGTGTTTTTTTTAAGATTGGATCACAATTCGTTTTTTGCTAAATAAGCTTTGAGGCCTAATACCCTTTCTCCCCCATATAAAGCCATGCAACTTCAGATCCTGATTTTATAAATGCTGTCCTGTAATGGCAGCTTTCATGAACATGTGAACTAGAAAAATCAACTGCCAAATCAAATGCAAATATTTGACAATAAATAAGAGCACGATAATGTATTTAAAAACAAGTACAAGTGACTCATATATCAATTGGTAGATAGTATTTATGGAGAATAATAGAAATTATAGCCTCATCATGCTGCAGAGAAAATTCATCCCTCTCACCTGGCTCATTGAAGTCCATTCACTTGAACCAATGGATTGGATAAGGATGTCCTATGCTGTGCGAGGGTAAATCCTCACCAACATCGGAGGCACAATTTAGTAGTCAGTACTCCCATTGCAAAACAGATCCTATCACTTAAGACAGACTTCCATATTTATGCTCAGCTGTATGTTGATACTTTGCCTCAATCCAAAACATCTGTATAGAATCCAAACAGAAAACCTTAACAGAACTATTTTTGCCCGAGGAACCCCTTCAACAGGAATTGCACCTTGAACTCTCTATACATTAATCTAATCAGCCTTCATAGTTTGTGGAGTGTCCTTTAGGCTATGGGAAATTTGCCTAGGATACATCAGCATAAGTTTTTCAGTACTTCCAGCAACCAGTTGGTTAAATTAAGACATTTGTCTCCAGTTACACTTCTTTGTTATGTCACCTAAGGTACAATGTCTGCAGAGTTTTATTGTAAATGAGCTTTTGCATTCCTCGCCTATCCAGTTACAATTTCTTCCGACCCGTTCTCAGGTCAGTTACAGTAATCTTACAAGTTTCTGCTAGTAACAATCCAACCAGTTTCAACCTATCTACATTTAAAACGTTGGATAATATTACCATTGGAGACTTCAACTTTTTTGGCAGAACATTGGCAAATTTTTTCAGTGAATTTTATAGACAACAGTTTGGATGGTTTTGTAAGAAATTCAATTTATCCTGAGGGTGAGTGGAAGCAGTGAATCATAAACATCTTTTGCACTAGTAAAAGAATGCTAGTAACTAATGATCACTGGCCATGAAGCTTTTATTTGATAAGAAGGTGGTTTATGGCAGGTTTTATATTAATCATTCCCTTCCTCCCACAAGTTTTAACATTTCATTTCTTTCTATTCAGCCCTACACAAACCATGCACCATACACAGTCACCTTACATTACTGAATGTCACGTGTTCGTCTGCAGTACCAAGTATTCATTTTCATTTCATACATGACTCACTTTTAGATGTGCAAAAAAATTGGGAAAAATTGCTCCCTTAATCCACAGCTATGAAATGAATGACTTATTTTACCTGGTGGATTGTTGGCCAGGGCACTGGAAGAAACTCACTTTTCTTTTTGAATACTGCTATAGGATCTACCTGAACAGGCAATCAGGACCTCAATTGACCCACCAACCTGAGGCCTGGCATATGAGCTCATTTTATGTGGAAAATGAACACACAACATTCTGTCTCAAAAGTGTTACAAACTGAGTCAATTAATACTCAATTCCCTTGTTTGATGTTAATTTAGTTTTGCTGCCAAGGCTTCAAGTTGAAGAGTTCTTTGAGATAGATTATCTTAAATTTCAAGATTCTCGTTCTTGATTTTTTTTTCCCTTTTGAGAAATGCACTTCAGTAATTGGAACCCCCACCACATTTCTAATGTGCCCCAAATGTGGTTGAGTTTAGTTTGCGGACTGACATTCTAATACAGCGCTGTATTGTCAAAGATTCAGCCTTCGAATGAGATGGTCAACCAAGGTCCCATCAGACTAGGTCTAGGACAGAGTTCCATAATGATACATTCAGAATTGTGGTCATCACACTGACACTGAAGACCACCCTCTTCAATAGCTTGTAGGGTGAGATTGTCACAATGTCGTGCAACATGCTGATGCTATCAAATAATAGGATTTTAGAAAAGTCTGTGTAAAAGGCGAGTGATGTTATGCAGGATGAATATCTCTCAACGAAGAATTATCCAATTCAATCCAACCTTTTTTTTTGAATACATATCATCAAGGAGACACTTTCAATGAAAAGTACTGCTTCTTTTTACAAATGAATATTTTAAAATGTTTTTGTGAGATGGAAAACTGCTGCTAGCCGACACCTTCAAGGTCTTAGTCAACCAAAGAATTGTTCGTTCCTGGATACCAACCCAAAAGCCGCTGTTCATTCTCTTACCCAACAGCAGTCTGCACTCTGAGTTGCTACCCAGCAAGAAGGACACTATATAAATGCATCTTGTTGTTGTTGTCAAGAATGTGGAGAGAAGAAAAAGCATGAAACCAACTGATGCTAAATATGTGAGTAAAGAAGCATATCATAGGAAGGAGAGGTATAGCATATTTGAGAAATAGTATGTTCACCCAGGAGGTTATATAGTGCACGCTCAACAAATATCTCGGTCAACAACTATAATATTATTTTTTCGAGATCAATTGAATGATTTCAGTGTTTCTTTACACTGCAACATTTATATATGGATTACTTTCATATCCAGAAACTAGAATTTACCAGAACAATTATTTCATTAACACCTCCAATAATGCAGAATCAACGCAATCATATTAGTTTATTTTATTGATGTAAATTTACTGTAGATTTGAGTTACTGCTTAACCTGTTCTTAAAAAGTGTGCTGAGTTTATTTAAAATGCACATTTGTAATTAAACTAAACCATTGCTGACTAGAGTTCAATGATGGAAAGTTTGATTTAATAATCTGAGAAGAAAAGTAAACACGTGGTCAAATAAGTTCAGAGAAACTGCCCTTATGAAATTAAACAGAAAATAAATACACAAAAAGTATTCAATCTTTCACAAAACTGAGGTCAAAATTTATTTCAGCAGCTCTCATTACACCCACAAACTCATTTTCTATGCAACGCCACTGATACAGTTGTAAATGCTCAAACAGTTCTTAAATGCCAAAAGTAAATGCTTACACCAAAAAAGGAGTGCTTTTAGTTCCTTCTCACTTTATAGCTATTACAGCACTTATTAAGTGCAGCTGTTGGAAAAAGCTAAGGGATTGTTGACCAGCGACAAGGAAAATAAATATTAGGTACAATGCAGTTTTTAAACCACGTTAGTATTGATCACTCTTTAAAGCTCATGCATTTTTGTGACTTGTATCTCAGAGTTCCTCCTTGTAAAATCCCAGTTTGGCTAGTGACATTTCTTTTCTCAGATGCATCACTTCCCAGAACATCTGTTCAACTGTAAAAATAAAAAAAACAGAAAAGAACTTCACAATTAGCATCCATCACCAAATTGTTTTAAATAAGAAACACCGGCAAACCAAATATTTGTCATAATTGCTACATAATCATGCAAATATACAGTAACAATTGGACACATTTAAACAATCTAAAATGGTGTGCAATTTTAAATTATGTTTACAATGTTCATTCAAAATTCCTGAAGTATGTTCTTATTAAACTTGCTCTGCAAAATAAATAAATGGAGCTTAGCATTTATATTTTTAAAACAATTTAATCACATACTGGCCATAAAATATTCAATACCAAAATTATGTAGTAATATAAAAACTATTATTCAGTAACAAGTTCACATATCTTTGGAGGGATTGCACAAGAACATTAAATGTTATGGATGAGAAAAGGCATTTGGCTCATTGAAACCGATTCCTCCAATGGTACTAATTACAACCATAAAGGGATTAAGAAGGTTGTTGTTGTTGTTGTTTGTTTTAGCATACTGTTCTAATAACTATTTTCCAGCCAAAATATCTGGTACAAATTTTGTTTGGTAGAAATTGCCTTTCGAAAGGGCAATTCTAAATTACTTATAAAATTAATTTTACAAAGATATACTGCACTTCCTATGAACAATATATAACTCAGTTTAGTGAATGTGCTTTAAGTAAACAACCTTCAAGACAAATATTTTTGTTAAGGCTCAAAACTCAAAATATCTGTTAGTTGCATAGATTTGGCACCAAATCAAGTAGGATCTATTACTAGTATGCCAAAGACTTTAAAACACAGTAGAAAGAAGAACACATAATGAAGCATTTATCCAAGACTTTGATGTCAGGATTAAAATAAAGCATTTTGAAAGAATTAAGACAACTTGGCTTAGTTTTTCAATGGAGCACAACACAAATTTCCTCTTCACGGTAGTGATAAATCAATCATTTGGGGGATATGCAAGTGCAAAAAGAATTATATAAATCCTATGTTCATGAAGTTAGTCGAATAAGATTATACAATTTCATTTTGAGACAGCTAATTTCTACTGTACTTTCAGGGAAACAATGGGTGAACCCCTTCAGCTCTTTAGCCTGTTATACAACACATTCTTACCTACAGTTTGGAGAATTCATCAGTAGCAGATACCCAAATGTGGTTTTAGATTTAAAACGCAATTATGGTTCTCGAGAATGATTACTTACCATCCTGTTGTTTAACTAATCCCTGCTGAATATACCGAATATAAGTGAAGAAGTTGCATACAGACATAATCTAGAAAATCAAAAGTAACGTTCTTAGTTTACAGACAAGATGTTGTAATAGATTAGCTATCAGTATTTTCTCAAGAATAAAATAACATCGGATAAATCACTGAAGGATTTATCATCACTTACCCTATATCTACAAAATGGTGACACATAGTAGTAGCTACTGGAATCCCCTAATTTAATTCGGTGTTTACAGGTTTTAGTTTGACCACTCAGAGCACACTTTCTGTAAAAGATAATTGCAGAACATTAAAGGTTGATCAGAATCAAAGTTATACTTAATTACACAATTCTGATTAAACACAAAATGATTAATTTGTAAATTGTAAAGCTATTGCTTTTTTGTCTGACACACAACACCGGTCAAACTAAGGCAATAGATGCATGAAGTTGTTCAATATCAGATTTAACTGCCACACTGAACTAAATCTAACAAGAGATTATGATGCGTGATTATTTCCGCTAAATATATCCCAGATGGAATGAAGATTTAATACATTTATTGAGTATAGTTATTAAACATCAAGATTTGATGTCATGTCATAGAATTTGCAGTGTCTTTCTTTCCCCTCTTGGCAGATAGTCTTTTTTGGTTTACTGGCATGTTTTCCATGACATTTTTGATAAACAATTAAACAACAGTTATATTTGATAGTGCCTTTTATGTCAGGAAGGTGTCTCAAAGCACTTCACTGGATATATGGTAAAATGCAGTCACTGTGCATTTCGTAGACAAATGCAGCAGTCAACTTGCACGCAGCAATGTCCCACAAACAACCATGAAGCGAATGACCAATTTTATTTTGGGCATTGTTGGCTCCAATTCTCTTTTCGAATAGTGCCATGGAATCATTAACATCCACCAGCACATGCAGATGGGATCGCGAGTTAATATCTTATCCAAAAGACGGCACCTCCGACAACACAGAACACCTTCCAAATCGCATTGCAGTGTCAGGCTAGACAAACCTTTTTGGTTGGCCAACAAAATAAATGTTTTTGATTGAATATGTCTTGACTTATGCCATAAATCAAAAAATATTCAATCAGGAAAAAAATGGAAATGTAACATGAGTTGAACACGGACTCACCAAGACGAGGCCAAATGTTTTTTGCAGGGAGGGACATATGATCACAATACAAGTTCACAATCTTCTGAATCAGAGGCTAGAGTTCTACCAACTGCACCAGACAGACATTAATAATATTTTTTGCATTTGCTATAGCTTCTTTCATCTCAGGAGGAAGTCTTGTAGCTCTTCACAGGATATAATATAAAGTGTAGTGACTGTGCATCTTGTAGGCAAAACCAGCAGCTAATTTGCACACTGCAATGTCCCACAAACAGTTAAAGTGACTGTCCATTTTTATTAAGGGCATTTTAGGCCAGGACATCAAGAGAAACTTCCTTCTCTTTTCAAATAGTGCCATGTGTTCTTTAATGTCCCCCTGAACAGTAGACACAACCTCAGTTTAGCTTCTCATTCAAAGTGCTACCAACTGAGCAAGGTTGACATGCAAATCTAAGTACCATTTGGCACCTTTAAAATACTTAGCATTTAGGTGACAGTAGTAGAATGGACTGGCTGATATTGGATAGGTTTGCGCACCCAGATTGTTAGTATAATACATTTTATCTTTGGGGAGTGGAAGAAGAAGTGGAAGCAGGATGGAGGGTTTATGTAGAAATGAAGGTAAACAAACTGGTTGAAAATTTACAGAAATAAATGAAGAGGAAAGATAGCCTAATGTTTTGTGTGTGACCTTTCTTCAAAGCTGTTAGGATCGAGTTGGAAAAAAAGGTTTTATAGGTCTGCCTTAGACAAGTCTGGACATGCCCAAAAAAACAGGAGGGAGGAGAACATTTAGAAATCATAGGCACAAAAAGATTAACGCAAAGCAACAAGTATTTTGAACTGACTGACAGAGATAGGAAATACTGTATACAATGCAACAGTTATCTCAGACAGAGGAATATGTTTGGGAAGTCACAGAATTTGTGTACTTTTCTGTGCCGTAAAATACTCTGTTGCCTTGCAATATTTTAATTTTTAAGATGCAATAGTAAGTGTCACAGCAAGTATTTTAATTACATCAAAAATCCTCCTGTATAACTATACTTGTGTAACTATACTAATCATTTATATTTCTCACATCTCCCCACCCTTTCATAGCTGCTTATTATTCATCCAGTATATAATTGGGCAGCATATAACTACATGTCTCTAGACCACATGGCTCTGCAGATCTGTCAACAGGAGTTGAAAAATTTGAAGGCCATAAGAGAACACATAGCTCATAATGCTGCATGTTGCTGCTTGTCTGCAAATGGAAACACTTGTATCACAGAGGTGTTGAGTAAATTATTAATTTAGACTTTAATAGGTCGCAGGCAAAAATATTTTAGTATAACATTCAATATAATTTACGCTTATATAGCACCTTTCATGTCAGGGTGTATGCCTCACAGCACTCAACACTGCTGGCTGGGCACCCAGAGGGAGAAGCCAAAGACAACTGAAAGTGCAGTCAAAGAGGTACATCTTTGAAATAACATTTTTATCAACAATAGGTTTACAACATTGAGCAATCAAGCAGAAAGCAACATTAGAATGTTTCTTATTGTGTGGAATAGTTAACTTAAAACAGCCTGATGGGGGAAAAGAGTGGGAGAAGAGAAAAAAAACAGAATAGTGGATCCTCTCAAGATCAACTCCGGTAAGACCAAAAGAATAGCAAACAAAATTATCTTTATTCCCTGCGACAAGTCATTGGCAAATTCAATGTCATTTAAAATACCCATTTATTCAATGATTTATATAAAGACTAAATTCTATGCAGTCATATCTCAATAAATGAATGTAATGATTTACAGGAATGTTACTGATTACATATCATGGATACAATCTTCTCATGTTCTTAATCAACCTGATCTCTGTATATGGAAAGAATTTGCTGTCTTCCACAGGGAGAATGGGAAACGCTTTGAAGCTTTGTCCTCCAAAAAAACCTTTTTTTGGGTCAGTGCTGAACGTGCTTGTTATCCTGAGTTCCAAGATCAAGACAACAATGTTTCGGGGAAAACATGCACTTTGTTCCAGGTAGATAATCCTGCAGATATCACTTGGGAAATCCTCCCAAGTTCATTTGAAGGGATTAAGTAGCTCCACTTTGAATCTTCCTTTCATGATTCTGCACCAAATATAGCTACCATGAACTCTCAACAGGAATTGCAGGTGTGTCAAGGCTGCTGGGATATAAACCACCAGTAAACTATGTACTTTAAGGACTATGTGGGTCACTGTACTGTATTCAGTCCTCCATCTGTATTATCATATTGATTTAATGATCAGGTAAGGTTAATCAAGTTAACCAGAATCACTGTGATTTCCTGACTGAATCTTGCAAATATCCACCCCTCTGCCTGAGAATCACGCTTGACAGCCATTTCTCTGGGTCCACAAACATCTGCCACTGACCCCCCAAAGCCTCCAATCTTGCTCTGGATACAAGGGGTATTTTTAGATATCTTTATCATCTTGTTGGGAATACATTCCTTAGGCTCCGTGTTGCAACGTTCTGAAGCTCAGTGTAGTCAAGCAGAAAGTTTCCATAAGGTTCCAATGGTACTTGTGGCAGATCAGCACGGCATTAAATCAAGAAAGAAAACAAACCAAATACGTCATGTATGTGTCTCACAACTGTGATCATGGTCAACAGGTGTGTAAGTATTTGCTGTGAATAGGCTCTTTGAAGAACATGGCAGCTATGGCTTACACCTCATGGATCAATAGCTACATGGCTACACTCGTACTCCTGGGTCAATAGCAATCCCTATAATGGAAGCACTAATCGCTTTTTTGGTCAGGCAGATGTCTGACACATGCAGAAACCCATCACCATGCTTGAGTATCCAAACCAGAAAGAGTTTCATGCATGCCACTTATAGATGGAAATTCCCATGTTTGGACTGGAATGTGCACTCTCTCTCTAAAACCAACAATTAACCAAAGATTCTGAAACATCCACTCACCTAATTGCATGATTTCCTCCACAGAAATTACCACCCTCAAGTACAGAAATTAACAAGGCTATTTTTATTGGCTATTTGTTTGCTAATGGTTATATTCAGGCATCAAGCTGACAATCACACTTTTTTAAAATGCTGCAGTAGTACAGGGCTCTAAAATTAACACTGGTTTCTCATTCTTCACTACAAATTTGAGACTTCTCAGATTCTGGCTCTGTTTAACTAAACATCCTACAACCTCAATGCTGAGCCCTGTAACATCATTAGGAAGTAATCTAGCACAAAGAGGTTTTCTACAGAAATGTTCTATTTTAATAACTCACCTTGGAGGTGTATTAAGATCAATTCTGGTTGGTTACAGAAACAATGGTCTTAACGAGGATTTGATTTTAAGAGTATACCAATTGTATATGAAAAGTGCAGAAAATGGCTCACTTACGTTACAATTTCAGCTCTCCATCCACTACATAAAGTGAGAGAAAAAGCATCAGAATGCATTGCAACAGAAAAAGAAAAGCAGCTTCAGCAACAAAACTTAATAAAAGATGAAAAGGAAAAGTAAAACACAAAGATTTGCAACTGAAATTTTCAGTGTTAAACTACAAGGAATTTAAGTACTTAGCTAAATAAAAATTAAAACTATTCAGAGAACATTACATGCTACAGCAATGGCTTTCTTTATTCTTTAAAAGATATTAAACCTCCATACAAATTGGAATAATTTTGTCCCATCCAGATAGGTGGATTCACCTCAGATATAATAATAATCCTGGCATTTGATATAATGCCGTATCACATCACTGAAACATCTCAAAGCGCTTCACAATAAACTGTAAAGTGAATTGACTGTATATTTTGTGGGTGAAACATGTTCGCTTTTTGAAAAAAAATGTGCTTTGGGATACAATGCTGCACTCTGCTGTGTATAAGAATCCTGTCCTGGGAATACCACTGTTTAGTTTACTTGGAATTAGCAGGAATAAGATCCAAGCATTTGCAAGAGTACAAAAACTTTTCCAAACTACACTCAAGATTAAAAAAACCTAAGGTTAGCCAGGAAGGTCCTTTGCAAAGAATGAGTGCAATCATACTTATGACACATAATCTAACAATTCTACCTATTCATTCAACCTTCAATCATAATCAGGAAGTAATTCTTCAATATGCAAAATGTTATGTGAAGTTCCAAGACAAGTGCTCGTCTTGAACTGACCTGTTGAGACAATACTTAGTGAAAGATGCATACTTCACCAGGTCACTGACTTGCAGGTGGCCTCTGTAAATACCTTCCACACTCTGGCCCTAAATGTGACTGACTACTAATAAATGTGCTAACTTCGGTTTAAATAAGTCTACCTGAATTTTGTTTACACATAGTGGCAAAGATGATGATGTAGTCACAAGATCGCTGGTCGAGTGTTAAACATGAGTCACCCTAGGACACAGAACTACTTTATACTGGATGCCATAGGAACTCCACTCCCTTGTTTGGCAATCTACTGCAAACTGTGGTTTAACCAGTGACCTTTAGCTAACTGGTTTTATACTTAATGACATTCCTCTTTCTATTTTCTTTTCAATTTAGGAGATTAATAATGCTTTTGTACCAAAATGCATCAAGATGTCTCTGCACAGAGACAAACCGAATTTCCTCATTCTGGTAGCCAGGAACACATTTCAACTCATAAATCAATGGTTGTTATGACTACAGGAGGCTTCCTCTTCTAAAAAAAACAATACAACATGGAAAGCAAATGAAGACAAATAGTGCATGGGCTAGTGACTGAAAACTGATGCAAAATTGTAATCCTCCCCCTGGGAGCTGTCAGACTGTAGGAACTTCTGACAAGTATAAGTTTGCAGGGCAACATTTCCCTGTTTGAATCCATATCAATCCACTTAGTTGTTTGTATCTGGGATCCAACCACGTCATTCATCAAGATCCAGACTTTCAATTGGATGGAAAGTGGCATATGAAGATATTTTTAAGACATTGAAAACTTAAAACATTTACAGTAGGAAAAGCTAAAAGAAAAGCATTTAAAATGTACTTATTAAAATAAGATTGTGAAATAGCATTAAGCTGCAAGTAAAAATGATTTTTTGTAAAGAAAGAGTAGAATTCCGAAAGGGATTATGAATAACAGGGCAAACAAAACCATTCCAAGTCAAATTAAGTCTTACTTTGATTTTAAGACCTTGTATAATTGTATAATCAGTACAGGTTATGAATTTTCCCTATTTCTGTGTTGATAAGGTAAGAATTTGAATTGATACCCTCAATCATTTGTTTCAAATACTCAAAAGCTCCTCAGTTGTTTTTTGTTGGTATTGTGCTGTTGTAGTCCCCTCGATTGGTACAGGGCACTGATCAAGATATTCTTTGACATCCTGGGCTTCACCAACAATATAAAGATTAGACAGTTTATTCAGACATCCTTATTTATCCAGTCTTTTTAAACCAGTCAAATAGATGATATGGAAAAAGCAATTTATCATCTACAAACATCTTCACTAAAAATTATGCAGCACAACTCTAGATTTTTTGCGGTGGCTTGCATTTAAATTCACCCATAAGCAAGGGTGAATTTAAACACAAGGTTCAGATGTACAACCATCGACAAAGAACTAGCAGATTTAAAAACATGTTCAAAGAGATAAGTATTAATATAGGCACACGATTCAAATATTTCCCACAAAGTATTGATGCATAAGATTGTGGGATCGTTCAAACTCCACGATGCTACATGGGAAATACACGCAACACTGTAACAGGTCATTTCAAATATTTAGCTATTTAACTGTGTTTCAGCATCCTGTGTTCAAAATATTTTCTATTTTAACATTTGCAATTTACTGCTAAATGTAACAAATTCCTGTGTGCTCAATGTTTGGGTATTTTTAGAACGATGCAAACGTTGTACATTCCAAAACTGACTCTGTTAAACTTACTTGGGTCCACCACACTCCATTGCAGAAGCTTTCACAACGGGAAGAGACTGAAAACCAACCGGCTCAATGCTTAGGGTATTACTTTCCACAGCTTCTAGAATGGTTGAAGCCAGCTACAGAAAAATTCAAAACAATTCTCAGAATGTCTCTGGATAATAAGTGTATCTATGGAACATTATAAACGAATCAATTATTTTTTCATCATTCATAAAAATCCCAATATGCATCCAAATTGTGAAGCTGTGAAAATAATTTCTAGATTCTTCTAGAAAATTCTCATAATACTACAACTGTTAGTTATGCTAATAATTCCTCTTCTGCTCCCCACAAATTGTAAATCTCCACAGGAAAGCCGACAATGCTGACTATTGCGTTGCATCCAACTTTCTTAGTTGCAGAAAATATCATATCTACCCATGACAGGAAGCAGTAATGTTAATTTTGCAACAACCCTTCTCTTTCCAGTCAATAACTGACTAAATTCAATTGAATATTCAAAATTGGACCATGATTGCTATATTCTATCCAGCTATGCTGAAATACATAATTGATTAGCATTCATTCTTACCTCACTTTTTGAAAATGTTAAGCAAGGATAGATGTCTTCTTTATAGATTCTATCTAAAAAACAGCAGGCTCTATCCATTGCAGGCTCTTCTTTCCACACTTTAAATTCACCAAACAGAAGCAAATCAACCTGTACAAATGTTTACAATAGGTTATGTATTTGAAAAGGTTGGGCTTTACATTTTCCAATTTTGAATAAATGTTAGAAACAAATAATAAATAAACATTGTTTAAAAAAATTCTCAATACCCATTTGAAAAAAATCAATATCTATATGATACAAAATGTTTTATATTATTTTAAATAATGGACAAGCATTTAACTGAACTTTGAATGAACCTCTTCTTCTCAGATCTGGCTTCAGGGGAAAGAGTGTTCATCTTATTTCATAAAAAGGTATAAAGTAAATATAAAGGAAGACATTCTATGCCATTATAATCATTGCTTTATGCTTTATAACTCCAGGTCAGAGGCAGACAGAAAACAGATGCTATATCTTTAAATTTCATCCAATTCATATTGCTACATGAATTTCATGTGAGTAAGAGAAAATGAATTGTACAGAAATCTATTCCCATTCTACCTCAGACCAGTATTTAGTGTATACACAAAGAAATAAGGAATCCATAGCATTTCAAGCAAATAACATTTCCATCTAATATAATCTCAGCATTGTTAAAAGCTTAAACAATTGCTATGCAATCAGAGTTTTTACTGCCTGAGTCCTTGCCTTATGGTAATGGTTTTAACAAAATCTTGTATATCTTGATGTGTTGTAACGCAACAGGAATCTTTTCAAAAGCCAAGGGCCCACCTATCTCTTCCCTGTCATCCCTATCGCAGAAAATAATGTATAATATTCCAACTTTAAACAAGTTTGGTAACCAGCAGACTACAGCTCGGTCATTGGCTTATTTTACTCAACATTAATACTCACCTCCTTGCAATCCCTTACAATAGGTTGCATCACATTCAGTTCTTGACTATTGCTGAGCATAGCACTTGTACTTTTATTTCGGCCATGTCCTTTTTTAAAAGGAATTTTTACACTGGGCTGGAGATCCTTGGAAGGTGAAGTTGGTGATGATTGGACCAGAGTTTTCAAAGCTGCCACTTCAGCTTGCAGTACATCAATCTTTTAAGGAAATCCAGAATAATTTGGTCACAACATTACCACTGAAGTCCAATAATAAGAATTGAACATATGTAATAAATAAAAATATTTGCTATAAAGCCTTATTAAGTCAAAACACTGCTTTATGGTACTTATTGTTAAATATAGTGACTATTTGTATATGAATGCAGCAAACAATTTGCTAGGATGTGAATGACCAATTTTAACTAGAGAATTGTTGGCATTGGACTTTAGGAAAAACTCTTTTTCCAAAGAGTGCATGGATCAAGGTCCACCTGAACAGACAGACAAAACCTCTGTTTAAGGTCTTAACAGAACTCCAGGGTCAGTTCAATCTCAATGACCCTGATATGGGATTGGAACTCTCAACTTTTTGTCCCAGAGAATGCTACCAGCTGAGCCAAGCTGACAATAAATGTACGCAATAAATTAATTAAACTGTGAATAAATAGAGCAACACAATTGTCTCTTATATAATTAAAACAAGATCAAGTAAAACAGTTTTCATCCAAATAGAATTACAGCATCTCCGATCCAGGTTAAGTTCAGAGCCACAGAGGTCACCTCTGCACAATGAAAATGCCTTGCATCTAGACAAGAAATATCAACACTTGACATTCCTTTCGCACCATGAATGCCAGATTCTGATGAGCCTTTTGTTAATATTTGCATTCAACAAAAGCTCTCAAAATTGAAGTTGCCAAACTCTCCTTAAACCATAATAAGGAGAACATTGAAAAGTTATAAAACCATAATTATTATACTCAGAATTTACAATTCACTCAATAGAATTTTAAAATAAAATTATTTAGATCATGGATTCTACAAACTATTGAAAGTATTCCGTTACACTTCTCATACTTCGATTCATAGCTGTGCAGCTGAAGATATTATACATTAGTAGTTAGTTATTCAATTTAACAAACTGAAGTGTATCAGATATGCTTCACTTTTAATAAAATCTTTTTTTTAAAAAACAAAAGTAATTACCTTGCCTTGTGCTTCTTTTAACTGTTTCTCTGCTGCAGCTTGTTTGACATTTGCTTCTCGTACCATTCTATGAGCTTCCTTAAAAGTAAGGGCACAATCTGAGGAGTTCTTAAATCAACATTATTGTCATATTTAAAGTTTTGCATTTTGGAGAATTTACGAATTGTATGTTTAAAATGGGGTAAAGTTACTCCACAAAAGTAAAATTAAAGTGTATTATTTCACTTTAGATCTCATCCTTTATGATGTACAGCAAAACATTTTCTGTATAGTTCCAAAAATGTCAGGATTCAAGATATACATATTATATATAATATATATATGTATATATAGATGGTCCTTGAAGGAGGCAAGGGAGGGGGCCAGGTGGAGTGACTGCGGGATGGAGTTCCAGAGGATGGGGCCAAAGTGGCAGAAGGCCTGCCCGCCAATGGTGAAGCAGGTGAGAGCCAGCGGAGGGAATGGGCAAGATGGTAAGGGGGTTAGGAGGCCGTGGAGGTAGCGGGGAGGAAGGCCATGGAGGGCTTTGAAGGTGAGGACCAGGATCTTCAATTGTGTCCTTTGTGTGATGGGAAGCCAGTGGAGTTGGGCGAGGATGGGGGTGATAAGAGTCACGGAACCTGGTGAGAGAGAGGTCACGGGCTGCAGAGTTCTGGATGATCTTCAGCCTATGAAGGGAGGGAGGAGTTGGGGAGGCCGACAAGTTTGCAGAGTCAATCCTCGATATTATAAATGTGTATATGAGGGTTTCTGTGGCCTGCGTTGTAAGACAGTGGCGCGGCTGGACAATGTTGTGGAGGTGAGGGAAGGCAATAAACAAACAGTAACAAGATAATATGGTAACCAATACTATGGTAAAATATGATGTGGCAAAAATACACTTTCAAACAAAATTCCCACCAGTAAAACAGAACTAGGACGGTCCCAGGGTTGGCAGCAAGTTCAACAACAGAAATGGAAAGTGATGATTTTTATGTGCTGCACTTACCATTTTCTTCCTTTTGATATTTCATCACTATCTCTAAAAGGAACTGGTGTCATAAGATCAATGCCATTTATAAACAGTGACAATGAAGAGAATGAAATAATACTTATTCAGTCAATTAAAAATGTGAAACTCTGGAAGACAGTTTTTCAACCAATCTTTATCTTCCAGTTCCAAGCATTTAAATGTGAAATATTGCAAATCGAAAAATTGTATCACTACTTTAAAATAAATCTTTGAATTTGTTCCAGCACCTTGGGACGTCCTCCCAACGTGAAAAGTGCTGTACAAATGTAATTTGCTTTTGTTGTTGTTCAACAGCAATTATATTCAATATGGCCAAGACTACCATATGATTACTAGTTGCAAAATACAAACCTCAAATAAACTAGCTGTAAGTTCTTCCAGTTCTTGGCCCAATTGGTCTCTTACTTTGGATAATCGCTCACATTCTTCATCTTTTAATTTCAGTTCCTGCAGTGAATGATAACTGGATTATACCAAAAATATGTTGCAACTTTTACTGATCTGGTACTCACAAATTTGAGCAATCAGGTATTTTGCAGTTTTATTCAAAAGTTTGAACATTTGTTTTTAATATTAAAAAAACTTCAAAATGACAACGTTTGCATTCAATTACCTTCTGTACACATCGCTCATAGCAACACAAGACTGGACAAGATTATTATGGTCAATCTGACTGGTCCCAAAGGAAAACATTTAAAAGATAATCTTACACTAATCAATCTCTCATACACTTCAACTGAATTCATCACCAAATTGATATACAATTCCCTTTTGTATTTGTTGACATTATCTTCCTTCCTGGGTAGTACATTCCACTTTCTGCATAAAATAGTTTTTGTATTAAGACTGGCAGTCATGACAGTCAAATACAAAATGTGTTTGAAAACCACCCCAGCCTCCTGATAATACAGTAAAATTGAGTTTTCAAAAGATTTTTTTTACATGAATACGTTTACCATAACTGCTTGAAATACGCCACAGTCCTCAGGGAGGAAAGGCTATTCGGAACAAACTTCCTAAATTAAAATTAATCTCAAAGAATAAGATGCTATTTCAAACATTAAAAATAATTCAATAATAATTGATAACTTGTAAGTGTGTCAACAACAGTTACAGTAGGAATCATGAAGTAAATGGCCCATTTCTGTGTTATATCATTCTGTGCAACAACAATCATCCTTCCATTTGATATAACCCATTATCACATTGGAAATATAAATTAGATTCAATATAAGCAGTGACAAAAGAAGCACAGATTTATTTTTGACCGCCAACCTTGAGCCTTGTTGTAACTAAGCACTGCTGTAAAATAATATTTCCATTTCATAATATTGAACCGAAAAATACATTCTTACACCTCGTAAGAATATGTATGCAATACCACATTGGTGACTATAATTGGTCTGAAATTACAACTGAAAGGAAGATGAATGACTCATGAGTTGTCAGGAGTGTCTCACCAGTTGTTCTCATCAGTTAATGAAATTAGCCATGCGTGCTATACCTTTCAATTCTATGGTTGGTTCTCTCATCCATTTTTCACAGTTGGTTTGCTATTTAATTTTTTCATAGTTTTTGAAGTATGAACAGGTGTTTTTCTAAGAGCAGTTTGCACAATGGTGGATATATAAAACAATGAACCATAGTAGACAATTTGTGGCTGCAGGAGTTAAACCAGATTATCAAATTTCTTTGACAATAAAATGTATTTATGGACTTCTGTCACAGTAAGGAAGGGTTCTTTACACATACTGAATGTGAAAAAAAAGATATTTTGCCTTCCTGCTCGTGCCTTAAGAGTGCAAGTCATCAGTTTTGGCTATAATAGCTTTTCCTCTTAAGGAGCAATAGAGCATGGGGGAAAAAGATCAGAGGGAGACAAAGCCACTCATGTACAAAATCGCAATACAATCTACATTGTGCCAATACAATAAGTATTACAATACTACAAGTAGCAATAGTTTTGGGAGACAGAGGGAAGGAGAAAAGAGGAGGGAAGGGAAAAACAAGTAATGAACTTCTTATTTGCTTTACAAATTATTTACATACTAAAACCAACTTATTGGGTCTTTATCAGCACTTTATTCACAAAAAAAGTTTTTAAACTTTTGCCAATACCATCTGCTTTTCCAAGTACCTTTTTTTATTAAATCTACTTTCCATCTCTTTATCCATATCTGTTAAAATGTTTACTCCTTATGTGCTTATATAGTTCCCTTTAGAATGATTTTATATGAACCTTACATAGAGTATAATGTACGTATAATGTATAATGGAGTATAATAGAGTATAATGATAATACTTGACTATCATGACAACTAAGCAAAGATTACTTACCCTCTGAGCCTTAGCAAGTTCTTCCTTTAACCTTTCATAGCCCTTCTCCCTTACTTCCTGTACAAATGGGCTCCTCAAATGAGATAGACTGTCTGTACTTCGCCCAAGGACATCTTCTGATCCTTCCTGAACTTCATTTGCTACACCTTGTAAAAATTCCACCTCTGCCCGATGGCTAATGTTCTCACTTGATCTGTCCTCTTTTGCTGGGTCATGCTGAGATCCAGATCTTGCATATGATATCGACATTTGATTGTCAGAGTCATTTGCACTGTTATGAAGAAAAAGAGAAACTATTTCAAGAAATCAGATTAACTTTTGACATCAGTATGTTGAACTTATATTTAGTGTCTTTTGAGTAAAAGTCACAAATTTAGTGAAAACGAATCATGCATCAACACTTGGAGTACATAGGACAATGTCGTTGGATTCAAATGAAATACTAAGGTTACAAATTAATATAAGAACTGATTGTAACATTATCAGATTACAACATGTGATATAAAGTTGGTTGATAGAGGCATTGCCTTGATAATTATTGGAGAAAAGGGACAATATTTTCTTTGAAATTATGCAATCTGCATCAGCAACCTAGAGAACTACTTTGCATAATAAAATCATCTAGGCACCTCCTTAGAAGGCTCAATAAGACAAATAATGTACTATGGTATAATTTCTGTTTCTATGCAGATGCAAGAGTTTTTTTTAAGATTGTATTATTTCATTACGTCATAGTAACATCTAAGTTATAATACTCTAGACTAAAAGTAATTCAATAGCAAAGTAATAGACAATCATAGTGATAGACAATCATAGTAATGCCCAAATATCAGTTAATAATCAAACTTGCAACACAATCATACCTGACATCTCTAAATTCTCCACTGGCAATATGTTTAGGGGATGAATAAATTGGTTGTGTTGGAAGATCTTCAGCATTCAGTGCATTGGGTTGGGCTGGAGTTGAGCTCACCAGCGAGAAAGGTTGGTAAGGTAGCCCTTCGGTTTCTGTGGCCTCCAACTGCGACAGAACAATGAAATCCGGAGAGGAAGGTGAAGCTAAGTTCACTTCATGAAAGCCTTCGAGGGAGTCACTTTCCATAGCAAAAGGTTCATTATATGGAACTCTGTAGTAAAGAACAAGTTAAATGTACATAAAATATAATAAAGAGTGCAGTTAAAATAGATCATCAATTGCACTAATCAGAACCCAAAACACTATCAGTAACTATTGTTTCAGTACAAAACAGCTGTATTTGAAGCTAGTCTTCCAAAGTGGCGTGTATCATTGTAATGCTTTTTAATCTTATTCTTTTTTTGAATTGCTTATTTATAAGTTAATGACATTAAAGTAGCTAGTTGAGGGGAGAGGAGCTTATCTATATGGAGTCCTGTAGCATATTGGGTAGAGCACTCGCCTCACAAGCGAGAGAACCCAGTTTCAATTCTCGGGCGGGGCGAAACCTTAGGCAAGTTTCCGTACTCCACACACATGCCTGTTTAGCTAGCAGTAAGTCGCTTTCCAGCAGTAACAATCCCATAAAAAACAAAATAATAATTTGGTCACTCAATCCACAATTGTTTATGGGACACTGCTGTGCACAATTGGCTGCCGCGTTTTGCCCACAGTCACTACACTTTACAGTATATTCTGTGAAGCCCTTTGAGGTCTCGAAGATGCGATAAGGCACTATATCAACTGCAAGTATTAGTTTTTTTTAAATAATAAAATAAAAACCCGCCTATTTTTCAGAGTCTTTTATCAATCAAACAATGGGAAGAGGGAGAGAATCAACAATGAACTCAATCCCACAGCCCCTCCACCTTGCCCACTCCCTTGCCTTCTTCAAGACCTGTCTCAAGATCCTCCTCTTCGACTGAGCCTTCGATCACCCTCCTTTCCTCTCTGCTCTCCACCCTCCCAAATTCCAACCACCAGCTCGGGTCCGAAACACTGATTGCCAGCACCTGGGACATTTCCTCATTGCGAAAGGCGCTATACAAATGTAATTTTGTTATTATTGTTGTTGAAAATCAGGATTTATTTTGGAACGTCTGCTTAATGCACAAACAATAAAGCACATAGTCCTGAAACTGGCTTGCCTGAGATTTAGCACATTGTGCGCAGAATACCATGATTGACATTGCAGCAATATGGATCTCATAACGGATAAGCATTCCATTTAAGCATTTTGAGACAACTTCCCGATGTGAAAGGTGTCATATAAATTGTATTGTGTTCTGGGAACTGGTTTAACCACGCATTGTATGGAGCACCCATTCCTGGGACTGGTATTGCAATCAAGTGGGGTTTGGGATAGATGTGTATTGCCAGAATTGTCTTACTCAAGGACCTATAACATTATGCATTGATTCCGAAACTTGCATTGCAGCGAGGTGTGATTTAAGATATTGGCATATAACCAAACCATAGTAGGTGAATAGTTTTTTTTCTTAAAAAACACCAATCTACTTCCACCATTAAAACACAATTATCAGTAAATGCCAGTTTTAAAAAAAACTTTAGTGGCCATTATATAGGATAAGTGAACAGTGTCCGCCAAAATAGATTAAATACATAAATGTCATTGAATAATTGCCAGCATAGTCAACTGGCTTCAAATCACTAGATATGGAGGACAGCAAGAATTTTGGCTGCTGACTTCCTAGTGTTCACGTTGGTTTGCATGGAATTCACAAGTCACTTTATATGAAGTCTAAAACCACTCCCACCAAGAAACCCGAAGTTAGAGAAACTTCTTTCCAGGGATGGAAAGAAGGTTCCCAGTTCTGAACTCAGACTACTTTGTTCCCAGGAGAAAAGAACTTGTAAATAGGCTTCATTCTTTTCCTGTAATTTGAACATAAACCTCTTCTTTATTTTAAATTGCTACAAATTCGTAATTTTGCTTCAAAAGTCTCAAATGCCATTTTTTATTAAAATTACTATATATATGTATGCATAGCAGAAACACAACTTACCATAAAAAATTGATAAGTTTCACTATCCACTGTAGGTCAGCATCTATCTTCGGGTGATGTGCAATCTTACAAATTTTGGTCCATTTTCATAACTATAAAATAATTAAATTTTGTATAAGAGTAATAATAAATGTTACTATCAAACATTAGCCCAAGTAATTATATTCAAACATTCTTCCTGATGCTGCTAATCAGTTACAGCATAATCAAAGCAAACACACAGCATCACTACTTGATTCAGTTCACTTGCATTGTTTAAGTTCAGCCATTACTAAATTAAACAGAAATTTGCCCCCTCTGGTTTTCAACAATGGATGCAGTGTGAACCGCTGAATAACACTAAAACATTCAAAGCATTTTCTCCTCTAGCTCAGTTGGAATTTCATTTTCGTGAGCCTGAACTGCATTTTGCAGTTACAGGTTCCTATGCCTTTTAGGGAAATCTATAAAAAAGGATTCTACTTCTAGAAATCTGAAATATAATTAGTTGCATACGAGTCATTAAAACCAGTTACATTTTTAAGTTATAAAAACAGTTTACTGTCCTCATAGGTTGGTTCACAAATTGCTGTGGTTTTCTTTGTATGGTCTGAATTGAGGTATGACCCTTTTAATAGCGTTTCAGTACACATTATTCCAAATTACACTATTTGATTCAGTACACATTATTCCAAATTCAAAATCTATGTCATTACCCTGTATAACAGTTCATCAAACTCTGTGGCTGCATTGATGAACTCAACTAAAAACAAGTTTAAATTTCAACCTTAAAGGGTTTCATTCTTCAGTTTCTCCTTGAAGAAACAGCATGAGTTTTCACCAATCAAGAAAACAGATGCGTGACCTAGACTACTTTTTTCTATTTAAGTAAAAGACACAAGTCAACTAAAGTCTTTTTTATCTATGAGAAATGATTTGCATCAAATTTTGAATCATAAAACAAACTTAAGAATATTGATGCTTAAACTTATTGAAAGCCTACCTCAGGAGCAACACTGAAAAGAACACAACCATGAACAACAACAACTAACAAAATTACATTCGTATAGCGTCTTTCATGTCGGGAGCACGTCCCAATGAAGATGTTAAATGTAATACCTTCTTAAATGCAAATAACTGAATGAAGGTTAAAAAAGGGTGGGAAAATAAATAAAACCACTCTTTCCCAATCACAATATTCCATTTATCTATATTATTATTGTACTAATAAAACTACAATGTCTGTCTATCTGCATGCGCTTCAAGAAGGATCTCAATAACCGATTGACATAGAGACATGATTTATACCTCAACAAAATGCTTATGCATTTGGGAGTGACATGGGCATATTTATTTTCCGGCATCTCCTATCGTTCATGAGTTATGACCTAAAATGTATTTCAGTTTTGCATTTTTTGTTGCAGTTACACCTGGTGGCCGCCAAGCCAAGGCGCTGTGGCATCGTGCGTCACAGAGCACCTACGCGTGTACTCACACACTGCAGTTACACCTGGTGACCAAACCGGCTGACCGTGGCGCTGTGGCATCTTGCATCACAGAGCACGCACACAGCCAAGCGGCGGCGGGAACACAATAAAGAACACAGACGAAGCTAAGCCACAGCAACAACAACAAAATTACATTTTTAAAGTGCATTTCATGTCGGGGGGACGTCCCAGAGATTACAAATTATACATTTATGTTTTTTGTTATAAAGATGCCTAAGTGAAAATCAAACATTTCAAGGATAAGTAAAAATGCAAGACAAAAGAGAGAAGGCCCATTTAACAAAACTGAAGAACAAAGAACATTGCGGCTGCACTTCAACGCTAAAAGAACTGCAACGGCACAACAAAATGAGTTACCCACTCAAAGAACCGCACAGCCAAAATGAGTCCTCCCACAGGAGTCCTCCCAGATGAGTATAGATAAAGATGAAATGTCTGACTGTGTGTCAATCTACACTCCATACTGGATCTGTTGGTTGCAAGCGTAGCTGCAATGGGTACAGCCTGTATATCAATAAGCGTACCTGCAAAATGTTGTAATTTTTGACAACATGGGATTAAGATATGCCAAAGACACCAATGCAACTAAAGGTTTACTGCTGAAATCTGACAACATAGCAGATAGTACAATCAGCTGTCCTTTGCTGACAGCTGAAATTGTACTCTAATGATTCTATTTATGTGGAATTTGAAACTTGACTGAGAACTAATGCATAAGGGATGAGCAATAGGCTCCTAGGTCATTCCACCAACCGACAAAGCCATCCAGTATTTACAATGCACATGCAAAAATATGCTACAGGGAAAATCTATCAGCACTATAATGCAGCAGCACTGGATTCATAGAATTGACCATAGAGCACCGAAGCTAACTGCCAATAGTGTTGAAGTTTACGGATTCTGCTTGAATTTCCAGCCATCCTCGATACTTTGTTTGCGCCCATACAGGTCAAATGCAATTAACAAATAAAGGTGCACGTGTGGTATCACAGAATATGGTTTGCAGTAATTACTGAGTGAAATAAATCATTATCAAATCCAGGGCAGTGCAACTAAGGAGCAATGCTGATGGCATTCAGGAAGTGTCACTGTCTAAATTTGTCTACAATGCCACCTGTCGTCATTCAATTCCTGCACGTCTAGTATGCCCTGCATAGTGAGATTTATTTACATTCCGTAACATAAATGGCAATTTGAAATCAGCTGGAGTAAAACCAAATTGAAGTAATGCCTCCATTCGTCCTATCATGGCTCTCTGACTCTCACAGTGGAGCTTAAAATTTGTCCAATGCAAAGAAAGTGAAATATTCATATTTCAGAAGTTCAATGAAAACTTCCATAACAGTGACAAATTTTGCACATCAGGTTGCGGTTTAATACATTTTTGACATTATTGAATAATAATTTGTGACGCACATAATGGAGGTTTGTAATAAATGTTTCTCAGCAATGTACAATTTAGAACTCAATATTTTCACAAAACATGCACTAGATTTGATTGGTGCTTTCTAATTTTACACATCGCACTTATTCAGGAAATATTTTAAATTCAATAAAGGTTACATTCACTTGCCACTGAAATGGCACAATGAAATCTCTGTTTGAAAATCCAGCAGCCAATGGGCTTTACAGTTAAATTTGCCAGGGGAAAACAGACATTGCTTGGTTGTAATAGCTGGTAGCTGGCACTAACTTAATCTGTCACATTTAGAACTGGATATTCCAGCGAATTCTCCACCCTCTTTCCCACAGAAAAAGGTAACGTTCCATTTTTGCTCTTTAGCCGTTAATGTGATTCAACTGTACTGCTTTGCATTTTTGGAATTGTCAAATGAACAACTGCACAATCACATTTAATGAATAGAATGGCATAAGATTACTGTATAATGTTTCACTAATGTTCATCATGGCAATGAAATCCACTTTAGAAACTACAGCTTACACTATTATGAGATACAATATTTTGAAAATTACAAAGAATACTCCTATTTGGAGAGTTATGGTTATTACTTTAAAGTGGATACCATAAACTACAAACATTAAACAGACACAATTTCCAAATGTTAGCAACACTGATGATTGTTTTGCTTATAAAGGAATCTAAGAATCTAACAAAGAATCTTGTATAGTTTATGATATTTTGTCTTTTTAAACTACCAGACATTGTGCATCTTCTACTAAATAATGTAATTGAAAGGATAATGAGAATGGTAGAGCTATATGAAGGTATATCTGCTTGGCTAAACTCAATACAGTTTTTCTTTATATCAGAAAGCTGATTTGGACATCGGACGAGAACATGATTGTGATACTCTGAACTGTTAAATAGTTTGATGCCGTCCACCATCTGAACTCAGGTATGAAGAATACAATCAGAATCTGTCAATTTTTTGTCAATCAGAATCTGCCAACTGCTGAGGAATAGTATTCCAGCAAGAAACAGTGCTTTCAAGGGAAGTAGAACTGAGAAATAAGAGAAGAAATTGACAAGCAAATTGTAATTGAAAAGGAATGCTGACAGTGCCGATAATCTCTATCCATTGTTAAAAATCTAAGTTTCCACTTATTCAGCTTTTAAAAAATGTTACTTCCCAATACCTATTCCCAAACACCCCAATTAATTCGTTGTCTTATCACTGACTTTCAGAATTCAAAGAGAAGGAATGATACAGATTAGTTTAAAAAATAAAATGGATTCTGAAAGTGGTTTTCAGTTTATCAGGAGGCACATTGGTGAAGTCTGCTTTTTTATCATATAATTCTGAATGACATTTTAAAGCTTTTGCTGCTTTTGCCAGCTGACCCTGAAGTGAAAAGCTAAGATGCATTTTCTCAAAATGAGTTCTCTCATTAGTGGAGCTGAAAAGGTTAATGGACAATGGGGAAAAAGTATTTTTTAAAAAAGTGAAAGTGATCATTTTGTTATGAAAGTACTATTACTAAAAAACACTCTACACAAAAGAAAAAAATTGGTAATTAAGAATACTAATAAAATAATGTGATTGTGTCTGAAGTCATAATTTCAAAAAATTCTCACCAGTTACAGCTACCTATTAACTAATTTGATCAAGTCATTATCATAGCTTCCAACACATTAAAAACGACAGCTGCCACATAAACTTGCGTGCTCTCTTTATTTATTCAAAAGCACAAAGTAAAACGTAAATTATTTACGCTTCAATGAGGAGCACAGGCATAAACATGCCTCCATCAAATAATACAAAGGGGTAGGTTATAAAACAACTACATTATTTCACAATAAATGTTATTTCAAGGTGCAATACATCTGAACAATACAAAAGCGATGAGTGTTTTATCAACGCATTAATATTCCTTCAAATTCATATCTGTACTTCTAGCAATTCTTAATAAATGAAAAGGCAAGTGTTTTAAAAAAAAGATATTTTACTGAACATCAGTGCTGGGGAAATTAATGGAATTTTTTTTTGCAGCATTAACATCAAGCACTCCGAGGTCAGGTGAGAGGAAAGCTCCTTTTACATTGTTCCAACAATGAATAGTAACCCAAACCTCAGAAGACTGCTGCTGCCTAAGGCATCACTATGTCACTTCCATTCCCACAACAGTCGTTTGTACAGTTTCTAAGTAAGAGACTGGCAATTCCAAACAAACGTCAAAAATAAGGGTGAAAAATTGTAAGGAAAATGCTCCCAAACCGGTATACAATTTCAGTGATTTGAAAGTGAAAGTGAATTGCTTTTTTCTTTAAAACTCAACAAGTCATACTCCCCCCAAACCTATGGCTCAATTGGTATAGCCAATAGCCATTGTGAATTGAGTCATACAGACTGGAAAGTTCTGAGGTTTAATCTCTCTAAACTCGTCTATGAAGAATGGATAGAATAGCAAGCTTAGTGAAGTACCAAGATGCAACTAACACGCATGGAACAATACACCGACATGACTCTACCCCTTGAGGAAACTGCGCGGTGGGGGAAATTGAACGACAAATAAAAGACGGCCTCATCTAAGATGAACAGTTCAGGGAACAATCTATACAACATTCGCTTATCTTGGGCATTTTGTAGTCTCTCCCCCAACCCCACCAGAATTTCAGCAAAGGTGTTTCAGTTCCTAGTTGCAGAAGCTCTGCAAAGATTATCACTTAGAAGTCAGCCAACTAAATGATGTATAAATCATCAACATGAAGTGACCCTTTGCCACAAAGAAAACCTTTAGATACCATCTCTTTCACAAATACGGATAATAATTTTCCAGGGATAATAATCCTTAGAAAAAAACAATAATAATTTGGTTACTCAATCCACGACTGTTTGTGGGACACTGCTGTGCGCAAGTGATATGACTAATACTATGGAGCATAAACATCTATCATTAAAGCAAAGGGAATCGGTACATGCAGCTCTTTTATATAAATTATCAGGTTATTTACTGCAATGCCCACATTAAGGACAGCATAAACTCTAGCATGAAAGGTGATTTCTGATACTATATTTGCATTAAAGTTAAAAAAAGCTATTTAGTGCGCAATTGGCTGCGAGTTTTGCCCACAAATATACAGTCAATTCACTTTACAGTATATTCTGTGAAGCGCTTTGAGATCTAAAGGACGTGAAAAGCGCTATATCAAATGCAAGGATTATTATTTTATTATTATTATTTCATACTTGCAATTTCCATTCCAATGTTACATTCAGTTCCAGCAACTAAATCAGGTCTAACTCCAAACAGTAGTATATTTTAAAAAATCCAACAAATGTGGAAGCCTAACGAGTACATTATAAAATATAATTAATCACAAATTATTATATCTTTCTCACAAATGGGTTTATTTCTAGTGTATTACTAATGATCAGATGGTGATTTGCTTTTCAAATACCAGATGCTTATTTTCCAGATGAATTAATGCAAAATCTACATCATACAATGGATTATTTCAAGAGAAAGCTGAAGTCATTTTGATAAATAATGACTGCCCAGGAACCCTTATAGAATGATGAACCTTCCAACAACAAGAGCAGCGAATGTGCACAGAAACAGAGTACTCAACATTACCAGAAAAGTATAACAAATAATAAATCCATGATGATGAATAAAGGCTTCAAGAAATCATGATTCGAATATATTTACCAGGCTCTTAAATTCTTTGTAATGATCCCCAGCTGATTTCTTTTTAACCAGTTTATCACTCATTATGCAATTAGACTACACAGAAAGCAAGTGTCCATCAGTATTTGTCACTATAACCACTGACATGAAAGGTTCCCAAACTGAATGAAACTAGTTTCAAAGTCTATACTGAAACTATAAAAGCTATGTCCCAGTAACCAACTGTTGATTATCATTCAAACTTGCAATGAATATGTGCCATTCTTTAATCTGTCAGCGTGCATCATCAAGCATCAACTTAAAAAGACTATTCTTGGTTCATGTCGACCAACGCTCGTCCACTGGATGAAGGAAGAGTAAGCGATGGAAACGAAAATAAAATTGTTTCTAAAAGAACCTTCAAAGATGCACATATGAAAATAATCATAAAAGATTACAGGGCAATAATGTCAGCTGTGTGAATTTCCTCTGAATCACATAGCAATATTATTCTGTAAGGTTCACATCACAATAATATCAATAACTTCAGTCCTAGTTTCATTGATGAAAAGCAGTTTTTGTTTACTGAGACTATATTTAAAAAATATATAAACAGTAAATGGTAGAGCATGCATGTTTCAGGGTTTAAACTACTTAAGGTTTCATCTAATAAAATTAAAAATAAAATAAAAATAAACAAACAAAAGTTTATTGGACACTCCTTGTCCCAGGCAATAATATCTCAATATAAGTAGTAACTCCAACAATATCAACTGATAGTAGAAAGAGAAATGTACTTGGAATTATTGCATTAATATATGCAGAGTGGTGGGGGGGGGGGGGGAGATGTTTATGCTGACATGGATTGAGAAGATTCAGGAAGACAGGCAGATGGTCAGTCAGCACCTTTGTGGATCTCGGGGAGCAAAGCTTCACCAGCATACAACTGGGCAGAGGATTAAAGCTGCACTTTCACAGGGATCGCTAATACTCACGATGCTGCTGTCAAATCCGGTCATTTAAAACAAACTCGGGATGGCTGATGCCCAGAAAAGCGGCATCAAGGGTGGTATGAAATAACGTTTTCGTTAAAACTATTCAGCATAAATGTACGGTACGGGTATGGCGCAGCGCTGGTGGAGTTGGTACCTTCGCAGGTTTACTGCTACAGCGCTGGGTCTAAAGTGAGGTTGTCGGGCGCCGAAAAAAAGAGAGAGACATTTGCCTAAGTTGCGAGTTCCCCTCCATCTCACCTTAGATTGCAATCCCAACCTTTCGCAAAGGAAACCGTCGGTTGCGCACCAACTCTTTCAGCAACACAAAGCACAGTGAGATTTGCGAAATCCTATCATTCTTATTGGATTAAATCCAAAATCCCTCGCTCGCCCCTCTGACCCACTCGGGATTACCGAACCCCCCGATTCTATCCATTTTCTAGACGATGCCCGAAATCGGGGTGGGGGGGGAGGGGGGGGAGTTATTGTGAAACGTGCATCTTTTTAAAAAATAAGTCAAAAAAAATATTATTATTTTTTTTTGGGGGGGAGGGGGGAGAAGGGGGAAAAAAATAGCTGCTCACAAACATCTCAGGAGCCAAACGCTGGCAGCTCGCGAGTTGCTTCGCTTTAACGCGTACGGTTACTTCGCCAGTGGGGCCGGATGCCGCCTAATTCCGGCCTACAGGAGCCGAACCGGGAGCCGTCTGCACAAGGCCGGGGGGGGGGGGGGGATTCGGAACGACAACGAACGGGGAGGCGGACTCGTCTCGTCAGGGCCGACCGGGGGGAGCTGGTGACCTCGGCACGGCAGCGGTCGCAGTTTTAGCCCTGGAGAGAAATGGTCCACGGCTGAGAGAAGCCGCTGCCCCTTTAACACCCCCCCCCCCCCACTCACTTCCCCTTTAAACGGGGGGGGGGGGGGGGGGCGCGAGCGCTGCGCCCGCGATTTGAACGCCGGCGGTTTGGAACCAGCGGCGGTTAAGTCGGTTGGTTGGTTGGTTGGGAGCCGCGCGCGCTCCAGGTAACACGGACATCACATCACTCACCTGACGGCCCGTCCCCACCGCAAACACACACTCACTCACTCACTCCTCCCTCCGCTTCAAACCAAACTAACAGCGGAACTGAAACAACGACTTTACATAGATGTATGTTTTAGTTTCACCTGTACTGTATATACACACACACACACAGTCCGGGAGCTTTTAACTTTACTCCATTTCTCCACCTGCCCCTCGCTCCCTCGCTCGCGCTCACTCACTCACTCACTCACTCCCCACAACTTCCAGCAGCAGCACCTGCACCGCGGCCACTGCGCGTGCGCCGCTCTTTCTCCCCCCCCCCTCTCCCCCGGCCTGTCCGCAACTGCGCGTGCGCGCAGGCATGTGCCGCCGAGACCCATCACACGCATTTCCTCACATACCCATAACGACAACAATAACAACAACGATAATAATCCTTGCATTTGATGTCGGGCTTTCTCACCTCTATCGAGAGCCGTCGCAAAGCGCTTCGCAGATTGTACTGCGAAATGAATTGACTTGTTATTTGTGGGCGAAAACGCGGCGGCCCAATTGCGCACAGCAGAGTGCCACAAACAGCCGTGGGTTGAGTGACCCAAGTTATTTTTGAGGGGTTATTATCCCCGGAAAAGTGATCCACCAATTGACTAACAAGCAGGTTCCTCCTTACTGCTGCGTAAAACAGAGGAGTGTGGAGTAAGGAAACTTGCGTAAGGTCTCGCCCTGACAGGGAATCGAACGCAGGTCCTCTGGCTTATACACTGTATAAAGTATACACTGTGCATCCAGATCATGACATAAACACACTACAAATGCTATATCAAATGCAAGGATTATTATTATTTATCTATATTTCACATGGGCATCCCAAATCATTACATACTACAGATATATATACTCTACACATATATGCAAGGTGACCAAAAAGTCTTTTTTTTCAGCTACCCGATTATCGAAATGAAAATCATCATTTATTAGACTTATTAGACATTGTAATGGTATCACGACTTTTTGGTCACCCTCTACAAATGGATGTAGACACATTACATGCATATACACACTATATACATGTGAATGTACTCATTACATGTACACACAATGTACATAAATTTACCTATATATACACACGTGCATTCAAACTCAGGCTGAATTAGCCTTTTATTTGCTGAGATTTAATAGTAATAATTCTTGCATTTGATATGGTGCCTTATCACATCTTCGAGATGTGTTAAAGCGCTTCTCAGAATATATTGTAAAGCAAGAATAAACATAAAAGATGAGAGAAAAGTAAATGAAAGGTCAGTACAGTACTGTGTGGTGTTTTTCCTTCCCAACCAGATAACCCCAGGTCAAACAGAATTTATACAGAAAGATCAAATCACCTTTGCATGTATTGATCAAAACTGAATTCAATCTCCTCAATATTTGTACTATGTATATGCTTCAAAGCATGCCATATGTCAAACGTTGTCAAGTTACCAGCTGATGTATGCACTTTGCTTCATCAGAAGAGCTAAAGAATGCTGGACAAAAAAATTAGATTTAGCATTAGGCTGATTTAAATCCCGTTAGACTAGACCCAGTTTTAAAGCACATACTGAGGTAAGAAAATGAATTACAATTTGTTTGATTTACAGGATCCCAGTGCTACTCCAAACATACCTCCTGTCTGCAAGTTAAGCACAGTATTGACTGTATTCAGGGAGAAGTCCGCAGCCCTTCCAGATGAAGAATCCTCATATTTGCATTCAATGAAGAATTAAGGGAGAAGAGAGTATTGGATTGAAAACTGAAAAAATAGACATTTTTGTAACTGACCTGTAAAGTAAAAACAAAGATTTAGGTTTTAAATGTTGTCCAATGTTATCACAGTCCAAATAGGGTTAAAATAAATGGATATCTATATTATGTAAGAACATCCATAGCTGTGTTGAGTAACTTTATGTATGATGTAAATTTGTTCTTAAGTAAGAAAACGTAGTTCCACAATTGGTGGTAATTCTTGTGGGAAAGATGTACACTTCTGTGCTTCAGTTTGGTAGCAGAATTCAATTAATCATTTTCCAAATTTCACTGTCTCATCTCAAAAAATGATGCATTCTTTTAAATGTTTTTTTATTTATAAATTGTCTGTGAATATTCCTTTGAATGTAGTTTTACTTTGTAAAAATAAACCATAATTTAGTACTACAACAACAACTTGCATTTATATAGCGCCCCTCACGCAGGCTCGCGTACCAGAGCTCTTTACAGTGACAGAGCCGGACACCGAGCTGGGAAAAGGTGACCGTAGGCACGATCGAAGAGGAAGGTCTTCGGGCACGACCTGAAGATGAGGAAGGAAGGGGCAAGACGAAGGGATAGAGGAAGAGTGTTCCAGGGTTTCAGGGCATAGTGGCTGAAAGCAAGGATGGTGGAACAGAGGGCACGAGAACATGTAGATGGCCGGAGCCAGTTGAGCGGACGTAGCTGGTTGTGGGTTGGGAGGTAAGCAGGTCAGAGAGGTAGGGAGGTGCCAGGGCACGAAGGGATTTGAAAACGAGTGTGCGGATCTTGAAAACGATCCATTCAGCGATAGAGAGCCAGTGGAGGCTGGCTAGAACTGGTGTGATGGTGGTACGGAGTTTAGTGCGGATAAGTATCTGGGCGGCGCAGTTTTGGAGTAGCTGGATCTTTTGCATGATGGGACTGGGGAGACCAGTGAAGAGGGCATTTCAAAAGTCGAGTCAGGAGGTAACAAACGCATGGATGAGGGTTTCGGCTGCATCTAGGGAAAGGTATAGTCGGCGGTGGGCAATGTGGCAGAGGTGGAGGAAGGTGGTCCTGGTCAGATGTGGGGAAGGAAGGACAGCTGTGGGTCGAACTTGATGCCTATAAACTAATGCTAATCTTTAATATTCTCTGCTTTCATACTTGAAACTGGTCAAATAAATCTGAAAGTACACGAGTAATGCCAATTGTTTTAAATATGATAATATTTTTTCATATTCTTAATAAATATGGCTATTATTTTCAGGATCTGATTATTGCTCATGCAGTCATTTATTTTGACCCAATATGATATACCTCTATCTAAAGGATTTCACTTCCAGACACAAATTGTGATATACTCTAGTTGCATTGTAGATACAACCAAGAAACAAACCCACAGACAATTAATATTGTTTCAAATTAAAATAAGTAATCCATCATCATTGGCTAGAGAAAACATGACAGTGCCCAACTAAAGGGAAACACAGAGTCTCCTTTGAGCAGGATCCAACTTTAAACATTTCCTAGAGAAACAATTGATGCTAATTGATTTACTCAATTTATGATTTAATTTACTCAAACAGTAGCTGGAGGCAATGAAAAGGTTAATAATTTCCTGGAAGAATGTTTACATACAATAACTGTATTACTGAATGCATGGATAAAATGCATAAATAATTATTTATGACAACAGAAATTCAGTGATATGCCAGACGGTCGGTGCCTCAAATGCTTAAAATTAACAGAACTGTACAACATAAAATATCTTGATTAATATAAATACTGTATTTATTTTGGAAGCTGTTTTCTTTTTAAGTCTGAGTTGCACACAGTTGAAAAGTATATTTAAATGAAATAAAATTCAAATTGTTTTTCTTGCTCCAGTCTTAACCAACAACAATATTATTTTGTTTAACCCCTCTTCCAATGCCTTGTGTTCAAGGTCACAAGGTAGAAATGCTCGACTGAATGATTGATAACAATGTTGTGTAATATACTGCGAACCATAATCTTGTTGCAGAATTTTTCAGGACTGTATTCTGAATTGATTCTTAATTTATTTAAGCATCTAAAATGACTTTTTTTTTAAAACCACAAAGTCTCATTAAGGACAGATTGTGAATTGATAAGATATGTTTTATTTTGCTCAGCTTTCATTGGCAGTGTTTGAAAAGGAAGTCGGCCGTTATCACTTATTTCCCCTTTCCTTTTGGGACTTTGTTTCTGTTGCTCGCTGCAACCACAGGTTAAGAAACCTGTTGAGACTTCAGTTACTTAACTCAACTGGTTAAGCCTCTGACAATCAAACTCTAATCAAAATCAAATTCTAATGCAAAGAAATATGTGATCTTATAAGTGTTATTACACAACATGTCATATGAATAAGCACTAAAATTTTACTTTTCAACACTTTTCAATTTGTGATAGAAATCATTGACTGATGTGTTTCGATTGTAGGCTGTTATGAAAATCCAATGAATCCAACATATAGAAAGAACTATGTTTAAATCGCATTACAAATCTTTTAATTGTCAAATCTGATAAAATGTTCACTTGTTCTCCCTCACTCCAGAATGATACTTACTTTGGGCCTGGATGTAGAACTGGTGCCGGGAATAAAATGGATTAAAAAAATGCGAAACAGATCACTAACAGCAACCATTACATTACTGTACTATCATTCCTCTTCTATGACACATAATTTTGCTCCCACCTGTCTTTGAGCATGGGAATGTTTACTTTGTGGAAGCATCTGTTACAAATTCCTTCCTTGTCTATAAATCAGAATGGAGGGTGTTGCTGAAGACTAAAGTTCACATCTACTCTACTGAAACATGAACCAAAGGTACACACTCTTAAGGGGAAAGGACTTTGAGCTCATTGTCTGGGCCAACACTGCAAATGTAGCTCTGAAACAGTACTGCATTGTCAGAGGTGCCAACCTTCAGATGAGATGCTATATCAAGGTTATGTCGGCCTATTTTAAAGGTCCTTTGACACTGCTCATAAAGAGAATGAAGTTTCTCCTGGTGTGCTGGCCAGCAATCTGAATAGAATTGGTCATTCACTTCCTGGCTGTTTGTGAGGCATTCGTGTGTGCAAATTGGCTGCTTCTTTTGCCTTAAAAAAAACAGTTACTACACTTTAAGAAACTTCCTATCAAGCGCTTTGAAATGTTCTGACGTAAAATACGCTATAGCGTGCAATAAGTATTATTAATCTTTACATCTAAAAGAAAACATCCTATCCATGGTTCGATATATGACATATCATTGAAAGTCTGTAAGAGATGCTTGACTCTTCTATTCCTGGTTTACTATAAGTAACTTGGCATTTGGCACCACTCTGTAATAATACTTGCTTCACCCTACTCTATAAGAATTGCTAACTAGTATTTAAATGCTGGTAACATTTTTAGTATAAAGACCAGTTTAGATTGCTGGATTCAATTTGTTATGGCAGTAAAACATGAGAAATTTAATTTATATTTCCTGTTTCAAAATTGCCTGCGTCTGAAAGAGAGTTCTGCAAGTGCACAACTAGCTGTTTAATAATATCCTGGCAACTTCATGAGCTGTCTGTTCATCAATCGCCGAACTTTAATAAACCTTTTTTTGAGCAGTGAGGCACAGCCTAAACTCACCCAACATTGATTTGTAAAGAGCAAGACGGTCAACACTTGAATAATATTCTGTAAAGATAATTCTTAAGGGCAGTCAGTCCATTGGACCTCTTGGAAACTTTGAAAATATTATATTTAAAATCCAGGAAGTTCACTTTGCTTCATCTCCATTTGCATTTTATTACAGTTGTTGTAAAGTTGTATTGGTGTGAAACTGTCCCTCTCGAGGTGCCACATTAATTCAGTTCAATTCCATATCGATCCTCTAGAATCTAGATGCACTGTGGTTTTCAAATACATCTTGATTTGACAAGATCTTCAGGTACAATTGACACAAAAACCTATAGTACATCTAACTGCCTTGTTAATATTCTCAACACCTACTGCTATCTGAGCCTTTGCGCAATGAGACCAGGATTGCAATCACTAGCTAATGGCAAATTGTTTGTTCACATATCATAAGGAGCGGTAAATGCTCATGGATGCTAGGAAAGTGAGCTAAGAACTCTCAAAATATCCTTTAGGATCTATTGGACTGCATTAAATTTCTCTCAGTAGACTGAGAATAGAGAGGGGTGTGCAGTCGATTGGCAACACTTTCCATGAATTTGTAACCGGTCTGATGAGTGTCCTTTCAATCTGTAAACCTGTGATGAAACATATCTGCATATAAACCAATAGCTAACACATATAATGGATGAAATCAACGATTTACTGGCTTTGACTTCAGGACTGACCCCTTCTTTCACCAGAGTATCTGTCTGGCCAGCACAAGCCCTGTCCAAATCTAAAATTAGAAGATTATTCAAATGTTGGCTGAAGGACAGTGAATCCAGGCATTCAATTTAAATTAAAAGCAAATCTTATCAGATTATCTGAGGTAAGGAGTGTCTTTACTATTTTACTGTTTATTGGTTGTTTATTCTAGATTTTCTTCTCCCCAAAACTGTAGTTTGAACCACTAATGTGCTAAGAAGGGTACACTGTCTTGAAGGATACAGAATACTGCAGTTTAATTCAATTTCTTGTTCTGAAACGTTATTTCAAGCCTGAAGTAAATGCAGTATTGGTCAAATTCTAATTAATATCCACGCAGTTGAACTGTTTCTATATGTTAATAGACAATGTTTGATTTTAAATGTATGTGTAATTAACCTGTGTAACAAACAGTAACAAACAGAGGTAGGTGTTTGGAGAGTGGGTCATTTTCCCACATTCAGTGCCCATCAAGAGATAGCACCTCAATGTGCTAGTTATATTCCAAGTAGCATATTGAATCAGTGCCTGTACTAGAGTGCCTCAAATTGACAGCCAGGAGCTATACAGGTGCTCAAATTCACTTTTGCCGGGCAACAATTAAGTGAAGTGTAATGCTGCTCCTGTGTTGCTGAACTGACATCTGATTGCCATTTCATTTTAATACAACTAAAGAACCAGTGAGACTACAGAGGCTCAAAATTCCTCAAGAAATTTATAAACTGCGGAAAAACTAATTCCAAATGACGAATGAATTTAAGTAATTCCCAAAAAATTTCCCCCACTTCAATTTCTAAGGCGATTGCTTTAATATTATACTAAGACTGTATTAAGACAGGCTTCTGGTTCCTCACTGACATCAAAAAATCTTGAGGGCGTATAGTTTGGGACACGACATGTCAAGCGACTGCCAGGATGGTGGAAGGCGAAATCCATCCCACTTCCCCGCTCTCTCTCCATAGCTCTGCAAACTTGTCCTCCCCAAATAATCTTCTAATGGACTGTTCGAGTGCCTTTTAAATTTACTTCTCAATGAATGACAGGCAACATAAAATGTGTTAGATTTCCCCACTTAAGGTGATTACAACCACACTCTCTGACCTGAATTACACTTCTTAACCAGCAGCTTCATTGCAAAGTTTTCACCCACAGAAAATCACCCAGTTGAATCAAAGGAAGCTCTACGGGGTGAAAAATGAGGTGCATGATGCAGTAATTATCACCACTGATAAGTAGCACATCAACTACCACATTTTTCACCCCAGTATGACACCTGATCTGATAATGCAATGTGTTACCCCCAACTCTGCATTTACAAATTGGAGTTGTAACATGTGGTAAACGATTATACTAGTGAATCTTAAACACTATTTGAATTGTTTTATCAATCACCAGGGAATGTGCTGTACCTGAAATGGTCGTAGGCAAGTTGTGTGGCGAAGAGGGAAAACATACCAAGCTGAGAACCATTAAAGGCTATAAATGACAGTGCAGTATTTCACAGGTAAGCATATAATAAATGTATACCAAATTATGTGGAAGAGATCTAGGATTTTGAGACAATGTGTCAAATTCCAGAATTATTATTATTATTTAATTAGCTTATTATATTACTTTTTCACTTCAACATAAAATTGAGAAATAATATTGCATAAGCTTCTTTAATAATAATAATAATAATCCTTGCATTTGATATAGCGCTTTTCACGGCGGGAGGACGTCCCAAAGCGCTTCACAGAACACACTGTAAAGTGAATTGACTGTATATTTGTGGGCGAACGCGGCAGCCAATTGTGCACAGCAATGTCCCACAAACAGTCGTAGATTGAAAATGATCAATTTATTATTGTTTTTGGTTTTTGGAGGGATTATTATTAGGCTCTGTGTGGAGTAAGGAAACTTGCCTAAGGTTTCGCCCTGCCTGGAATTGAACTCAGGTCTCTCACTTGCAAAGCGAGTGCTCTAACCACTGAGTTACAGGACTCCTAATTTAAAGTTACATTAAGTAATTATTGTGCTTATAAAGACTAACAACAGTTAAGCAATAGTTTTTTAACAGTAATTGTTTATAGAATGAATAATCTATTTGAGACTTTGAAAAGGAAAATCTTGTTGGCTTTGAGAGAGCGCATCACTCAAAAGATCTTACACAGCGTCAAAGTCTGGATAAAATTGCACATCAACCATAGTGAAACTGGATGCTGCCCTAATAATTTGCTGTGGAATAGCCTTTTGAGGATTCAGTAAAGCATTCATAAGGCTGCAAAAAGATTTGCTGGTTTCCGACTGGTGTGATGAACAGATTAACTACTGAGCCAACCTCATCTCACTGTGAATCCAGACTTCACAGTTTCAAAGCTGTTTTGAATAGCCTGATATATTAACCTATTTTTGCATGCTCTATGTGTCTCGTACAGATGACAAAAGGCCAACACTTATCAGAATATAACAGGTTCTCAGTTTAGTGGTAAATGAATAGGGTCCCCGTTCCCCCACCCGCCCCGAGTAATTACCCAAAGTGACTTTACAATCCGCAATTGTAAAAATAGTTTCCTTAGAGATTAAAATTAATTTTTTAAACTTTGCCAGATTCATGTTCTTTTAAATGATGCTACATTTTACAATTAAGTGCATAAATACACATTGTAACAGTGTGTGTGAAATATTGGATTTGATGTGTGTAATATTAGATCTAATCTGGGTTTTGATCATGTATCTTACTTTGGTAGGTACAGCTACTGGACGACCATGACTGTGACATATTCCAGCGAAGTAGCCAACGCCACTTTCTTTGGATTTCACAGGCTCCTCTTGCGGTGGAGAGGAAGCATCTACAAATTGCTATACAGGGAATTTGTTGCATTCGTGAGTCTTTATGCAGCTTTAAGTATTGTGTACAGGTAGGTAGATCATGCATTCAAGGCGATACAAAGCTGTTCAACAGTAATCCTTATTTTGTGTTCAGATTTATTGTGATGTACCATGTACAGGAGGTGAAATACATTTCTAAACTAGGAATTATACTGTAACCACAACTTGTAGTGATTTGTGCAGGACTGAAGCACACAAACAGAAAAACACAGGTTCAAAGCCTGGTCTTTGGGAGAAGCTGATCTCAGCCTGGGAAGCAGTTGGGGTAATATATTCCAATTTAGTGAGGTAAAGGGAAAAACAACCCCCACCCCCCACAAGGTTTGGGCATGTGAAGGACAAGTGCAGTAACCTATGCAGTCACTGACCTCCCAGGGTCCCATGGACACTGTCAGGTCTCGCGCAGGAATAATGGCAACTTGGGAAAAATATTGAATAATTTCCAGTGCTTGTAAAACTCTGCTCCCAGGTAGAAGGAAAAAGTAAGCAAACGTATTCAAGAAAGGCGAAGAGAGGGGATGGAAGAAAATTGGGAGAAAAAAGTTGGCAAAACATTTTAAAACTCTGAATTTCAAAAAGTAAACAAACGTGCTTTGTGCAGATTCTCACACAGCAGTTGGCCAAATTTTGACAGAAGAGAAAGTTTTGTACTATTAAAAGTACAAGATAAGCTCCTAAGATTTATTGCTGTAGTACATAGACAAGTGATCATTGTTCTGAGCATTCATACAAACTGATGATTTATGCCAGACAATCAAGTTGTCATGCTTAACCTTGGCCTGTATCAATGTTATTCAGGGCAGTGAGTATATGCATTCTCTTCTTTATCCATTTCAGATTAATCCTAGCAGAAAACGAAAAGCGTTACTTTGAAAAAGTATCACTTTACTGTGATAAATATGCTGAACAAATACCAGTAACATTTGTGCTTGGTAAGTAAACAACTGTGGCTGCCAAGGGATGACCCAGCTGACTTGCATGCGAATACTGTAGATCTAATTGCAGAAGACGAAGTAACCTTAGCACCAGTCCACTTAAAGTGAGCTGTGGGCATTCAAGAAGTCATGTCACTCAACTCAAATACAACAACAGCTACTCTTTATATGAAACATCCCGCTTTCTAGTTCAATACAGTCTTATATGTATATGTATATTACATGTACATTGCATAGCAATATTACAAATTATGTCTTTAAACAATGCATTTCTTTTTAAAGAGCCGCTGTCTTTTTGAAAAACTATTGGCAAGTTGTTAATAAACAGACAGGACTCCTGCAGGCTATATAGCGAGGTAACGTTGTGGTATTACTTTTATTAATTCCTTAAATTAGTACCAGCCTTAATTTATAGAGAGTGTTAGGAAATAGTGCAAATTTTATTTCAGAAACAAAATCATCAAATTCAATCTTAAATGATTATTGTTTAGCTATAGCTATAGCATGTTGCTGTTAACAATTCAGCCTTGGATCAGACTTATCCTCAGAAGAAAGAAAATAATGTTTATCTACCAATGCCCCAAGCATAATCAGTCATAGGTTTCACATATAATTCAAGTGACAGTGGTTTCCTGGTCCCCCTATATATTATATATGATATATAATCCTTATTCACCCATACTTTTTTCATTACTAATATCATGTCTGCATCACTTATGATCATTAGTATGTAACGCATTATCAGATTGTTAGTTGGATCTGCTAAGTTGAGTGTTATTTCTGGAATGTTTAAATAGCTCAGTCTTATTACAAAGCTCCTCTCTAAAGATTCACACTGTTCAAACCCTTCAGGAGAATGTTGTAAAAAAAATAATGGGTTTGTACTGAGCCTATTTTTAGTGAAATCAGGATTTCACAGGAGACAACTTAATTTTGTTAATTGCTGGAATTCCAACTGCCTTTGGAAATTGAAACCAATCTCTTTAAATACATCTGTGCTGGGGGAAGCTGTGTTCAGCAAGACAAAAGAATTATGTTCCACACTATCTTTTGCAAAAATGAACTGATAATAATAATCATCATCCTTCCATTTGATTTGTTGATCTGAACTGTTAACTGTTGAATTATTGAAGAAGAATATTCAATTCACAATCTTGTGCCATCTTGGAGATTGCTGAAGTTTTTCGTCCACAAATATAGTCAATTCACTTTACAGTCTATTCTGTGAAGCCCTTTGAGACATCTAGAAGATGTGAAAAGCGCTATATCAAATGCAAGGATTATCATTATTATTGTTTAATCGAACGGGTAATTTTTCTAAGCAGAATAGAGAAAATCTATCTCTATCAAACTATTCAATGATTTACTCTGAATTTGCAGGTTTTTATGTAACCTTGGTTGTGAATCGCTGGTGGAACCAGTTTGGAAATCTCCCATGGCCAGACAGGCTTATGTTTCTGATCTCGAGTGTGGTGCATGGAAAAGACGAGCGTGGGCGCTTACTGCGAAGAACTTTGATGCGTTATGTCAACCTGACTTCCCTGATCATCCTGCGCTCAATCAGTCGTGCAGTCCACAAGAGATTCCCAACAATGGACCATGTAGTGGAAGCAGGTACTTGTCGAGGAGGCAATACATCAATACCAACCAATATTAGCAGCACTGGGAACATTCACTGTGAGATCACAGTTCAGCAATGAATTAATTGGCAGTAACACCAGATGTTAATACCAGATGCTGTCGAAATTAACAACTTGCATTTATAAAGCATTTTTCACAAAAATGCCTCAAAGCGCTTGACAAATGTAGTAGTGCCAAATGATTAGGGAAAAAAAACGAGATTAAAGGAATCTGCAGTATTAAGATATTAATATATTAAGATATTAAGGATATTAAGAAGCTTGATTGAATTTAAAAGAAGTTGAAGAATAATCTCTCGTTTCGTTGCTTAAAACAACAATAACTTGCAGTTCAGTTCATTTCATGTAGGGTGAATAATATCCAATGTGGAGCTAGTAACTTATAATTTAATCATAACTCCATTGCCGCCTTGCATCATCCCATATACTCAGTATTGCACTCCTAATTGAGCACTTTCTTAGTTATTAATAATAATTTTTGCATTTGATATAGTACCTTATCAAATCTTCGAGACATTTCAAAGTGCTTCACAGAATATACTGTAATATATTTATATAACTTTTTTTAATAAAAAGAGCAATTTTCAGACTGATGACTAATATAGTATTATTTTCACACAAGAAAAATTATCATGTGTGAAGCAGCAGTTCTGAAAATCGCTGCTATGAGTGCCCATCCATAACACGTATATTATTCAGAAACAATATCTCAAAATTGTCGGTGGTGGAGCAGGCTAATTTTAATAATTCATACACAGGGTTCATGACATCAGATGAACGAACAATATATGAAAATCTCAAATCGCCACACCTTAAATACTGGGTCCCATTCATCTGGTTTGGGAATTTAGCCGCGAAAACACGGAAGGAGGGTAGGATTCGGGATGGTATAGAACTACAACTGCTTATGAACGTAAGTCTTTGAAATTTTTATTAAAGCTTGTTTATTGTTCATTTATATAGAGCCATGAATGGGAGGGCGCTATATAAATGCAAGTTGTTGTTGTTATGGTCCAGTCCTGAGATAGGCAGCATTATTTTAAAAGCATTTTCTAAATGATCAGTTATTTTCATTTTTTTAAAAAAAAGACAGATATGTCCAAACACATAGGTATTCAGAATTAGTTGGGAATAGAACCTGTGATCCTGAAAGCTTGGATATGTGAACTCCTTTGGTAATCCAAATGTAGTAAAAGATAACGCACTCTAATTTGCCATTCAACATTTTCAACAGAATCTAATATTCCAGAGATTAAAAAGTTATCCTTATAGCACAATGTACTTTAAATTGATGTCAATTTATCTTGTTAAAGAATGCCTTTAGTATGTTCCTCACTTGTAATGCAGAAGCTGATATAGTAAATAGCCGTTAGTTTCAATGGGCGTAAAATGTAAGCCTATTAGTAAATTGATGTTACTCAATTTAAAAGCAATGGAGTAACTCCACTAGTATTTTATAATAAACAAAATAGCAGTCTTAGTTTTGGAGTGTTGCACACCTAAAGCAGAGTTGTCGGTTTGAACCTCAATATTGACTGAATTTGAAACTCATTGCATCAAAAAATATTTCAGGAGCCCAAGTTTTCAGCTAAGCCACCAGAGGGAGCAGTCCACAGTAACTAAGCAATTTCTAATAATCCTTGCATTTGATATAGCGCTTTATCATGTCGTTGAGATGTCTCAAAGCGCTTCACGGAATATTCTGTAAAGTTGATTGACTGTGTATTTTGTGGGCAAAACGCAGCAGCCAATTGCGCACAGCAGTGTCCCACAAACAGTCGTGGATTGAGTGACCAAATTTTTTCTTGAGGGATTATTACCCTCGAATGCAATCTGACAATCGACTACCAACTGACTATATACTGTTAAGTAAACAGAGGTGTGTAGAGTAAGAAAACTTGCCTTAGGTTTTGCACCGCCCTGGAATCAAACCCAGGACATCTCGCTTGTGAGCACTTGGCACGGCAGAAGTTCAGTGAATTCTAATCAACAACAACAACTTGCATTTATATAGCGCCCTTCACGCCAGACGCATCTCACGACTCTCTTAGAACTAAGCCCACATGCAAAGCTCCAAGTAAATATATAAAACTTCTATAAAGTATATCCTGCAAAAGTTGCATAATAATGTAAGAAAATAGTGTCAGGAAATTTACCAGGAACCGAATTAATAACTTTGCAAAAGCTGTAATCCCTTATTACTTCATCCACAGTCGATCCACAGTGGTTGGCTTTGCCTCACTAAAAAAGACTTGCTTCACATTTCGTAATATTGCACCAGGTCAACTGCATTACGGCTGTGCTTTAGTATGTATTGAAAGTAATCTACTCTATAATGCTATGGTTTCTGTTTAAGGAAATGAACAGGTACCGTTCTCGATGTGCCATTTTATTTGGCTATGATTGGGTTGGCATTCCCCTGGTTTACACACAGGTGAGTATAGTTATTGCTCCTTACCTCTTCCCGGGTTTCATCATCTTACTGAAGCCCCAATTTTGCTTTCCTTGCAATATTTGCTTCTCGTTCCATTGACTCTTTGAACTTTATCAGGTTGTCACCCTCGCAGTATACACATTCTTTTTTGCCTGCCTGATTGGGCGGCAGTTTTTGGATCCTACACAGGGGTATCCTGAACACGAACTTGACCTTTACGTCCCAGTCTTCACTCTGCTTCAGTTCTTCTTCTATGCAGGTTGGCTCAAGGTAAGGGATTCCATTTTATAATATAATCCCTCTTTCCTTTAAACTTCAAAGACAAAACACATCACGATGAGGTGTCAGACTTTCAGTGTACCCTAAAAACTTCTGAAGGCCTGTAATTGCAGTACACCTTACAATTATTTTGTTAAGTCTGATAGTAGATATTTATAGAAAATATGATGGAAAACAGACAGAGCCAGTTATAGGATTGGATTTTTGCTGAATCTTACAGGCAAGATTAAATCAGATTCATCCATGGGTTTTGAGGAATTGATATTCAAGAATCATTATAGCTTTTAAGGCAGAATTCACTATATCTTTTAAAACCCACAATTCTGTATTTTCTGATGCAAAGCATTAGCACTGTGAACTTGGAAACAACCCATTTGTTCAAAAACATTTTGTAATAGTGGAACACAATCATTTTAAAACACTACAAGCACCAAATATTGTTAGAGTTGAACTTGTATGATTCTACATTTATTTTAATGAATAATAATAATAATCCTTGCATTTGATATATCACGTTTAAGACATCTCAAAGCACTTCACAGAATATACTGTAAAGTGAATTGACTGTGTATTTTGAATACCGAGATGTGATAATCACTCTACATTTCAAGGTGTTCACTTTTATATAAAGGTTGCGGAACAGCTTATTAACCCATTTGGGGAAGACGATGATGACTTTGAGATCAATTGGTGCATAGACAGAAACTTGCAGGTATGTACGGATGCCTACATCACTACACTATAACATTACCAGCTAAGGTGGTGTTTTCCGTCCATCATTCCAAGACAGCCCAACGAAATAATTGAAGGACTTGTCTTAGCAATGGTATGAAGTATTTGATTAGAAGCAGTAAGCTGGAGCTCCTTTGTGATTATTTGCATTGTTCTGTTTGTTTTATTTCTTAACATTTATGGCAAATATTGGCATTGTTCATTCTCCACCACATCTATTCTGCTAATTTATTTTCAGGTTTCTCTTATGGCTGTTGATGAAATGTACATGAACTTGCCAAAGGTCCAGAAAGACATTTACTGGAATGATTCAGATCTCCGTCCACCCTACACTGCAGCCGCTGCTGATTACTGTATACCATCTTTCCTTGGTTCAGCTGCAGATGTAGGGTAAATATCAGTATTGGTGCATTTGTGGGATAGCGGGAGGAAATCATACAAAGGCAGAAATTGGAAGCTTTGTTCAAAATAATAATAGGCATTTCTGAATGCGTATTATTCCTTAAAACAAAATATTTGCTAACTACAATCATAGTGTGAATGTGGAAGGAATATATCAATGCCAGTGACTGCATCAATTTACATGGATTGTACAGCACAGAAAGAAGTGAGAATTTCCATTCCTGATCAGTACACAATTTAACCCTTGTAGAAAACACCCATGAGTAAGATAAGGATCAGGCTGTACTGTGATTCCCCCTTATCACGACCACCACACTTTGAAGAGCATCCCAGCATTCGTTGTCTGAGCTCACAAATGAAAACTAGCCACTTGGTATTGTAATAATACTTGCATTTGATATAGAGCCTTATCATGTCTTCGAGATGTCTCAAAGTGCTTCAAAGGTATTGTAGGGTTAACAAGAATGATAATACTCTGTTAAGACATCCACTACTGTAAGAAGCATTATATTAGGGAAGAAAACCCTCTCCTTAAAATCAAGTTCAAGAGAAAAATCTGGCTTTTTAAAAATAAGTTCTACATAAAACTGGTTGTCTCCATCATCTTTGTAAAATTTACCTATTCCAAACTACAAAGTGAAATAGCAAAGAAACTAAACTCAGCAATTGAATTATGTGTTATGTGGCCCATTGTGGATTGTACTTTTACAATAGCTGCACTCAATATTCCACTGAATATGAAACTAACCATTAATGGTAATGGCCATCTGGTCTGTCTTCGGCCCTGAGAAATCCAAAGTGAATACTTGGCATGACTGTCTGACAGCAGCTGCTTCAGTCGGTCCTTACTAATGATGTCTCCTATTAGTGCAAGCTGTCAATCCGCCTGGTGCACTGTGCACCTGAATGAAAATCAGAATCTCCAAACAGCTTGGTCAAGAGGGATCCAGCAGAAAGTAGGTCAATTGGATGTTTGTTAAAAGTGCTAGTGACTATTAAATATTCCAAGTATCTGCAGTTTCCTCTCTGTACTTTCTTGGGATGGGGATTGTGTGTGGAGATCTGACATAAACAGCAAGTTGCAAAGGATGATACTGGAACTGCGAGGTTATGCCTATCTGGAGAGGCTGAACAAGCTTGGACATTTGGTGAGGGGTGACCTCATAGAGATCTTTAAAATTATGAAAGGTTTTGATAGGGTAGACATGGAGAAGATGTTTCCACTTGTGGGAGAGACCAAAATCAGGGGCCATAAATATAAAATAGTCATCAATAAATCAAATAGGGAAGTCAGAAGAAACTTCTTATCCCAGAGCGTTGTGGGAATGTGTAACTTGCTACCACAAGGAGTAGTTGAGGCGAACAGCACAGATGCATTTAAGGGGAAGCTAAATAAATACATGAGGGAGAAAGGAATAGAAGTTTATGTTGATAGGCTTAGTTTGAGGAAGGGCAGGAGGAGAATTACCAGGAGCATAAACGTTGGCATAGACAAGTTGGGATGAATGGCCTGTTTCTGTGCTCTATATTCTATGTAATTATAGGCATCCATGTTAACAACATTTGCATCTATTTTGCAGGCTTTCTAATTTGGACATTCAAAGGGCAGATGATGATTTTTACAATGATTACAAGGAGAGGAGGTCAGTGTTCAGGAGAGTCAAGCGCTTCCTGAGTTCGTATGATTATCCTGAGGAATCCCCCACAGGGCATTTCTTCACCAGGCTGAGCAGTGAAATCCCCGGCATCTACCATATACCTGGAGAATTCAGATTTCCCCATCATTTTGAAGAGCATGTTCCTGGAAGGACAAGACTGCATTCAGCAGTTCCTCATCATAATGAGGGCATTGAAGAGCCAACTCACAGTAATATAAAAATGTCAATAAGACCCAGTAATCTAACTTTGGTTACTGAGGTTAGCACCCAAGAATCTACCCCAAGCTTCACATCCTCCTCTGAGGCCAAGGAGCCCAGCAACCATTCCCTCTCCCCCCAAATGCCAAAAGTGGTCATAACTCCAGCAGAGGATTCAGAAACACAGGAACTTTTGGGGTTATCAGAAACCATGGATTCAATCAAGGATAAAAGTACTCCAACAAACAGTGCCCATGATCAGAGGAGCATTTTGCCTCTGATGCAAAAAAACAATGAGAACACAATACATGCTTTTGAAGAATGCGATGACAGTCTCCGATGTTTACCACCAAAGTTAGATCCAGGGCTTTGGGCAGCAGCTAGTGAATCAGAACATGAAGCAGATGCACCTACGAGATTCAAAGCAACTGCAGATGACGGTTTCAAACCAAATAGTACTGGAAGTCATGCAGAATATGTTGAAAGTAGGTATCAGGAATGGGACAATATAAATGCAAGAGAAACAGATATAGTGGAGTTTAGCAAAGAGGAAAGTAAAGAGAAGCCATAGACTGTATAAAATGTCAGTATTGAAAACAGACTCACCATCAGAACTTCAACATCGATTGTTTTCAAGAGTCGTAATCTGGGAATGTTCTTTGTTGTCAATTTTAATACACAGCTTTCTTTATTATTTGTTTCTTAACACTGATGACCTGATATCTTAAAAGGAACTTAACCAAACAGTTGTTCTACAAATTGTATATCCCATTGTTCTCAACTCTTTCTGTAACGAGTCCCCAGGAGAATTTGTCAGGATGAGAGGCTCAAATGTTTCTTTGGTCCCATTGGTTCCACTTGTACATTTATGTCCAACAGTCACTCTAGGATCACACATCACAAGCTCACAAGGTTCTGATGAAAAAGGTCCTTCAGCTCATTCGATATCAAGCATCTGGAATACCCACCCTACCATCTTTCCATTATCATGGATAATGTCCTGTCCTGTAGCACAGTGGTTAGAGCACTCGCTTTGCAAGTGAGAGACCCGACTTCAATTCCAGGCAGGAGGCAAAACCTTGGGCAAGTTTCCTTACTCCACGCGCCTAATAATAATCCCTCCAAAAAAACAATAATAAATTGGTCATTTTCAATCCACGACTGTTTGTGGGACATTGCTGTGCGCAATTGGCTGCCGCGTTCGCCCACAAATGTAGTCAATTCACTTTACAGTGTGTTCTGTGAAGCGCTTTGGGACGTCCTCCCGACGTGAAAAGCGTTATATCAAATTCAAGGATTATTATTATTATCATCTGAAATACTGTACACTGTCCAGTGCCTTGGGACGTACTCCTGACGTGAAAGGTGCTATACAAATGTAATCTTGTTGTTATAGAATCAAGCTGTTTTTTTCAAAATATCCAGTTATCAATTACTCTGCTGTCATCATTTCACATTTGTAAACTTCAATCAATTTTGCAAAGTTGAAGAAGAATCCATATGGTTAATACAGCCAGTGGCCTTTCATCCTCCGAGTTGGATTGAGGACAATTGTACTGTATAAAGCAAATCAAGATGATGTGGATTTTATTGCAGTTGAAATAACATTTGTTTTTCTCAAATAACTCACGTAGCAATCTAGTCTTGTTATAGAATGCAGCCTATGAAGACATGAGGATTCAAATTAGTTATTTTATTTTTTCAGAAAAACATTAATACTGGAGTTCATCAGTAGTTAGTAGATCATAACATGTTGTCCGATTGCATGTTTCTATGTTGGGGGAGGTGTCGGTGCACAAAAATATGAATTGAAAAATGCATTGTAGCACTACACAATACCTTCAAATGATTGTGGACAGTTTTATTAATTACATATTAAAAAAGAAACCATTCACTTTTGGCGTTTTGGTCCTGTATTATCTCAAACAGGATGAGATCTGGCAAATCCCACTCGATCATTTCCCCGGTCAAAAATGGTGTAGAATTTTGTAAGAAAAACATCTCCCAGAATCCATAATGGTCCTGCCCTGGTCACCATATCCATTTCCTGGAAGCCACTTAGGCACAGTGAGTGATCACCTTGAAACTTGTATAAAATAAAGAAAAACAAATGCTGTTTAAAACCCTAGATAATATAGCATAATCCACAGAGGAATTTTGGTTCATTCATCAATAAAAATTGTAAATACAATTACAAATCCTACCTTTTTCACATAATCGTTTGGACTTAATGAAAATTCCACTTCTCCAATAGTAAAAGTCACACTTGCCATGCTAGATATCCTTTTGCAGTCTACAACATACTGGCAAATAGGAAATAAATTATGGATGAAAGGAGTCAGTTTGAAAACACCATCACACTATTTAAATAACTTTCCTAAACATTTAGGTTTTGATTTGTCAAAGTCTTTTTCAAAGTGATGGTGTATCCTTGGATATATAATGGAGTAGAATTTTGTAGGAGAAAGTACTAACACCTATACTGTACTTCAATAAAATGTGTAGCTATTCCTCTTACACAGCTGAACATCAGCAGAGAGAAATGGATGGTTAGGTGTTACAGAGTACCCAATTTCAAAGTTAAGAAGATTAAACCTGCAAATTCTTTAGGAAACAATTGACCAACCTTAACATTGTTACATCAAAGCGCTTTGAAACGTCTCAAAGACATGATAAGGTGCTATACCAAATGCAAGGATTATTATATTATTACATTGAAAATTTTTAATTATGTATGGAAAAAACAAAACTCAATCAGCACATTTTGCATTTTAGAATAATTAAAGTAGAAAAAGGTGAAATTCATCAACATTATATAACTAAAAGAAAAGATTGAACACATTCAGACCACAAAAATGGAGCAATGTCTTGAAATAAAATAAGAATTAACTTTTTAAAATGTTCTCAATTTATCCTTGTCTCAACGCCTGGCTAATTCAGTGAAGAATTAAGCAGTGTAAACACAGCTTCCTGCTTATCTGCTGGAAATCATAAAGCATTACTTCCAGCAATATAAACAGGGTACAAGTAATAATAATAAAATAATAATCTTTGCATTTGATATAGCGCCTTATCACGTCTTCGAGACATCTCAAAGCACTTCTCAGAATATACTGTAAAGTGAAGTGACTGTATATTTTGTGGGCGAAACGCAGCAGACAATTGCGCAGAAATACCAAAGAACCATAATCCCAAAGGAATACAATACTTCATGACTAAAATCACCATAAATTTATTGTTAAATTCCCCCCACCAAATTTTTCAGTGACAGATGTTTCACTAGAATTCAAAAAACACTGCTCTACTATACCAACTGCAGATTTCCACCTGACCCATTTGCAATGGGAACTCAAGATGACATCTCAACAAGGATGTCATCCCACATTAACTGGATGGAATTATTTGGACCTCAATGCTTTGCAGCCCCCATTAAATTCGTAGTACATGTGTATTTTTAAAAAAAATAAGATAATATGGAAGCAATTTCATGGCTGTAATTTGTTTTTGTGGTTCAGACTACAGCTATAAAGCACACAAAGTTTACTATCATTATTTGTCATCATTTGAGATATTTGATAAGATTACTGCCACACAATCATTCACAGATATCTATAGCGATATATGAGCCAGATTGTTTTCGCAACTTATTATGTAATGTATAATGGTCAAATCTCTGAAACCTCTTTATTAAAATACAGTACATCACTTTTTCTCCAGCATTACTTAATGTTCATTCCAGTGTACAAATAGAATTCAATATGACACAAGCTCAAGCTACCTATTTTTAATGGAATACAGTATAGTTATAAACTGAACAACAAGCGGTTTAAATTCATACCTCTCCATCGCCAACTGACATGGCACCGAGTTGTTTGTGCAGCTTTCTTATTTCTTTTTCAGGGCCAGTAATCAAAGAGGTTCCAGTGTCGACAATAGCGGCACATCCATTTATACACAAAGTAAGCATCCCATCAATCTTTACACTGGATAGAAGATATTACACATTGTAAGTTACACCGAGACATAAGCACAATAATAATAATAATAATAATCCTTGCATGTGATATAGCGCTTTTCACGTCGGGAGGACGTCCCAAAGCGCTTCACAGAACACACTGTAAAGTGAACTGACTGTATATTTGTGGGCGAACGCGGCAGCCAATTGCGCACAGCAATGTCCCACAAACAGTCGTAGATTGAAAATGACCAATTTATTTTTTTTTGGTTTTGGAGGGATTATTAGGCGTGTGGAGTAAGGAAACTTGCCCAAGGTTTCGCCCTGCCTGGAATTGAACTCAGGTCTCTCGCTTGTAAAGCGAGTGCTCTAACCACTGAGCTACAGGACTCCACAATACAAAAGCATAAGAAGTGATTCTGCAATCCTTTACATTGGGCTGTTAAATAGATAATTAAGAGCACCCAAAATTGCCTCTGAGTAGGTACATGGTTAACACATGCAAAATTAATAATAACAATAATAGTAATCCTTGCATTTGATGTAGCATCTTATCACATTGTTGAGACATCTCAAAGCGCTTCACAGGATTTACTGTAAAGTGGGTTCACTATGTCCCACAAACAGTCATGGAGTGAGTGACCAATTTTATTTGGGGAATTATTAGCCATTACTCCAGGAGAAACTCCCTTTTTTGAAAAGTACCATCTTTAAAATCCCACTGAACAGGCAGATGGGACCTCGGAAAATGCAACACACCTCCAGCACTGTATTGGAGTGTCATCTTAGACCATGTGATTCCAAGTCCCAATATGGGGCTTGAACCCATAATCTTTGACTCAGAGGTGACTGCCCCACCTCTGACACACAATCATAGATGCACAAATTAGATGCAATACAGACCTATTTTTAAAAGAATTTGAATTTTTTTTCTTCTCGGGTATCTTAAAATATCTGACCATATAATATAGGTGAAATTACCATATAATGAGCTATCTTTATGTAAGAATGTTGGGGTATGCAGAATTAAACTGCAATATCTCTACAGGAATATAATTTCCTTCAACAAAAGTTTATAGTGAAAGGAAATATCTATGGGGCAAAAGTTGCTGATATTTGTTAAGGTTTTCATTGTGTCAGTCAAGGTACACTTTAAATATTTTTGCAATTTTTACTCATATTTTTCATTTTTTTTCTTCCTAGCACAGTAATGGGTATCCTATGTATTTTTGTCTTTTTAATGATACATTTTCCCATTAAAATCTTTGCATAATGTTTATTTCTAAATTATATTGTTGATTAAATTATTTTCAGGCCCTAAAATGTAATCACTTTGAAAATAAAAATGGTAACTAACTGCTGGTACCTGTTGATCTTGTGATGATTTCCAGAACCCATTACAAAAAACAGATTGTTACTGCAAAGACTCAAACAATCTAATTTTGCTTCAGATCATCCCCTCTGTTTGCCTATTTATTTTCTCTAATTTTCACACAAAAATGCATTCAAATACAGATTGTGTGGTAAACTGAAAACGATTTTTAGAACAATTTTAGAGATTTTCTTTAAATAATAATAATCTTGCCGGCTTTTGAATAGATTTTAAATGCATCATGAGTTTGGACATATAATGCAAATTGTCCACTTACTTATCCATTCTGATTTGCCAGTAGCCTCTTTCTGTGACAGGAACCCAATTGATTGAACCTGTATAACATTCATGGTTAATACCTCCCAACAACAATTCACCGCCATAGTCACTGTCCATTTCTCTAGAGATATCAAAGTGCAAGAGATAAATACATGAAAAGATTATTTTGTCTAAAAATAAACATTTTTTTTTAATCACAATTGACACTTTGGCATAATTGGAAAAAATGTGTTCAACTTCAAACATTTTACATGCTCTATTGTAGGATCGTTCAGTCATTAGCAATTTCTTTCAGGCAAGCATTGTTATTTAAAAATATTATTTTGTTTTGATGGTTGCAAATACTGTATTAAAACCAACCTGTTTATTAGAACAGAAAATATTGGTTCCACCACCAGATTTTGGTGCATCATTCTATCAAACACTGGAAGGGCTCCACCTTCAGCTATTGAAGGATACCCTAGCCCCAAAATACCATCAAACTGTGCAACAGCAAAAGTTGAACCTGGCTCAAAGACAGATTCACCAAATTCTTGTGCTCGGATGGTAATGTTGCCGATCTGGAAGAATAAAAAGGAATAACAGTGGAATAACAAATGTGTGTCCTGGAGTTATAAAGCAAGAATCCTGTCTGTCAGTACAGAAGATAACACAAAGCAGCCTCTGAACCTAACGTGGAATTTGCAGCTGGCTGTGCTTAGAGTGCTAATAGACACTTGACCTTCATATGCATCACTATATACATACTACTTTGAAATAAGAAGCATGTGAAGAATTCGTTCCCAAACATGGTTCAGTGTACCTAATGCAAAATGCAGTTTTAATGTTCAAATATTGTAAGCCTCTGAAATGCAAAACTAAGTTTAAATTCTAAATTAAAAAAGCATTGCAGTATAAGAATTACTGTAGTGTGAGGAGTAGCAAGTGTTTTTGCAATGTTATAGGCACATTTAAGCCAGTGAAAACCCATTGAATTCAGACAGAGAAATAAAGAGAGACAGGCACATTCATAAATAAAGGAAAATAAGAGGGTTTAGCTTTCAGTTATTGTTTCAGTCACACTGTTGTTTGTTTGTATGAATGCCTTTCACCATGGAAGTCGGCCTCAATTGTATTAAAATCCAACTTACTCTGACCATGTCTTTACCCAGCACTCCTGCAAGTTGTCCTGTACCATATCGTATGGAAAACTGATTGCCTCTGGGAGCATATGTTGTGGAGTGAAAGGATTTAAATTGTTCATGCATTTCTGTATACAAAAGAGAAAACAATACGTACCAGCAACATTTGGTTTCCTTCCCATAGGGACAAGAATTAGTATCATAGGGTTGCAAAGATTGATCGCAGATTGTGTAGTGCGGACAAAAGGGACTAAAACGTAACAATTTCAAACAGTATTACTCAATGAATGGAGTGGCAAATTGGGACTCCTTTACTGGGATTCCTTGATTTTTTTAAATGACAAATACACACATGAATAAGAACAAGCAAGGAGAGAGAGGGAAGAATATTCAGCTAGAATTCAGCTTTACTTCTCACTGAAGTGGCAAGGAAAGTTAGAAAGCACTCTGATAGTTGGGATTATACCTAGTGCAGTACAGCGCAGAAAAAAAGTCATTTCAAATGATAAAACATGCATACATTTGTATCTGGTTTTACTCACTGCATGCCTCACTGATACAGTAGGCTGAGGGCACCCAGAGATTAGAAGAGCCGGTATCAAACACGACTGTAAATTTCTGAAGAGGAGTTCCAATACCAATCTCTCCATAATATTGGGCCTAATTGTACAAAAGCACAATTGAGTAAAACAGCAACATTTAAAGCATTCGCAGGAAATTTGCAACATTTAAAGCATTCACAGGAAATTTGCACATATCNAAAAAAATCAAAATGCTTCTTCCAATCAAAGTGCCCAGGTCTGAACATGTATCTCACAAAACAAAAGAAAAATGATGTTAGATGCAGTTCAATGTTTGAAATTAGAGCACGCCCAGCCCCAAACAAAAGGACAGCATCAACAAAATTAACATTATGCCTTTCACAGTTATAAAATATAGTATGAATTTTTAATTTTCCGATGCTATACACTATCCTTTGTGCTGTACTTTGTTTTCATCATTTCTTGTGCGATAATAAATAATATTGACAACACTTGCATTTGAAACCACAACTTTGCACATAAAATCATTGCAAAATAAGTTACATTATAACTTACTTGTATTAAGTACAAATGCATCAGTTAATCTGCACCAATAACACTCCACAAGCAGCAAAGAGAAGAGCAACTGATTAATTTGGGGGACTGTTGACCAGAACATTGGAGGAGGCTCCTTTCTCTTGTTATCATTACTAATAATGAAAATGTTACCGTTTGTTGGTGTGCATCCCCGGAATTAGAGTTATATCACATGGTTATTCATTAAACAAGTTTGTATATTAACAATAGCTTACATCCATATAATTTGATAAGTGTTCAAACGCTGTGCCCTCATGAGTCTTGACAAGTTTAGAAGGGTAGCAGCTTTGATATTTCTCGGCAAAAGCTTCAAATTGATGATGTCTTAGAAATTCCTTCAGTTGGTCACGTTCTCTCAGGACTTTTCTAATTGGCTTGAAACGGGTCAGAGGAATCCTTCAATAGAGATTCAGATTTTGGTTGAATGCCACACTCTCGAGCAAGATTACAGATAGATGCAAGTAGCTGTTTCTTTTTTTATTCTGGTTCCCATTTGCCTTTAGCCCTTTCCTATAATCTCCACCCAAAACGTTATTGGTTGACTATTTGTGGAAACAGCCAACCCATTCCTCAACATCTCCATCGACATTTCTACAACCAGAATTGCCCATCCCCCATTCTACCAATATCCCTCCGTCTCCAACTAGTATTAGAAATCACAACATGAGCCAATATCTATGGAAAGTGTCCACTTTCAATTATGATACATGAAAGCTTAAATTCGTACAAAAGATTCAGAAAAACAAGCATAACAATCACTCAAATTACATTTAAAAATGACATAATTAACAATATAAAATTTTAAAATAGTTAGCGTTGTTAAAAAATCATGCCCAGTTAGATAAAACAAAATAAAAATAAAGAGAAAAAATCTATCAGGGTTACATACTTCTTCTTTGTAACCCTGGAATACTGAGATAACAATCACTTTCTGTAAAGCTGGAGTTTAAATGCAGTAGTTTATCAGGTAGGATATTAATATACTCTTCTATGAAGTATGAGTTCTGTTAATCATTGATTTTAGCCTTTAGAATTAAATCATTACAACAAAAAACATTTTAAGGGGGAAGTTGGCCGTAGGCACAGTCGAAGAAGAAGGTCTTAAGACTTGATCTGAAAATGGGGAAGGAAAAATGATCTTGACTGAAGGAGGCGAGGGAAGGGGCAAGTCGAAGGCACTTTGGGATGGAGTTCCAAAGAATGGGGGCAGATACACAGAAAGCCCAATCACCGTTGATACATTTGGGGATGAGGCTGAGGTAATCGGTTTAGAGGTAAAGGAGTGTAGGTTTGAATAGTGGAGAAAGGTGACTGTTGTGAAATTTTTACTTCAATATCTTTGGATTTCAGAGTTAGATTGAATGGGATAAAATCCATGATAGGGGAGGTTACACATGGTTTGTGGAATAATGAGGCTCAGCTTGATGCTTTCTGGGGTTCTGAAATCAGTTCACTATCTCAAAAAAAATGAAATAAGGCCCTAGTGACAAATCTACAGCAGTCTTGTTGCAATGTTATAAAGTCCATGTTCCCTGGTTTCATCCATTCAGATTAAGATAAAATACTTAACAGAAATATTCTTTTTATTCTACAGATTCCAAAGAATATCGTAAACCACGTACCTGATGAGACATTCAGTCAGGTGAATAAAAAACAACACTGTTACGAACACCTTCATTCTTACTTTGACTCAACAGATGTAGGAACAAGTGATCAGCTCAGTGTAAATCCCTAATACTAACGGGATTTGTTGAATTTATAAAACCTGCAGGTCATCAAGACCCTGCACTAAAATCAACAAAGGAGATCAGCGCCACTTGGCATCACAAAGCCTACAGTTTAAATTGTGAAACAGCTGATAATCTGAACTGAAGTTTGTACATCTCCATTGCAAGTTATTCCAGTAGCAAAATAAATTAACAAGTAATGTTATCTTTCTAAAGTACTCTTCTCTAATATAATTTCACATCCAAGATTTTACACCGTCTTTGAGTTTGTTGTACATAGGATTATGAAGATCATTAATGGTTCTATTTCTCAAATGTAATTGTAATATTTTGTTTAAAATACAGAATACATTTACGGGATACCGCTATTTTGCAGACCGCTATTTGATTGAATGAAATGAGCAATCGGAGGAATTTCAGCCCATTAAGAAAATACCACCAGTTTATTAGATCTTGACAGATCTTTTAATCCCAATTAATACCTCTACTATCCCTAATGATTCCACCTTGGCAGCTTCCACAACCTTCTATATAAATAAATGCTTCCTGACCTCAGGTCTGTCTTGGTTCTGATTTTAAGACTATGCCACCTTGTAATGGTTCCTCTACCAAAGGGAAGAGTTGGCCACTATCTGGTTTGTCAATTTTACCATTATTTTGAATATCACAATCAAATCATGACCCTTTGTGGCCAAATCATGGCCCATGAGCCAGAAGTGGCCCAACAAACATTCACACTAGTTTTGGTAAGTCTATGTTCGATCAATAGTGTGTTTCCAACAACAGCATCAACTTACATTTGTATAGCGCCTTTCACGTTGGGAGGATGCCCCAAGGCACTGAGTTTTTTCTTGATTGAATATTTCTTGATCTATGGTGTAAATCAAGAAATATTTAATCAAGAAAATTCACTTTGTTGGCCGACCAAAAAGTTTGGCCACCACTGCTTCAAGGTATATAACCCCAGTTTACCCAGCCTGCTATCAAGACCCTTAGTTCCAGGTATTAATCTAGTGAACCATCTAGCAAGGCTAGTGTATCAGTCCTAACATTGGATGCTCATACCTGATAGTGTCCAACAATCTGTGTTTGATCAGCGCTAAGGATCATCTTGACCTAGGTTTGTTGATGGAACATTTTGACTAAAACAGTTGCCAAAATCCATGGAAAGCTAATACACAATTTGTCAATAATCTACAAGCAAACTTTTAACTCTTTGCATCTCCAGAAAATTCCATATCTCCTGGATCGGTGAATTTATTTTTTTAACATTCACCTCTCGCAATGTGTTGATGAAGAGTTACTTAATATTACAATAATAATGTCACTGAGATATTGGGGGGAATTTACAGGCAATATTACCATATTTAAAAATATATATTGAAAAATCCTAAATGAAGGTTATAAAACCCTTGCTCTCATTCTCACCTTTCCGTATTTTCAATTTCTTATTTTTTCTTTTGTTTCTTGTCTCTGTCAGTATATTTTCTGTTTTAACTGCTATTGTTTCTTGTTTGGTCTGCCATTAATTTGAACATATCATAACTATTTAATTTATCTAAATGAAAAAGTTTCCCACTTTCCAATGCTTGCTTCAAACCATTTGGCTAGAACTGATGAGATGGTGGTATGGAGTTTGGTCCGGGTAAGTATGCGGGTAGCAAAGTTTTGAACAGATCAAACTCCTAACATTTTTTTTGTCTGACTGCCAAATGCAAGAAGTGCAAAGTGATGGGTGAGATAAATACACTGACAGGCCAGGCGAGATGTGCCAAAACAACTTACTTTGTTTGCAGTGCTGGGGAGGGGAAATTTAAAACNAAAAAAACAGCAGCAAAATATATAATTCAAGGTGGGTTTTACTTCACTGCGTCATTTGGCTCCAGCCTTGGAAATATTGCTAAACAGAAGTCATCAGGCAACTAATATATCAGTCAGTTTCTCATGCTGTTTATATTTCTGGGACTGAAGCTGCTAGGCTCCCAGTATTAGGGTGACTTGTACCAGGAAAGTAACAATCAATTCAATGGGAACTGTAAAAATCACAATTTCACAGAAAGATGTGTAACTCCAGAATGGGTTATTATTACTTTAATTATCACAGAGAAGGTATAGCAATCCAATTTTTATTAACCTTAAAAAATCTTCTTTTGAAAGTTCCTCAGTGATGTTAATTGAATGTTCCTCAATGGTTCAAAAGAAGAACACTGCATAAACAGAGGTTTTGGAAGTGTCATGATTTGGATAAGACCTTAACAAGCTCCTTGTTCAGATGCAAGGTCTCCCTGTTCAGGAGGTTATTTAAAGATCAGATCCTGTGCTGCTTTTCAAAAAGAGAAGTGCTTCTCGCAATGTCCTTTTTATTGATCAGCCTGGTGTTTGACACCTGCGGAAACCCATCCCGTGCTTAAGAGTATCAAAACCAAACTGAGAAGTCCATGCATCCCACCTACACATTGCAATTCTAGAGATAGATTGTTGGAATGCGCACTCTCTCCCTGGAGTGATGCATCCTGCTTACCTAATTCTGGAAAGTATTAGGCGCAGGTTGGTAGCCCCAGAGTGTGCATTCTGGTATTGCTGGAGTTGAACCAGGTAAAATTGCATAGCTTGCCATTGATATATCCCAATGTCCTGGACAACAGTCCTCCAGATAAAAAATAAATTGGTCAAGTCACATCATAGCTGTTTTGGGGACACTAATGTGCACAAATTGGTTGCTGCATTTGTATACAAATACAGTCACTACACTTAACTGAAAAAAAAATCTGTGAAGGACTTTGAGACGTCTTAATATGATCAGGCGGGCATGGTATCAAACGCAAGAATTATCATTAGGTACATCAGATCCCTGTATAGGCAACATTTAAGGTCCATGATATTCCAACCTGACTTGTAATAGGACGTAATCAAAAGCCGGTCAGTGTTTATGAATCGTGTTGAATCGTAATCGAATGACTGATGATATCACTGACCCCGTCGCAGGAAGCTGGTCAGCTCCATTACAGCAGATGTAAGATCATGGTGATACACTTCAAATCACATTGTTTTTGTGCTACAAATTCTGTTACTGTGTTTTCAAGCACAGCAACAGGATTTTCAGGGCGATTTGAAGTACGACAGCAGATTTGGTAATGTCAGGAGTTTGGATTTTTATGTAAGAAAATGTCAGGGGCCATAGCCCAATTACGTTAAAAGTAAACATTAGGACAAAAAAACACATTTGTAGCGGAGTTCAACTGTAGTACGTTGCCCCTTTGAAATTCATACACAAGTCAGATTTTTGTATTTTATTGGGAAGCAAAATACTGTATGAACAGCCAGATACGATTTGTTACTCTGACTTAAGATTGGCACAGTAAATTTGATTCCTAGAAAATGCAGTGTAAAAAAATGCTGCGGTNAAAAAAACATTGCAGATTAGATATAGCAAAGGGACAGAGTACAAGCCAGACGAGGTTATATCATTGCTATTTAAGGCATTTGTCAGAGCCCTTGTCTGGAGATCTGGTCATCTAATCAACGGAAGCATATTATTGCCTTTCAGAGGCTGCAGAAGTGAGCAGATGATGATTCCAAGTAATAAAAGTATAAATTGTGATCAAATTTACAGAAACTTGCTTATTCTCTATGTAAAATAATTGTTTACGAAGATGATTCAATTGAACATGTTTAAGAGTGTAAAGGAGAATCCTATATGAACATTTAGCAAACACATTTGCAAGCAGTGAAAATGCAATTCTCCACACAAACAGAACATTTTTTCCCCTCTCCTTACTATGTTGCAAGTTCCCAGCCAATCTGCCCACACTGAAAGGGTCAAGGTCACCTTCGGCCGGACTGATATGACTCTCTGGAGCTTCAGATGGACGCTGAAGGGCAAATCCAATCACCTTGTACCGCGTTGGTGTGTCAGTCTTGCGCTTGGTAGCACTCTCGCCTCTGAGTCAGGAGGTTGTGGATTCAAACCCCACATTGTCTAAACTGACACTCAAATGCAGTGTTGGGGGGTTGTTGCATTGTCGGAGGTGCTGTCCTTCGGATGAAACATTAAACCGAGGTCCCGTTTGGACGTTCAGGTGGACGTTAAAGATCCAACGGCACTATTTGAAAAGAGAAGGGAGTTTCTCCTGGTGTCCTAGCCAACAACCGCCAAAAAAATTTGGTCACTCACTCCATGACTGTTTGTGGGACATTGCTGTCTACAACTGTCTGTTGAGCTATGGCCACAAAATACACAGTCAACCCACTTTACAGTATAACCTGTGATGCGCTTTGAGACGTCTCAATGATGTGAAAGGCACTATATCAAATGCAAGGATTATTATTATTATTATTCAGAGGTGGGTTTTGGCGAAAAGGGATGCCTAACAGAGCTTCACCACCCATCATTCATTTCAGGCTTTTTTGGGGGGACTTTGACAATGTTCTAAAATGTCAAGAACCCCAATATAACCTTTTATAATCCGGGTGGGTTCACCCGTTAGTCAATATCAGAAATTAAACCCCAATTGAATTGTAGAAGCTGAACTTCCCAATGGCAGAAGGGTTTGAATACTAGTGCCCACAAATTTAAGAGTAAGGAAAATAGAGGGCAACATTTTTACGGATTCATGGAATAAGTTAACAAGGAAGCCATTGAAGCCGTTAATATAACCAAACATAGCATTTCTGAAGAAAAGAGGGATTGGGTGGGAGGGTGTGTTAAATTGGGTTTGAGATTTTTTTCAAAAAAAGAGACACTCTATCTGAACCCAATTTTCAGATTTTTCAGGGAAAAGAATACTAATAATTAATGATTCAACATGTATAGAATAACATTAGAAGGTTTGGGCAAAAAAAATGCTTGGAGTATCAGCAAAACCTAATGCTAAGAAAGGCTTTTTGATTTAGTATTCAGACAAGATAATGGGAAATACAAATTCAATTTGCTGACTTGCCGTTCGGAACAAAACTTACACTTACTTACACAATAAAATAATACCACGTTAGAACAGCGACAGAATAAATAATGATAAATAATAATAATCCTTGCATTTGACATAGCGCTTCTCGCGTCTTCTCCACGTCCCAAAGCGCTTCGCAGAATAGACGGTACAGCGAAATTGACCGTGGATTTGTGGGCGAAACCCGGCGGCGGCGGCCGATTGCCCGCGGCCGCGCCCCGCAGACGGCGGTGGATCGAAAGCGACCAACTTCTTCTTGTGGTGTTTGGCTGCGCTGAAGTGCACGGGTCCCCCCCGTGAAAAAAAGAAAACATTCCCGTGGCAATTTCGCGCATTATTGAAGCACTTGACGAGCACGTGACGGATTATTAAGTGTATTTATTTATTTTTTGGGGGTGTGGGGGTGGAATGTGGGGGGTGGAGGGTGGGGTGTGGGGGGTGAGGACTCGGATGGGTACCACACATTTGATTGCAACTCCAAGTGATGACTGGGCAAGTGATAGAAGCTTTGAAATTGCGGAGGGGAGAAAAGGGGAGGGAATGTGAGACCAAAACTAACTTTATATGGTGCTCGGGGCTGAGGGTCACGTTCGGCTCCGCACATCAGTCAGTGATCAGTCAGTAGTCAGTCAGTCAGTGATCAGTCAGTAGTCAGTCAGTGATCAGTCAGTCAGTGATCAGTCAGTAGTCAGTCAGTGATCAGTCAGTAGTCAGTCAGTCAGTAGTCAGTAGTCAGTCAGTGATCAGTCAGTCAGTGATCAGTCAGTAGTCAGTCAGTCAGTAGTCAGTCAGTGATCAGTCAGTAAGTGATCAGTCAGTGATCAGTCAGTAGTCAGTCAGTGATCAGTCAGTGATCAATCAGTAAGTGATCAGTCAGTAGTCAGTCAGTGTATCGGTTCACACCGCCTCTGGGGCTGAGTTCCACACACACGGGGACGGGCGGAATGGGTAACCTGATCGACTCGGCGGTGGCCCTGTTCCCGGCCGAGCCGTGCCAGGAGTACCTGGTGGGCGACGTCCAGGACCCGCCGGCCGACCGCACGCTGGACCTGAGCGGCAGACGGCTCCGGCGGCTGCCGCCGCGGCTCTGCGCCTTCACGGCGCTGCTCCGGCTCTACCTGAGCGACAACCGGCTGAGCCGCCTGCCCGCCGAGCTGAGCCGCCTGAGCCGCCTGCACACCCTGGCCCTGGACTTCAACACCTTCAGCGAGATGCCGCCGGCCGTGTGCCGGCTCCGGGGCCTGTCGGTGCTGTACCTGGGCAACAACCGGCTGAGCGACCTGCCGGCCGAGCTGAGCGCCCTGACCGACCTGAGGGCCCTGTGGATCGAGACCAACCGGTTCGAGGCCCTGCCCCGGGTGGTGTGCCGGCTCCGGCGGCTCAGCGCCCTGCACGCCGGCGACAACCAGCTGTCGGCTCTGCCCGAGCAGCTCGTGCAGCTGCGGCAGCTGCAGCGCCTCTGGATCTCCGGGAACCTCCTCAGCCACTTCCCCGCCGTTCTGCTGCGCATGGACTCGCTGGAGCTCATCGACGTGGACCGGAACGGGATCCGGCTCTTCCCCAGTCTGGTCGGGCTGCCCCGGCTGCAGCTGGTGGTCTACGACCGGAACCCGTGCACCAACGCCCCCCGCGTGGCCCCGGGGGTCAGGAGGGTCGGCAGGTGGGCAGCCGACTCGCCGCCGTCGACGTCGCCGCCGCCGCGCCGGGGGCGAGGGGCCGGGGCCCCGCCTCCCGAGAGCCGAGACGTCGAAGCGGCCGAGAAGGTTTAAATCCCGGGCGTCAAGGCGGCGGTTGGAAAAGTCGACGTGGGGGGGGGGGGGGGTTTGAGAGGGGACGCGAGCGCTCAGCGGGAGGGAGTACGGCGTCGGAAGACCAGTCCCCCCCCTCTCCCCTCTCAACTTATCGACGGCGGTTTTTTTTTGTTCTAACGGCAGTAGTTATGAAGCCCTTTTGCGTTCGACGTAGCGCCTTTCATCGCCTTCGTTCGGGGGGGACACGGCTCTCGACGCCTCTTCGCGTGTATTGTTTGGACGCTCACGGGATAGGATAGGACGTGAAGGCGATTTAACTTTTTGCCGGTTTTCATTTCAATTAGAAATAAAAAAAAAAGGGGGTCGGCGGAGGGGGGGGTGTGGGGGGCAGTGGATTACACACTACCCTCGTGCCTTCTCGGTGGATGTGGGAGAATGGGATGTGATCTCTGTGAATCCCCTTTTGATGCCCTCGTTATAAACCGAGGAACCCGCCCCAACGACTGACTCCCCACATAAAATTGGTTTTATTCACTTCGGCTGTTTGTGGGACATTGCTGCGGGCAATTACGGTTTGTGTGGCGCCCTTCGCGGCGGGAGGACGTCCCCCCCCCCCCCACCCCCACCCCAAGGCGCTGGACAGTCGGGGATCTTGCACCGCAGACGGCGGTTGGGATGAGGAGGAGTGGAGGGCGACCGCAGGCACGGGGGCAAAGGAGGGGCTTGAACGCGGCAATGGGAGGCGCAAGGCGGGGGGACTGCGGGGTGGGAGTTCCAGAAAGCCCACCCGCCCCAGCGGTGGGGCGGGCAAGGCGGCGGGACGTGAAGCGGTTGGGGGGACGTGAAGCGGTTGGGTGGGGACGTGAAGCGGTTGGGGGGGGACGTGAAGCGGTTGGGGGGGACGTGAAGCGGTTGGGGGGACCTGAAGCGGTTGGGGGGACCTGAAGCGGTTGGGGGGACCTGAAGCGGTTGGGGGGACCTGAAGCGGTTGGGGGGGCGTGAAGCGGTTGGGGGGGCGTGAAGCGGTTGGGGGGACGTGAAGCGGTTGGGGGGGGGGCGGGATAGAAGGCACAGAAAAAATGCAATCCTTAGCCACCCCCCAGTGGAGTTGGTAATTGGTGCTAGATTTCCAGTTCAAACAACATTTTTTTTAAACTAAACTAAATAAGGGACTAAATATTATCAGGCGAAGAGGAATTGTTGGAGAATAGGAAACGGAATACGATTTATCTCGACTGAGATCAGCCCTCGACGCAGATCATGGCAGTAGAAACGCCCAATTTTTCGATAGATATCTTAGGAACTCATCTTATCACGTCTTCGAGACATATCAAAGCGCTTCACAGAACACTGTAAAGTAAATTGACTGTATATTTCGTGGGCGAAAGATTACCGTGGGAACAGTTGTGTTTTTTTCATGCTTAAGTTTATTGCAACTTGGAATACATGTCACAAGTACCAAATAAAGTTGAGACCATAACACTAAAAACAGAATTTGATTCATATTTGAATGATAATTTGGCTCAATTAGTCACGCCCTCATCGCTCAGGGTAAAAGTTTGAACTTCATGTAATCGCAATCCAGACTGCTGCTTCAATGTGATGCTGGGTGAGAACATTATTGTTGGCAATGCTACTCATCAGATAAAATGTTAAAATTAGATCCTGTCTGCCTGGGCTGGATAATGTTAAAGATCCCGTGTCGCTAACAGAAAAGAGAAGGGAATTTCTCCCGGTGTCATGGTCACCAATCCTCCAAAATAAATTGGATTCACCTTCTGGCATTTTATGTGGCAAATTGGCTGCTGCTTTCCACCTAGTCACCACATTTTGCTATTTATTTAAAGGCTAAGACCATGAGCGATTCTTGGCTTCAAGTTCAAATACAATGGGTCCACCTCTCCCCTCAAACCACCACCAAATAAGCTACAAATATTCACCCAGATTCTTTCACAAAAAATGGCCCCATTAAGTGAGGCTCCAGGGAATGCCTTTGGGACTGCATTTCAACGTGAATCAGCATCCGCCGAAGAAAAACGAAAATTGAGCTGAGAAAATGAACTGTAGCTGTTGACAGCAATAAAATTAACTGTTAAATGTCCAAAAAACCAGAACTTTCCTGTGTATTCCATTTCACATCATTCAAGACATAGGGCCACTTCATCATCTTTCACTCCGGACTTGGTGCAGATTACTGCTCGATTTTGATCAGACTGCTGGCTTCCTCCCCATCAGTGAGTGCTCCTAAACCAGCAGTTTAAGAATAACCATCTTTGGATTTGATAAAAGCGCTTTAATACGTTAAGGCATTCACAGCACTACACTGGAATTTACTGTGAAGTTCAGCGCTTTGGGACGTCCTCCTGATGTGAAAGGCGCTCTATAAATGTAATTGTGTTGTTGCTGTGATTGTTCATTTGTAAGCAAACAGTTGTTGATGTACTTAATAGGTACTGTCAATCCTACTTAAATAATTAAAAGTTTTTTATACAGTATGTTGAAGGATTGCAGTTATGTAATTCTATTAATTTAAAATATGTATTGTAATGCAGTACTGAATTGTGCTAAATAACTAGAGTCATTTTTATTACAATATTCAGTATGGCTATAAAGCTTGATTTTTTACATTCTGCTCATGCTAAACATGTTTTCCCCCTCAACAGCTCTTAGGCTAAAAAGCCCAAATCCTAGGCTTCAATACTGCTCCTATAACTTGGGAGGCTCTTATAGCATATCTCAGTCTTGCATCACTTCTACAATGAACAGGCTTTAAAAACTCAAGTTTGGCGTCACCAACCCACTCACAAAATCTCAACTTTTCACCCTCCCACATCCCCTCCATTTCACACTGGCAGCTGTGCTTTCAACCACCATAATACCCCAAAACTATTGAATGAGAAAAAGCTAGCCTGCTTTGCAAACCCTTTTCTTCTAATATTCTTCTTTTATAAATAAAAAAAAGCACATTTGTGATAAAAAAAAACTTTAATGTAACATGTCCTGAATACAGCCTGAATCACATCTTGCAATTACGGTCTGAACTATTCTGCACAAAGCTAATGGATCAAGTGAAATTGAGACCCAAAAAACAAGATTCTTAAAAGTACTACAATTTTATAAATACAAAGCATCAGCTATTATTCACTGGGTGCTGCCTCAGTGCTCACTGTAGACATGAAACCCACATGTTCTGGACACCAACATTGTAGGCTTAACAAGGATGATGGTCAGGTACTCGTTTCCTGAAATAAAAACAGCCCATGTTACTGATGTGTACACACATACTCTATAATGCAGTACAAATACATCATTTGTTAAATATAATCCTGCTGGGCAAAATTCCTCATCATTTACAACCGGTAAAAGTATGATCAATACTAAGAGAATGCAGTCAATTTTTACCATTAGATTCTTCAACTACACTTCAGCGAAAAAGGATATTAATGAGCAAATTGTGTGAAACATTTGAAAACCTGCAACGTGTAATGCCAAATTCCAACAAAACTTCAACAGAAAGGTTCAAATCTGTTTATGTAACAGGTTGCTATAAAAATTCGGACTTAGGTTGCTGATACCAAGTGCCAAGCCAGGACTGTCGAGCACCTTGGGATCTCCTCCCGACATGAAAGGCAGTATATAAATGTATTTTTTTTGTATTGTATTGATACACACCTTGGTGCCGCCTTAATAATGTTATCCACTCGAAGGATCATTTCAGATGCTTCTGATGCACTCAACAAAACCTGTCTCTTCACTTGGAAACTCTCTGTAATACCCAACTGCACCATGTCTCCAATTGTGCCATTGCACATATCTGCGAAAAAAGTTTGCAGCTTTCAGTTAGTACAACAAAACACTGCAAAATTACTATTTCAATATCAAATTAATATTCTCTGCAGATTACTCACCTAATCCATATGTTGTTTTTCCTTCACTGTGGGCAGCTCGCAACTGAGCCACTAAATCTGCACTATCGTATCCAGCATTATCAGCTATGATAATAGGCAGCTGGAAAGAAAAAAATTGCATCAAAATGCTTCTTTGATGAATTTACCACCACAATAATTTATGTGTCACAAACTTTAGAAATGCAAATAGATGTTTTCTCCAAATCATCCAAAATGCAGATTCTGGTAATCATAGCCACTAAAAGCTATTTCTATTGAGCTAGAAGTGGGGAAACAAAAGACATAGCACACAGTCCCAAATAAAACCTACCATTGCTAGTGCTTTAGCAAACGACTCCATTGCCAATGCCTCCTTGCCTGGAGTTCTAACAGCCAGTTCAGTCACAGCTTTTGCCATCAACATCTCTGAGCAACCTAGACAAAAATATTTAAATTGAATATTTAAATTGAAAAGGCATTTTTTGTAATGTCCTGCATAAGAGAACACATGCAAACATCATTGTTGTGCATTAAGTTCTCCAACAAGTCAATTTTCACTATACAGTTACTTTTGTAATCCATTCAACTTGCTTTTTTTTAAAAAAGCCAAAAAGTGATTCTTAATATACAACATTAAAAAGTCTTAGTCAGAGGCACTTTTTCTTCTTTCCAAACATGTCACGCATTACGCAAAAAAATTCAAAATTCCACTACTGTATCCCCTTTGTAATCTTTTTCTAGAATTTTATAATGAGATTCTTGGAATTGATTTTACCCAAAAGACAAAAGGAAACAGCCTTAGCCCAAAGATGGAGATTTAAATTCATGGGGATTGACAAACTCCCAGAAATATGCATATGTAAACTTAATTTAGATAGGATCGTACTCCTGCTGAGACCAGTCACCAAATAGGCTACCCCACTCCGGTGGAGTGTGAAACCCTAAGAACCTTGTAGTATGTGGCTTTCCACAAGTACATGCAACATTCTAGTAACTTACCTCCTCCAAACACTGTTCTGGTTTCTTTCACTGTCTGAGCAAGTACACAGAGGGCATCATGCAAAGATCTTTCAGCCTCATCAAGAATCTGTTGAGTTGCTCCACGAAGAACAATGGTGCATGCCTCACCTATAGGAATAGAGAAAGATACAGCAAGTCATTGCCAAGTTAATTTTCTCCACCCGTACTTTCCTGTGGGCAGACCTGTGCCACATTACAGTTCCTAAGATGTCTCACTCGCCTCAGCAGGAATTCTTCATATACGAAGCTAAAGAATAAGAATTTGTCAAGCTTTATGGAGAGCAGGCCCAACCCCAGCCTCTGCCAAGAAATTTCCACCTAGGATTACTGGATGGCAATTAAGAATGGGGGGTTCTCCTTTCTAACTTGGTCGTGCTAAAACCAGTTGAAGCACAACTACTATCAAATAACTCAAACTCAAGAAAACTAGATCCAGGTCTAATCAATGCATTGTGAAAACATTTTACATTAAATTTGAATGTAAAAAGACTTAATAATGATGTTTAAAAATAGAACTAAATTTTATTTATTCCTCACAGAAAGTAATGCCATATTTGGCCTGTTTTTAGTAATCTGCTGATGTGCTCGAGAATTACTTACCAAGTGCTACTCCAGAGAAATGGATCAGTTTGTCCTCACCAATCATGACCTCTTCAATAACTTTACATTCTCCTAGCTTAACCAGCTCAGGGTGGTCAAAAGTAGAAGCAATTTCACCACCTGAAATTAAAATCACAATCAATGAGGTTACGTTCAGCACATTAACCAAATCTAGCTTTTCTGTTTATTTCTTTCATATGACTTGCAAACTTTTCACCACAATTTCAAAATGTAATTTGATACAATTCTGCATTACAAAATGTCCATTCTCCTTGGAGTTCACGGTTTAAATTTAGGACTTAGAATTCTGTAAATGAATTGATAGGTAAATACAGAACTTTAAACACTATACCAATAAGGAAAATGGAAGTCAGATTTGGTATACTCCATTGTAAACATTAATCTGCATACCAGTTTTTTGCAGGTGACCTACTGTATTCTGCTCTCTAAGGCAAATAAATACTCCAGAGCAACTGATTCAAATCCATGTAAATATTAAGTGTGAGAATCCAGATAATTTATTACTGAAACAGAAGTGATATACTCTTAAACAGAGTTTTATCATCAACAATTTAAAACAAATCTAATACATCGGTTGCAATATTTTCAAGTGTCTGATGTTCATCACATCTTTCGCCCACAAATATACAGTCAATTCACTTTAGTCTATTCTGCAAAGCTCTTTGAGACGTCTAGAAGACTTGAAAAGCGCTATATCAAATGCAAGGATTATTTATTTATTTATTTATGAAGTCCATGAGATACCAGTGTAACAATCAATCAGTAGGTCCTAAATGCAGAGTACGAAATAATCAAGACAAACTGCTGTTTTAAAATAATTAGCTGAAGTAGCCTTCCCAAGGAGGATAAGGAAAATGAATTCTAAAGAAAGAAATGATGTAAGACACTTGGACAACAATAAATTAAAGAGAATTAAGGAGTGTAAAAAAACTAAGATATAGATCATATCTTGTCTTACCTGTTACGAGTGAAAGTCGTTCAATTCCAGCAAAATCAGCATGTTCAATAGCCATAACACCTGCAGCACCAAACAGCTGTTCAGGATAGTTATAAATAAGCTGTCTGGAATAAAGAAAAGGGTATTCAACATGGTCAAAGAGACTTCAATTCACAAGAATGCCTTTTCAAATACTGTAAGCCTAAAATTTAAAAATATAACTACCTATTGATGAAGCAATTAATTCCATGTTTCAGGATACGTTCAACTTTCTCCTTCATCTTTTCCTTTTCAGCTAATTCGATCTCTACAACCTTTGCTGTAGAATCTACTCTCACACGAGAGCCAAATACCTGTCGAAATATGCAAAAGATAAGATTTTTTTAGACATTTTAAGTAGTTACAGATATCTAGTTTAATAAACATTAAGGTGGCAGGGGCTCCATCATAAAATAGAAGCAATCTCCGCACCTTAATCTTGTCTGTGTCCATGCCAGTGTTTGCAATCAGAATCTTTGCATTTTCAATTCTCTTTGGCTGATTAACTCCAATCTTCTTATCCAAAAGAAAACCTAGAAAGAATTACACACATTTTTTTAAAAAAAAATAAAAGCTAGCAGTTCCAGAGTTAGCATTCTTGATACTGACAGTTTTCTGTAGATTCAAAAAAGTAAAATGCCTTCTGCCATACAGACAAACCACATAATAATAATCCTTGCATTTGATATAGCGCTTTTCACGTCTTCTAGACGTCTCAAAGAGCTTCACAGAATATGTTGTAAAGTGAATTGACCGTATATTTGTGGGTGAAACACGGCAGCCAATTGCGCACAGCAGTGTCCCACAAACAGTCGTGGATTGAAAATGATCAATTTATTATTGTTTCTTTTTGGGGGGATTATTATTAGGCGTGTGGAGTAAGGAAACCTGCCCAAGGTTTCGCCCTCCCTGGAATTGAACCCAGGTGCTTCACTCACCCAGGCGAGTGCTCTAACCACTGAGCTACAGGACTTCCACTATTTCTGTAAAGCTCTGGCAAATAATACAGGTTTATTAATTACATTGTCCACAATAAATTTGGTCATTAGGATTTTGCCTGTGTTTGTATTCTTCAATAAAATAGGGATGATGGGCCCTACAACTGATTGTACAAATGTTCCATTCTGTGTAGCATAAATAAACAACATTTTGGTTCCATTGCTTTGTCTCCCTACATTTTATAAACTAGCTATCTCTGTAGATTAAAAGTATCACATTATCCAAAATAACATGCTCGATACTTTTACAAAAAGATGAATTTCTATACTTAAATAATAATAATTCTTGCACTTGATATAACGCCTTATCATGTCTTTGAGACATCTCAAAGCGTTTCACAGAAAATACTGTAAAATTAATTGACTGTATATTTTGTGGGCGAAAGTATGTGCCCAAATCTACTGAATTTATCCAAAGAAATTCAGAGGATCTCAAAGAAAAATGGGAAGATCCAATATTGGATGGGATGGAAAAGATGATTACATACATATTCAATATTTCCACATTCCAAAGACCACATTCATTTTTAGATTAACTACCATTAAGCATTTGAACAGAGGAACACGATCATTCATCTGTCCAGATTTGATTAAAAAAATTCAAATGTACCCAGCAAGTCGACATTGCAACATTCTTCAATAAGACTCTGAAATATCTCACCTTCATCCAGGTAGGAATCAATTAAGCTCCCTCCAAGTTTCTTGATCACATGAATAGCTTCAAGGTTACCAGAACCTTTAAGCCTCATCACAGCTTCCACTGCTAGATTAGCAAAGTGATTTTTGTGATGAGTCAGTAACTTGGATGAAAGTGTAGTCCTGGAAATGTTCATCAGGTCTTCACGGAATTTGGCTTCATCATTCCTGAAAATAGTAAAATGAGGGAAACTACTTCAGAACATTTCAAAAAATGTAAATGTAACGCAACTACACAACCCCAGGCTCCACAATGTAGAATGTAGTCAGAATATATTTAACATGATAAATAATACAAAGAACCTATAAATCAAGCCCCAAAGTCTTCAAAACAAGCATGAAAATAATGACTACTGCCAAAATCAGATTCTTAACAGAAAAGGCAGTTTTCAGTCTACATGATTTCATGCACAAATATGATGTGCAGTGATGAACAATCAATGTCTCTTCTCAGTAAACCTGATGATTTTTATTTTCCCCAGATTTCAGAACATAAACTAAATGTGTAGATTGTTATTGTAGCCTGCCCCCTCCAAGTTAGATAAATAGGTACAGCTTCAAATAATCAGTTTTTTTAAATTCTATTTTTTCCAATTTAAGTTACTGGCAAAACAATGGTTCAATACTACGCAAGATTTAATCTTAACATCCAAAACTGAGATAATGCACACTGTCCATAGCTGGTGAAACTTACCATATCCAGCAATTTTTACTTTTAGTTTATCCAGGTCACTGTATACATTTCTCAATTTTTGACAACTGTAAAGAGGGAGTTAAAAAGTACACAATTCTATAGTACTTTAGTCTTTTGTCAAAACTATCGCTTGTTTAGTTTTACGCTTCTTATTTTTCAAACTGCTTTCATAGAAACAAAAACAACAAAAACAGAATCTAACCCATGATCCACTGCAGCTTTTTCCAAAGCATCTCTCGCCGCTTGTGTTGCCTTTCTCCAGCCTGCAATAATTGTCTGAGGATGAAGTTTTCTAGCAACAAGAGATTCTGCTTCCTGAGAAGTATNAAAAAAAGATAAATAATAATAATTTGGTCACTCAACCCATGACTGTTTGTGGGACACTGCTGTGCGCAATTGGCTGCTGCGTTTGGCTCACAAAACACACAGACACAGTCACTAAACTTTACTGTGTATCCTGTGAAGCGCTTTAAAACATATCGAAAACATGATGAGGCGCTACATCAAATACAAGGATTATTATTATAGGATTATATTATTATTACATACTAGCTGTAGCATTACAGCTTCGCTTGCAACCAAAGGATCCAATATGGAATGTAGATTGACACAAACATTTTGTTTAGACGTTATACTCAGCTGGGAGGACTCCTGTGGGAGGACTCCTTTAATATATTTTCTTCAGTCTTCCTGTCTCTCTCTCTTTCCCTCTCCGTCTCGCTCCCTCTCTCTCTCACACAAAATAGTCACACTTTATATAATATTCTCTCTCAGTCTCTCTCACTATCTGTCTCTCTCTCTCTCCCACATGGGCGGACTCTAGCTCCTATGACAACCACAAAAAAGTGCATTACATTTGTTGCAGAATATAGATGCATCTCTCTGAATGGTGAGTGCTTTCCTCTGTCACTATGTAGTTGCAGAATACGATGCATACCTCATATTTTGGGGCTTAATTTTTTAATATAGCATTTTTTAATATAGTTCATCAATGATAGGAGATCCCCCCCCCAAAGAAATATGCCCATGACACTGCCAGATGCAAGACCTTTCCGATGAGGTATAAATCATGTCTCTACGTCAATCAGTTATTACGTAATTGTCAGATAATTGACACACAGACGGACAGTTATTTTATTAGTACATAATAAAAATACACCAAAAGTGTTTTACATTGTTTTTGGTCATCTGGGCAAGACACATGCAGAAGCACATCAATCACCATGCTTTACATCACTGCATAGCTTGTCATTGAAAGCACCGTCTGGTAAGCTTCCTGCTGCTTGACCTGCTAGGACCACTCTACACATTAGGGTTTTGACTTACAAAGATGCTGATTTACACAAAAAAGCACTTTGTTTAGCACTGGGAATCCCTCTTATAATGTGTCTAATGCCTCAATGGTGGTATTATGAGAGGCACAGAAAATGGCTGACTTTCCAGTTGTTGCTGATGTCATTTCTAATATGCTGTGCATGCCCGCTATGTGCAGGAAGAATTGTTGACTTCAGCAAACCAAACCAATCTTGGGTGATAATGCAAAGCAATGCTACATTCATGGTTGCTATATTGATGGACATCATTACATTGTTGTTGGCTCCATTATCAGCAATTTAGTTGAGATTATTATACACATCCTCAATGAAACAGGTGATTAAGTGCCACAGTTGGATGATAAAGACTCTACAATGCTTTGTTCCGGTTTAAGTGTAGTGCTGAAATTCTTTTGAACCGGACTATGCAAAATTTACTAGTATTTTTTAAGAATTGAATTCCTAGTATTGTTTTAATAAATTGAAAGATAATGTGAACAGAAACCACTCCACTGAGTGGTGTGGAAATACTCAAATATAAAAATTACTTCTTTTTAAAAAAAATCATTAGAATGTTTTGTCCTCTGTGCACTTTTTAAAAAGCAACAGTTACAAGTATCATAATGTACCACATACCCGCAAGAGCTCAGCTGCCAGCACAGTCACAGATGTAGTTCCATCTCCGACTTCATCATCCTGTACCTTGGACATGTCTGTGAACAGGACAAAACAGCGTACTTTTAAGACAAATACAAGCTACTTAACGTTTCCAGAAATAAGAGACAGTACCCAAAAATCTTATTTATACACAAGTTGGAAAAATCACTCATTCTTTCCACCCATCATCAGAGATAGAAAGAATGAACAAAGTTTTTTCTAACTTGTGTATAAGTAAAAGTTGCAAACATTCCCAAATATTACACGAAATTTAACTTTTACTTGGTGTACTAATCCTATGGAATATTGTATGCAAAAGCCATTTGTCAACATTAAAATTGATAGATGAGGAATTGTTTGAACTCACCAACCAAAACTTTAGCAGCTGGATTATCCACACCAATAGATTTAAGGATTGTAGCTCCATCATTGGTCACTGTTACAGAACTATCTTTCCCTCCACTCATCAGTATTTTGTCCTGGAACAGATAAGCAAAGATAGTTTTAACCTTCAGTGCCAATTCCAGTTTTCACTTCTCTAAATGAATGTAATTTCAACTGTACCATATCCTTAGAAATATTACTATAAATATCCAATGCTGATGTGAGACAGTAATCTTGAAAAACAAGACCATAGAATGTTTAACATGCAGCAAGTTTTTGTTTGAATCGTCAGAAATCATTACCAATATTACAAAATCTCAATCTCATCACTTACCATGCCTTTTGGTCCCAATGTGCTTTTAACCAAATCTCCAACTGCAATAGCACCGACAAAGGAAGACTGAAAGAAATCACATATTACTTTTGAAAACCAACTGATGACAATTACAAAAAAAACTTTACTGTATACCCATCCCACATTTAAACCAAAAAATCCAAATTAAATACCACAACTACATAAGTTAAATTTGAAAATTAGACAAATACACAAGTACTATATACGGGCAGCTAATGCTGGTTTTGAAGATTAACTGTAAGTACAGCACCTTTCTACAGTAACTAGTTAACACCAACCCCAACTTTAAGTCAATGAATTGGAACTGAAGCTGTTGCTAACAGATGCTTCTTGGTTAAAACACATGCAAACTACTAGTTTTAGGTTGTAACTATCATAAGTTGTGCTTCAGAATTTAAACGTGGTGAGAATGTGGAGCTCACTACTAAATGCTATGGTAGAAAAACAGAAAGCATCAACATGTTAAGCAAAAAAAAGGATGCATAAATGGGGAGAAGAGAGGGTATGGAAGATGGGATTAGGAGGAGTGGTAGCTAGTATAATCCATGGGTTACGTTGAACGGCCTGCAGCACTATGTAATTGTATGTAATTTGTTTAGCTCATCATCTTTGGTAAGCAAAAAATACAAAAATAAAAAATTGCCATCAGTCTCTTCAAAAATGCTCCCACTGAGAACAGGAATATTCTACATTCTCTAACAGAGGGAATCGTGTATTGCTGTTTGCAGTAATTATTAAAGCATCTTACCAGACGAGCTGTCTCTGCCTTTTCTTCATCGGCACCAGGTGTGAATATACTCACAGGGGCTAGTGAAAGGGAAGCCTGTTGGAAATAAACATAAAATAATGATCTAAAATGTTTTACACTCACTCAGCATGCCTTTAAATTATTCTCATCACGCAAAATATTGGCTATCAATACCCTGGAGCTGGTAGTGGGTTCGGTGTCATGCAAGTCTGAATAGAGATTTCCCTCTCCCAACATCCCTGGAAATTCTTGGTTAAATTAATAATCATCCTTCATTTGATTATAGCATCTTCACTTTAGGAAGCAATCTCAAAGCACTATACAGGATTAACCATAAGGTATAGTGACTGCGTTTGAAACACAAACATGGCAGGCAATTTACACACAGCAATGTTCCACAAGCAGTCATGATGTGATTGACTTATCTGGAGAAATTTATGGTTAAAAATAAACCAACAAAGCATTTTTACGCCAGACAGATTTGAACTAAACTCTAATTGTAAGAATTACAATCATGCTTTTTAAAGCTATAACAATGAGCGGGTGTTAAAATTTATACAAGTGATCAGTTTCATTGACACGTCCCTGTGGCGTATGGGTGATGGGAGTGAAGAGGGGAAGCATTGGGATGGCAGAATAACCCTAGGGTGGATTCTGCACTTAGCAAACGGCCAACAAAAGCAGTCAGCGTGAATATTAGAGGTGATATTGTTCAGGTGTCAGCCTGGCTCAGTTGGTAGCACTCTCGCCCCGAGCTAAAAGGTAACGGGTTCAAACCCCACATCGGGACTTTTGAGCTCAAGTCCAGGCAGACACTCCCAACGTGGTGCAAAGGGCTCGCTGCACGGTTGGGAGTTGCTGTGCTTTGGACGGACGAGACGTGAAACCGAGGACCCCGTCTCCCCGTTCATGAAATGTTAAAAAGTTTCCCATTGCTGTGCGTACATCGGCTGCCACGATCGCCTACAAAAAAAAAAACTGTGAAACGTAAGGATGATTTGCAGCATTGGCTGCAGGAGTGGGAGAGGCGCTGTCTGGAGGCCCTGAAGGTGCGGCTCATTCATTCCTTGTCCTGCTGCTCCAACTGCACATGCGCAGTCACACCCTTCCCCCCCGAAGTACCAGAAGCTTCGATGAGGGCCCGGTTTCGCCCTCAGGCGCGGGAGGCGCTACCGGGGCCCCGGGAGAGGGCACGCGAGTGGGGCATTGGGGCGGGGGGGGAGAGAGAGAGCGAGGCCTGTAGACCTAAAAAAAAATCCACGGGGTTCCCTCACCAGGGGAGGCCGCGCTTTTAGTTTCCATTGAAGCCAAACCCCCCCTCCTCACGCCCCCACCAGACACCGCCACGGGCTCCTCTCCCTCCTCCCCGCACAAAAAAACGGCTCCCTCGCTTCCCCGGTGCCGGCCGGCCGGCCGGTCGGTCTCCCACCCCACCCAGCGGCTCGTTACAGAACGAGTAACGGGCCCAGGAGCCGGTCCGCTCGGCTCCCGCACAGTCGCCGCTGCTCGCGCTCGAAAGCGGCGGCGCTCGGTCCGCGAACCGCCGGAGGGGAGTGTGAACGTTAATCGTAGAAAACCCGGGGTGGTGGGGGTGAGGGGGAAGGGGGGGGAGAGGGTAACCGTTATCGGCCCCGGGGTCGACTCCTCACCATGATCACTCGCTTCAAATCGCCTCGTGCAGAAAGAAGACCGAGCACCGGAAATAGCCCCCCCCCAACCGTCACTGGCCCGGATGAAGCCGCTTCAACCGGATGTTATCACCATAGAGACTGTTGCGGAGCGCACACACACACACACACACAGTCAAGGCAGCTCCGCGTTGGGGACAGATACTTACAGATGAGCTCCACCATGGGGACGCATGTACAGAGCAGCTCCGCGCTGGACACACACACACACCCGCAGCTCCGCGCTGGGGACACGCACACACCCGCAGCTCCGCGCTGGGGACACACACACACCCGCAGCTCCGCGCTGGGGACACACACACACACACACCCTCAGACGTACTCCAACTCAGCCCAAGGTTACGCACGCGCAGATCTGCTCCACGAAGAAGCAAAGGACATGTTGGCGCGTCAGTAACAGACTCAATGGACAGAGGCACACAGTGCAGTCACTGAATAATATTACACAGTCAATTCGCTTTACAGTGTTATTCTGTGAAGGGTCCCGAGTCGCCTCGAAGACGCGATAAGGCTCCATATCAAATGCAAGGATTATATTTATTTTATTATTTACAGCACAGGAGGAGGCCATTCGGCCCGTCGTGCCTGGGCAGACTCTTTGGAAGAGCTGCCCAATCAGTCCCACTCCCCTGCCCTTTCCCCATAATCCTCGCATATTTTTTTCCCGTCTAATTCGCTTTTAAAAAGTTGGTGTTGGATCTGTTTTCACCGCGCCTTCAGGCAGTGCGTTTCAGACCTGACAACTGTGTGCAAAAAAAAAAATTCTCATCTCCCGTCTGATCCTTTTGCCAATTATCTTGAACCTGTGTCCCCTGATTTCCACCCAAGTCACCTGCGCATAGAATAATTTTCTCATCTACTCCCTTCAAAAACCCTCATGATTTTGAACACCTCTATTAAATCTCCCCTTAACCTCCCAGGTCTAAGTAGAATGATCCCAGGATTGCCAAGGGAGCGAGGTCAAAATGCAGGAAAATTGCATGGCATATAGGCATGATGGTTGACTACAAAATACAGTTGCTACACTTTACAATAAATCCTGTAAAATGCTTTGAGATGTATTCCCAATGTGAAAGGTGCTGTATCAAATGCAACAATTTTTTTTAATGTCAAATGTAAGAATGATTAATTTTTAGTGATTTGGAGCAGGAGACCAGTTATATTCTATTTCCTCCATATCAATTGTTCTGCAAAAAATACCAAATACTGAATTTTCATATTTTGCACATGAGCACCTTGGCATGAATGCAGAACACTCAAATTGGATGTTATTTTTTAGTGTTATTAAAGAGCAGCTCTTGTAATCAGCTCTAATAATCCTTGCATTTGGTATAGCACCTTATCACATGACTTTTTTGTGGGCAAACGTGGCAGTCAATTTGCCACGTCATTGTCCCACGAACAGCTATAGTGAGCGACCAATTTTATTTGGGAAATTGTTTGACAGGACACCAGGGCAAAAAACTCCTTTTTAAAATCATACCATGAGATCTTTAATATCCACATGGTCAGACAGACCGGACCTTGGTTTAACGTTTCATCCGAAGGCTGGCACCCCCAACAATACAGCACACCCGAATATTGCATTGGAGTGTCAGCAATAGACTATATGGGTTACAAATCTGGACATGGGGCTTGAACCCATAACCTTCTGACTTGGAGGTGAGAATGTTAACTGAGCCAAGCTGACACACTAATAACAAAAAGCAGTCTGTTCAAAGTTTCGTGGCTATCCAAGTTTATATTTTACAGTGCCAGTACCACAGCTCCATCTTAATTTATGTTCCCTGCAACCCATTTATATTGCATACATTTGGCAGCAAATCACTATCAAAACCATGGCAACTTGCAGTCAAGTTTGCAATATATACGAAGTATAAATCAAATGGTCAAATTCACGATCCTCAGGTTAAAACTTTGCTAGCTACTAATACTAGGTACGGTATTATTCTCTCTGATAAAGTATACACTTGGTATATTAATGGTAACTACTTTCTCTAGGGATCCTGAAATGATTGAAAGACAAAGTGCCATGACAATCACAACCACCAGATGGTATCTGTGCTTTTTTAGGATGCATAAAGAAAGCATGCCAGAGTCCTGATGATTATGAAAAAGACACATTTCGTGAGGGCGAGCTAAATACTATACTCTCAAGTTAGTTGGCTAAACAGCGAGATGGCCTCCGGCTGTGAAAGGTGCAATATAAATGTACATTGTATTGTATCACTCAATGTTGCATTTTCCACTGCAAATTATCCTATAAAGTATTTGAACTTGATTCTGTACATATGCATTTTCTGTCAGAAAGGTCACTCATTGAATAGAAAATAGGAATCGGAACAATTCTACCTAATATTAACCCAGAAGAGCTGAGGCAATTGTAATATGGCAATTACTACACTAGCTACGATCAGCCAATTCAGGACAAGGTTTGACCCAGAGAGCGATTTTCTAGTCTGTATGGCTCAGCTCCATAATGCACAGTACCAATACTACCTAGGCCAATGGGTTTATCACTTAATCAATATTTGATACATACTGTGGTAAAGGGCATATCAATTCTATCACTACTATAATCAGGTTCAATGAGAGTTCATTAAATGAGGTTAGAGGAAGATTAAGCGCCTTTTTTTAAAGAAGTACTCAATTGTGGCTGCAGCGAATGCCTGCCGTGTGCTAGCACCAGCGGAAGCCTGTAGACTTTTAAAGATAAATTAATCTCTCTTGCGAAAGCTATCAAACTTCTACGGGGATAGAAGGTTGAGGGGCAGCACACTGAAGTTTTGCCTAGGGCAGCAATTTGTCTTGAGCTGCTTCTGCCTGTTCAAGTAAATGTCAGATCCCGTAGCATTATTTGAAAAGAGAAAAGAATTTCTGCTTTCGTCCTGTCCCAACAATTCTCAGTTAAATTGGTCTTTCAATACATAGCTGTTTGTGGGACATTGCACTTTGCAGCAATTGCCTGCATTGCATTCTGAAACCGTTCAAAGTTATAGAAACTATATCAAATGAAAGGATTATGGTACCTATTCCGTTGATATCAGTGTACCCAAATGACTTTCATTCACAACTTAAATCCCAGAATCAAGGAAAATGATTTTTTATATTACTTTAACGTACCAAAACATCTCAAAGTGCTTCACAGTAATTAATGTCAAACATAGTTACTAACTGGCCATTCACGTGACAGTGGGAACACTGACAGTTTGTGGTGTGATCTGAAAGCAGACAGTATGCAGCTCCTTCTGAGAAGAGCTGCAACATATGACATGGAGATCCAATGCATAATGGAGGGAGCTGGGCCAAACAGAGGATAATGGAATAAATAGGGCCATTCAATTCTCACATCAAAGGGAAGGAGTGCAGCTGGGATGGCAAATTTGCATGCCCAATGGAAGATGTTAATCAGCAGGCAATACATGACTGACCTGGTTGAGATGGATTGAAAGTGGGGTGACATTAGATAGATGGCTTGCAGTAAACTTTGCCAAATCTTTATGAAAAAAATTAAGTCATAAAAAAGCAAGAAAAAGGTCAGATTCTAAACCCTAAGTAGATTTGCAAAATGTGAATAGTTTTACAGAGGTTTGTTGAAAATCAAGAATTCATGGTTTGTTAATAGTGAAACGCAAACAACCATAGAAATATGTGATTTCATTACATTTTTGGCGTAGGCTAAACAAATTGCAATCTTACTGTAACATTGGGGCGGAAATATTACACAATAACTTCTATTTATATAATGGCCTTCATGTAGTGACATCTTGGAGCACTTTCCAAGGTGGAGGGGCAAGGAATGCGCAAGAGGTCCAAGTTCGCCAAGTAGAGGGGCGAGCAGGATACTGAAAGTAGAAAAGATCAGCGGTAGGGAGGTGCAAAAGCGTGAAAGGATTTGTAGGTGAGAGTGAGGATCTAAGTCAATCCAGGCGAGGACAGGAATGATGGTCATATTTTTATATCCTTAGCTGCCCAAAAGACACTCTTTGAAAATGATTAGCTCATTTCCAAAAATACGTTTACATATTATATTCAGGAGGCATCTTAATTAAAAAAAATTACCCAGTACCAAATGTTTATCCAGGTTGAGATTCTCCCCATTTTTTTAATTCTTGGCAATGTATTCGATTTAAACTTGAGGAAGGTTGGAAAATCAATATACATATGTATATACCTTTTGAAGACATTCTGACTGGTGTCTGCTTTACATTTGTCCAGTTGTGAATACAAGCCTACTTATAAACCTTATCTTGGAGTGAATGAACACATTTTCAGTACCCAAAGCATTTTAATATCAAAATTTACCTTTTCACTTTATTGAAAAGGTACAGATTTTAAATGCAATCTTTAGAAAGTCTCCATGGCCAAAGAGCTAGTACTGTTGGGACCAAAGGAACATATTGCACATGTGCACAACAGTTTAAATATTTTCTTTGTGCATTAGTGATTATTATTCAAACACTGCTCAAATGGACACTGCTGTGCGCAATTGGCTGCCGTGTTTCGATCACAAAGTAGTCAATTCACTTTACAGTATACTCTGTGAAGCACTTTGAGACGTCTCGAAGACATGATAAAGCACTATATCAAATGCAAGGATTATTATCATTATACAGCCCACCACACCCTCTTCAACTCCCAAACCGAGGCTCGGGTGGCCAGATAGCAGCTTGGAGTGCTTTGATACGTGAAAGACACTCTAAATGCAAATTGTGTTGTGCTACACCATAAAATCATTATGGTGAATTTGTTTTCTGTACCCATGCTGCGGTCAAGACTGAAGCAGAAACAAATTTAACAAGATAAAATTATAGAAAAATAGATGAATATGTATTATGTACACATGTATGCAGTCTGGTGCTGTAATCCTTTGGTGCACTCATAGAATGCTGTGCCTCAATCTCTCTGCACACCCATGTTCAGATCATACCTGAAGATTCTTCGACTGTGCCTATGCTCACCTCGATTCTCTTCTTGGCTCGGCGTTAAGCTCCATCACCACTGTTAAGCGCTCTGAGAATGCAAGTTGTCGTTGTTGAAGTTGAGTATGGTTAATTATTCATTTCTGCTTGACCACGACAATTATTCAACAACTGCATTTATATAGTGCTTCCAACATAAGACGAATGTCTTGTGGGGCTTCTCAGAACAAATTCACAAAATGTGAGGCAACATGTTGGAGAGACGAGGGAAAACCTGGTGGAATAATAGTTCAACATGGACCATTCAGTTTCGGGATCAGGATTTAAATCTACCAGCAGAGTGACAGGATGATAGAAATTGGGTAGTCTCAACCCTCGAGGAAAAACATCAATCCAGTTACTGGAAAGTACAATACAGCACATCATTTTCCACTGAATAAGCCTCACTCTGTGCCTGTAGGAATAGTTAATATGGGAAGTGGAAATCTCAGAAAAGTTCTTAGTAGCACTAAGGAGCAGTGGCAGACTAGCAAAAGGGCTCAGGTTTGTCCGGTAAAATGGGGGCACCACCAATTCATGGTTGTGGGGAAGCATAAAACATCTACATGTTTAAAAAACTTGGAATGTCTGAAGTAGGTCTTATGGGATAATAAGTATCGGGAGCTATTCATAGGGGTACTCGGGAAATTGCCTGATTTGCCATGTACCCAGTCTACCATTGGTGGGGAGTGGTTTCCAGAGGTTGGAGTTGTTGGACATTATTGGGGAATTTAGAGCAAAGTACTTGACAATGTTTGATCCTCATAAAACCAACAAAATAAATTAATTCCTTTCTCCAGCACAAACTTGTTGAGAACAAAAGGTTTGTCAGTCAAACTGATGTACGGAATTGACATGTATCTTCATGGCCTGGTCAAGGTTGAGTTTACAAGCGGGCCTTCTTTGCACTCTGGGGTAACAACAAAATTGCATTTGTATAGCACCTTTCACTTTGGGAGGACGTCCAAAGATGCTGGACAGACAGAGTTTCGAATCCAAGCTGGAGTTCGGGGAGAGTGGAGAGCGCAAGGGTAGGGGAAGCAGGGAGATCGAAAGCATGGTCGAAGAGGAGGGTCTTGAGATGGATCTTGAAGGTGGCAAGCGAGGGGGAGGGACTGCAGGATGGAGTTCCAGAGGGTGGGGGCAGAATGGCAGAAGGCCCGCCCGCCAATAGTGGGGCGAAGGTGAGGACCAGGATCTTTAACTGTATTCTCTGTGTGATGGGAAGCCAGTGGAGTTGGGCAAGGATGGGGGTGATAGGGTTGTGGAGCCTAGTGTGGGAGAGGACACGGGCCGCAGAGTTCTGGATGATCAGCAGCCTGTGGAGGTCGGAGTTGGGGAGGCCGACAAGCAATAAGTTTGCATAGTTGAGCCTCGATGTAATGAAAGTGTGTATGAGGGTTTCGGCGGCCTGTGATGTGAGACAATGGTACAGCTATGTTGGGGAGGTGGGGAAAGGCAGAGCAGGTCATGGTGCAGATGTGGAGTAGAAAGGATAGTTGTGGGTCATACAAGACTCCAAGGATCCGGACTGGCTTATCAAGATAGTTTCCAACCGTGGATGGTGATGCTGTCAGCGCCTGAAGAACTACAAAGAACAAGATTTAAAATAAACACTACACAGAAAACACGTTATTCACTCTATAAGACTGCAGACATAATTTGTTATTAAACAAAAAAAGTTTATTATTAATTATACAATGCTAGGTACATTGCTCATTTCTCATGATGCAGCTTATTCCACAGGGAATGTCGAGAGCTATAAAACGTGTCGCCTTCTCTGGCAGCTGCCAAATGCGCAAACAGTGATTTGTGTAAAAATTTGGTTTTACTTCAAAACTAGAGGACTCTTGTAAACCAGGTACCTATGTAGCATCAATTAAAAATGTATGTAAAAATCTCAACATTTCCATGCTACAAAAAAATGTATTATGATATTGGCACTTTTGACATTTGACAACCTAATACATCCTACAACACACAGGTATACCTTCAAATGACAATTTTGGCAAACTACATCAGTACCTGAAATGCAAGCCAAAAATATGGCAATTTCTACACTAATTTTCTGCAAAGAGTACACTTTGTACCCTGTAACATCAAAGAGCAATGCAAGAAAACATCAAATGCATGGAATGTTTGCAAGTCAAAACATCAAAGGGGGTAAAATATCCAAAAATAATTTTACAACAAAATTAAGTAAGGGTGTGTCCCCTCTCTTTGAGTTTACTACCGTTCTGTGTCCTATGTAAAAAATAATTTTAAACTATTTTACTACTTTTATACAATCACTATATGCAGGAAGAAAAACTATCACTTTATAATGTAAGTTAGAGCATTTTACAGTTTTGTACAATACAAAGAGAAGTCAAGAAACAGTAGATGTGGGTTTTTAAGCTTAGTGTAATTTTTATATTATGGTAGTTGGTGAATGTAATGTTTGTATGGGTTTACTTTGTAATTACTGAGTTGGACCATGACACTTACCATATATTTAAAAGGACCAGTCACTAATGGTATCAAAAGTACACATACGGGTTTAGTTAGAAAACTGCACTTTCATTTTAAGAATGTAAGCAAATAAGCCCTAAATGAAACTGGTAAAACAAAGTCAACTCTCGTCTGGAAAGCATTTAGAAACCTAGTGACCAAATGACACAAGGGTTTAACCTTGGTGCCATGCTAGCATTCAGAATTACTGTGACATTCAGGATAATATGTATAATACCTTCGGTAACTTGATTACCATACTTTGATGAAAACTATCAATACACATTTTACTTGGACCTTGTTTGGTAAATTCTCAGTGTAAGTGCAAAATGGATACCAGTATCAATTAAAGATAATGAAACAAATATACGTACCGCTATAGAAACTATATTTAGTTAGGTAGGTCACTTGCCTGCAAAGTGTATACATACAATAAAGATCCATAAGAAATGCTGGAAAAGTCAGCATAAAATTAAATTCAGCTGATGCGCTTAAGGCCATCAATATCAATGTTCTAGTGAGAGCGGAAGATATCTCCAATTAAACTGAATGGAATTAGCACTGTAAAAGTGACCGACCATGTCCTAAAATCTAAATTTTAACTACAGAATGATAAAATAAAAGGGTGCTCTTATGGAGTTCCTGCTCTATATGAATTCCCTTTGAACGGAAATAAGCACATAAGGCTCAAAATACAATAATCCTATAACGTATCCTTATTTCAGTTTATAACAGCTGTTAGGTTTTTAGAAAAAGAGATCAATCCTTGTCTCTTCATTTATCAATTTAACAAAGGTGCAACTGAAACAAAATAGTGCTTCCTAAGCTCACATTGGCAGGTCAGTACTATTATGTCGTGTTTTTCTTGCTGTTCCATCATCTCTTGGCAGTGCTTTCTGCAAGTTTGACATAGCAGCAGTCTTTTCTATGTCTATCATAGCATATAAATCTGTTCGCCTTGTCGGAGTCTGTGGAAGTGGAGTTGTTGGCGTTTTTGGAGTCTGTGGGTTATCAGAATCACTACCACCTTCCAAGTCAACTTGGATGTAGTTCAGCTGTCTATGTTCTAGACTTGGTCGCCTAACATCAAAATTAAAAACAGTTGGGGAGCAATCCCGTTGCCGTACAAATTCAACTTTGTGTACGTTAGGCTGAACAGTAACATTCTCTGTATTGACATAATTATGCATTTGATCAAGATTTGTATGATAACCATTCTGAGAAGGCGTCTTTGGTCCCAAGCTATCTTCTTCATCTCTGCTTTGTTTGCGGACTTCCCACACTGGAGGCAAAGAAGGCAGGTTTTCATAATTTAAGAGTGCAGTCCTCCTTTGAGCAGAATTGTTGATATTCTGAGGGTCTGAAACGCTATTTGATTTTAATCTACCTCGTCTGCCTCCAATGGTAGGTGGGACCGACAGACCGTTAAAATTTTCATACACAAGTTTATTATTAGGAGGTGCCTCCTTTCGCTCATCACTGTCGTAGCCAGTGTCCCAATCAGTGCAATTGGTGCCGTTGCCAGCACATGGCTGCTCACTTCCATTGGTCTCCTCACTCTCCCTTTCCAATAACTGCCTTTGAACGGGTGTTGGTCCCAAGACAAATTTAATTCCTTCAGGTTCAAAGACAACCTGGGGATTTCGATCTTCCATGGAGCAGCAGTGATTCCCTCGTGCCTTGTTGACATCACCGTTTAAAGGTCTGAGTTCTATCGATGTCTGTGCACTGGATCGATTCTTCAATTCTTCATGCACACCAGAAGTATTGACGTATGTATGGACCTGTAAAGAGATTAAACATTTTGTTAAAGTTGTGAACTAGAACCATAAGCAGAACTAGAAATGCAATAAAAGTTTATCTGAAAAAGTAAATTCAGATTATTTTCTACATAACAGAGTGGAAGAAAACAGTGGAAAACAGTTGGATTCACTGATAGTGGCCCAGAGTCACTGATAAGGAATCCTGTCAGTAACTGGCAACACAGCAGACTTGTGGAAATCCATTTCACACCGTCCGGCATGGAGGGCGCTATATAAATCCAAGTTGATGTTGTTTCCAATGTTTCAGAACCAGGATCCTGTGGCATACTGCCAGTTCATAATGGAGTTATTATTGGCGAATTGTGTTGTGAATCGTTGTTTTTAAATCCCAACATCGTATTGATAAAAGATATGCCCCTTACTCACTCTTTGTGCTTCGGTTATTCAAGTGTATTCTCAACACAATGCAAAGCACACCTTATTTTTAAAAGTTTAAATACTAAAATAAACTTTACACATTAAACATAACTGATATGTCTAAATATTCTTTTTTTAACGCTACAAAAAAACACTATTATATTGCTATTTTAAATGCAGTAATGTTTGATTGTGATAAAATTATGCACTGGAGGCCACAAATTGCAGAACACCACCCAATTTGTTCCAAAAAAATGAAGCACTCTGCTTACTTGTTCCTCTGATACAATTAGAGGATGTGTTGATTCTTCATCCACTGAGGGCAGGCGTGCACTGCCGACAGATGGATGTCTTGTTGAAGGATGAGACGATCCATCTCCAAATGATGGGTATCTAGGATATCCATTTGGTAAAATTGGTTGAACCAAACCTGGAGCTAAATGAAAGAAAACACAATTTGCAGAGACAGTTGTAGCCTTTGCACACAGCTTTGGATGATGTAGTTACGGGAGGAGGAGGAGGAGGAGGAGGAGGGAGAGAGGTGGGGGATCTACAGCTAACTTGGTCCTCAAAATGAGAAGTTTGTTGAAGCATAATACATTTTCTACATAAACACGTCTACATAAATAATACTTACTGGGAGGTGTCTGTGGAGTCCTGGGAACATCCAACTCATTATGATGGTCGTGTCTTTCCACAACTGGCTCCTCTACAACACTTATACTGTTACACTGCATGATATCCTGTAACAGGTTGAATATCTCTTCTGCTCGAGCACACTTGAAAGCAAAGATCCCTAAAGAATGCAATGGATATATGTAATCACCAACATAAGAGGTTCTGAAATGTCCATGTCAAATGTAATTACGTCAATCACCTATAAACGCTTCAGTAACAGATTTCTTCCTTCTAGAAATTGAATACAACTCAAATATCGCTATTCTTCTGCTCTTGCAAGTTACAGACTTTTAAAAGTGGTTCACCATCAACACACAAGAGAAGGGACTATTTGGGCTACAAGCAGTTGACAAGTTTCCAACAGAAAGAAAATAAAAACACTGACTACATGACATATAGGAGGGGAAAACACTGCTGTTCATTCAAACAAACAACTCTGGTCAGCCCCCAAAGGGATTACACACAGTTCAAGAGGACAGCCAGCAACACCAGTTGCTTCCCCAGTATTGTGCCTCTTTTCAATGAACAGCAGAGGGAGCTTGACTTACCATTGCAAGCATAGTCAGATAGACATCAGTAACGTCCACCATTCCCAGTTTTTGGCTTATTCTTCCATTGTAAGCATTAAGTTAGAGTTGACATTCTTGTTAATCGTTTAATAGTTAAATCAATCTTTTAAGAAATGTTATAGAACTGTCATAATATGTTTCACTATAACGTGGGTTCACTTGTGCCCTGGAGACCGGCATCTATCTCATGGTTATATAAACAGATGGCACTACATGTTATGCTTTTACAAGTTAAAAGTCTAAGATTTTGAAATAATAACAGACAGCATCCTTCTTAACCTCCTACACCAATGCATTTCAAAGCAAATTATATGTAGTATCAACATAACTTCAGTTGTGGATATAAATATAAAAATACCTTGGAAGTTATTTAAACCTATTTTTGAAACTAAAGAATTAAATGCAGTATTGCAATAGTGAACAATGCAGTGCATACCCACTTGATATCTTTTGTTGGCCCATAAAACACACCGTCACTACACTTTACCCTACAACCTGTCAAGCGCTTAGAGACGTCCTCCCAAAGTAAAAGGCGCTGTACCAACGTAAGGATCATTTTTACCACAATGTAAAGTGAACCATGATTGTGAATAATAAATTATGAGTGAAAATACACCTTATAATTACTGAAACTAATAGGACGCGTTGTACCAAAGTTTAACAAAGCTACAATATTTCTGAACAGAAAGATCTTATGAATTTGACTACTGAAACATAACTTTGTGCAGCATTTTTCTACCTCTCAAGTTTTTAAAGTCAGATACATACCTTGTCCAGTTTGACATCGCCGACCACTTTCAAAAGAGAAAAGGTTAGAATCATAACCATAGCGACGCAGGCAGAGGTAGGGCCATTTTACCTCATCTCTCTTTCTCGTGTGTAAAATCAGTTCCGTATCTGTAAGTTCCATTATGCCAGAACCCAGCTCATTACCATCATCATCCACATTAATTACCTGCAAAAATAAATGCATTCACTATTAGTATTTAGTTAAGAAAGAGCTTGCCTTTTTGTAGCCACTATAACGTCCAAGCACCTAAAACAGTAGTCAAGCACCATTTGCAAAATTTATGGAACTTCAAAAGCAACACAGTATTTTGATAAATTATAATTTTACTCAACATCCCTCAAAGAGTAATTTAGAAAAGTGTATAACCAGAAGCCATGCAAAGAAACTGATAACGTACCTAAAATATCATTCTACTGTAAACACTAGGAGCAATGATTAAGCGATTGATGCCTGGCTTTGTAGAGGGTCTCCCCCCCCCCACCCCGATCTAACCAGATTTCTGCCCCATCCTTAATCGTAGAAACTGTGTGTACACTATTGAACATAGTTAAACAGACTATTGCTATTACACATCTGCTCTGCAGAAGCCATTTTGGAAAACAGAATTAACAGTGACAAAGGATCCAATAATTGCCAGATTGTAGCAACTGACACTGATATCACCAGTTGCTGCTTGCCCAATTTCAATTGGGTCACAAGTGCAGATAGATTGCTGACTGTTTGGGTCAAAGATTAATCCCCTTTGTAGCTTGGCAACTACATTTTCATATTATTTTAACCCAGACTTCAGATATGATTCCCTCTTTCTATTTACCACTATGCTCATGATATTCCCACACAGATTATAGTAGTTTTACCAACAGCCAGGAGCAAGTTTGCCTGAATTTCAACAGCAAACCTAAAAGTTGTTTCATCAGTCTTTATAAAAACTGACAGGAAGGGAGAAAAATATTTTGAATCTCTATTCTTTCGGGTGCATTCATCAGGTTAGTAAACAGAAAAACATTGTACCTTAAATTTTGTTTGATGGTCATCTGGGATTGTGTCTTTATCTGGACAGCTACAGCAGCTACCCATGACTTCTTCAGAAGACCATTTGATCTCTAAAATGAAACATTTCAAAACATTAATTTTAACAAAAAGCTGTTTGCTAACTTGACCTTCATTTTACTGGAATACTCCAGGGAAGGCTGACAAAAAAAAACTTATTTTTGAGCTATGATCTGGGACCTTACTCAGCGCTAAAATCAGAAAGCATGGATTCAGTCTCCAAGAGTACAGTAACACACCAAACAAGGATGGGGTTTGCCTAATGGCTACATCAATCAAAATACATACACAGTCATTGGTGAATTAAAAAACAAAACTTTGAAACACCGAAGTTCCACGTTTTACTCAAGGGACACTGGATAAGTGAAAATTTAGAAAATAAGGTGGGGTTTTTTTGGGAGGGGAGAGGAGTCTTCATTGGAGTATTCCAAATTGAATGAAAAATATAATGACGACAACAACAACATTTTTATTTAAAACATTCACATCTAAGCCAGATTTTAACGTTCATTGTAAAGTACTCTATGCTGATAAAACTTATAGAAATATAAAAGAGCTACAGGTGCAAAGCAGTTCAATGAACTCTGACGTTAACCGGTTTCCAAATTAGAAGAAATTTACTGAAAGATGACATATCTAGCAGGTCCCTTTCCAGCTGAAGGAGCAATGAGATTAATATCTTTCCTCCTGGCATTGAACAACAGATCAAAGTCTCTGTACCAGCTGGGGCACTCTTCTCAGTAGCCAGGAGCTATTGATATGCTCTTTAAGATCACGACAAGAATCTAATAGCACAGATAGAAAAAAACATCACTTTCTTTCAGGAGATTCAACAAGTTTGTTTTAGGGCTGTAACAAGGTACATGTTCCTTGGGGTGGATATCATTATATTTTATGGCAAATATTTTTAGGAGGGGAAAAGATTTTAAGCTTTTCAGATAAGAGATTTCTATTACAGGACCGCTCTGAAGGTGGGCAAATTTAGTTGGTCAAAAAACCTGAATGAACAACAGGAAATTACTTAAGAGTTTTTCAGCTGAGTACAAATTCACACCCGTCTCTAATTAAAAGTGATATCTGTTTCTGAAAAAAATATAATTAAGGCAGAACTGATGTTCAAAGTTTAATTGACACCAATGTGTTCAAACCAAGATCTTTACATATATTGCCTCAGTGTTTTAATGTGAAAGTGTAAAGCTCAATCAATTTTGTGCAAACATTCGTCGCCTGAATAACTGAAGTTTACACACTACAATTAGATTTTGCTGTTGAAAAGGAACAGTATTAAATAACACTTTCCATAATAATATGTCCACTGTGAACACGAGGAAAGATTGATGTCATAATCACACAGGTGTCAAGGGGAAAAAAGGACCAATTAAGGTGAGCATCTTTGGTGGGTAAAGATACACACATCCAGCATTTTTAATTTCAATTGTATCAAAACACGTTTGTTTTCGTAGAAAAAGTAGGAAACTACCAAACCTATTTCTCTTTTCTCAAAAACCTAAAGAAATAAGGAAGGTATTCCTCCGTCTCCCCAGATTTGCTTAAACTACTTTCAAATTCTGGATAGGATTGAAAGACCGATTGGCCTCCTAAATTGTAACTTCCATTGATTCTGGTTATCGTCTCTAGCTATCTGACTATTCCTGGTTGTGACTGCAATTTCCTTAGGCCTTTATACCTGGAACTCACCATTAGTGGGCACTCCATTGAAAAGAAAGTCTGATGCCAATTAAGTACTGTCCCACATTAGCTTTCTTTTCGACCATTCATGTGTACAGCACTAGATAACAAACTATTGCAACTATAAACGTTTTCTGATCTGTATGGACTTTTCACCCTTCTGTCCTGTAGTTCACTGCATTAATCCATTAATAACCTATAGACCCGCAAATTCACAAAGGCAAGAGACAACCTTTGTAGCTAATATTGTTACAGTCAACCCTAAAATCCTACTGATATGTCAAGGAACGACATACAATGATGGACTCAAATCCTGAGTTTGTATTTTGGGCAAAATTCTCCCAAGAATTTGGATAATAGCTATTACACATCACTCCTGATGGCAAATGGTTCATGCAACCTATAGGAGGCCAGTGAAAACGGCTCTGGTGATCCACGTTGTGAATTTTTGTTGACTTGGCATAAAATTTACTTTACACTTCAATGCTATAGAACCAAAATGTGTGCCCTTTTGGCTAAATCGATGTAGTTGTACTTCACAAACGTCTCAATGGTGAGAGGGATGATCAAGAAGGTGGATACTGCCAGGAGAAGGTACGAAACTGGGCGTTCAAGGGGGAGGTGAAAATGTGCTCTTAAAAAGGAATAGCTGGCTCAGTGGGTAAATGCAATACCTGATGTGGCTTTGAATCAGTCACACGTGCCAGGTACCAGGCTTAATCTCTAGTATCTGCTGTTTGTTGATCTCATTGGGATGGGGGTGATGGTAGTGGGGGAAGAGAAGAGTTCCATAATTGCTCAGAACAAGAATTCTCACTTTGAATATAAATATATGTTCTGCAAATGTTGTAAATATCAGTAAAAAGTTGGCTCTAAAACAAGGCTCTGTACAGCGCAATATACTATAGTGAAGAGCAAAAGTAAAACCAGATTAGACGACCAAGTTTGACACTGAACAGAACAGGTCAAAAGGTTGCAAGATGACCTCAGATCAATAGGATCCACTGCAGCTCAAAAGAAGAAGAAAACATTTATAAGACAAATGGCTGTTCTCAACAGAAATTGAGTGATGTGGGAGTGCAGTAGAAAATAATCTGGAGATGAAGCTCTTGAATAGGAAAACCTGCATTCTATTTCAACAGTGAAGTAGCATTCAATCCAACTGCTGATATTTTAATATTTGGTTCTTCTGACATTGAACATTAAAATGAAAAGTTCAAAATATCATGACTAAGAAATGAAGGCTCAAACACAGAGAGGCATTTCGGCACGTGTCAATCTCCCAAATGAAAACAAAATTGCATTCATGTAGCATCCTTCATGTAGTGTCTCAAAGCAATTTATACAGACAAGGGGTAGGAGAAAGTAGGCATGGTCAAAGACATAGGTTTTTAGGTGACTTTCGAACATAGTTAATGAGGGGCAGGACGAAAGAAGTTTCAGAAAGGTGGAGGAATAGTGGCTGAAAGCGATGGTGGGATGAAGGGAGAGGGGCATGGGACCTGAGTTGCCGAACAAAAGGGCAAAGCAGAAAATGAGGTTGGAAAAGAACAGAGGTAGGGAGGTGTGAAAGCGAGAAGGCATTTGTAGGTGAAGATTATGAAAACAATTCTGTAAAAATAAAATTGCTGGATGTTAAAATTGATATTTTTGAAACCAGATCAACCTGAATGCTAGCCCAAATCATTATCAATTCACTTACCCAGAGCTGGCCATTAGAGTCAATGCCCTCTGTCGCTTTGTTAGTGTCATGAATACGGTCATATTTCAAAACATCTCACGTCATTGCTGCACTGCCACCTGTGTTTGCAACCAAACAGAAACACAAATTATTGAACAGCCAAAGCTGATGTGCAACATTCTACACAACTATTTGCAGCTTTATATAGTTCCAACTGAGATCTACTTTTCTCCACTCCTAAAATAAAATTCTTACAATACTCAAATAAACATGAACATGTCGGTCATTCATTTATAGCTCAATTCCTTCAAATTTATCTTCAGAAATTGATTTAGGAATCAATTGATTAAATTTGTGTTCTTGAAAGATTTCGGGGAAATGCTGCAGAATGAACCATTTCATTCTTATTACAGCATTAAGGACAGTTTACACCAATTTGATATTGCAGCTAATCAGAACCCATAATGTGCTTTCATCTCAAACATACTCATAACTCACCTGCAAGCAGCTTTATAGTAGCTGCCACAACAATCCATTGTCTATTGACAACAGATAGCAGTGTTGTGGTCTACTGAAACTCATTTTGACTTTGGACTATTAACCGTTATCAGAGAGAGCGAGATATTCATCCCATTATTCTCTTTCATTCAAAGATAGAGATCACAAGTTCTTTGTTCCAATCCACTGTAGTATTGCCACCAATAATTACAGTAAAACCTATGCTATGAGCTACCTGGTAACTTGCCAAATAGCACGCTATAACAAAGTGCAAGACACTGGTTTTCTGTACATGTTCTAACCAGTATGTGCTTAACCAGGAATCAAAAGAACTGTTAATAATGCTTATTTTGCATTATTTCAGTGTTATTACGCAAGTCACATTAATAATACTTAAAAGGCACAGAGATTGGGTAGAAGACAGAATGTAATTGATGAACTAGAGAAGAAATTGTGTTGAAACGGTAGAGAAGTAAAACTGTACCAACATTTAGTATTTAGTGTCTGAATCTTTGAAATAACCACTTAAAAATGAAACTGATAGAATTTAGGATGACCAGACAAATTTAAAATGGCATGACAGAAATTTTGTATGACAATCACAGTTCTGACATTGCTGAGTATTACAGAATTTTGTTAATGTCATTTTAATTCTTTGGTATACAATTTCTAGCCAAAGTTGCTTAAAATTAAGGTTAACTTGTGCATACTCCAGTCAAAAATTAGGCATCAAGTTTAGTTTCATTATATTGATTTTAAGCAGCTCAGGATAGTAGAACAGGATAACAAAATGAACGCACACATACCACGCAAAATGCAACCTGGCCCAAACTCACAAGGGCAAAATCTACCAGGATCAATTGAATTATACAATTTTACAGAAGAACATCATTATAATGCACTTTGTTTTAATGGAGGTTTACTTCAACAACAACAAGTTGCATTTATATAGCATCCATTGGAGCGCTTCGAATCCTGAAAAATGACAGATGACTGCATCCAGCAACAACAGCAGCAAATTACATTTGTAGAGCAATTTTCAAGTCAGGAGGACGTCCCTAAGTGCTGGAAGCTCACTAAAAAAAATGCCAACTTCCAGGTCATCAGTGACCATTAACATTACTTCCGTATGAAATGATATTGGCGACTGCCTGATTGACCGACTTCTGGTTTATTGGATGGATCGCTGATTTTACTGCCTGTATGTTGAGCTTGCACAGCATACAGGAAGAAGTCGGTGTCAACCCAATGACCTAGAAAGTATCCATGTTTTAGCAAGGGAAGTGAGCTGCTATGCAGAAGCTATGAATGCATGTGCTGTGAATGCGGAAGCATTATCTGAAAACTATGCCCCGTAATAATGTTGGTTGGGATTTTATGGGCCCCAAACGCCGAGTTACAACGACTCTCTCCTACATTTTCACTTAGGGTTTCACAGATTTCAGAATACCTAAAGTGTCCAAACAATTGTATTACATTAGTCAACTATAATAGATTTGACATCATGTCTCTATATACATTCTTTCATTCAAGGCATTTGTACGCTTGCCGTTCTTGCTATGAAAATAAGTTACTTTTGATCCCACATATGATCAAACATTCAACAATTTTCCTCAACAATTTTTCCTCTTACAAGTTCTCTTGGTGTCTTGACATTTGCTACTCCAGTTTCACAGGCAATAGTTCTCTAGTACCTTGTCTGAATGCCCAAAACTCATCTCACATACACCTCACATACATAAATAGGCTACTGGGGGAGGGGAGAGAGAGAAGTGGGGTGGACACAAGATACATTGGAGTTTGATTCTACCCACAAACCGACTTTTCTACAAGAAAATAAAGTATATTCTGTCAAGGACTTTGAGACGTATCGAAGACGTGATAAGGCACTATCAAATGCAAGCAATATTATAATTATTATTAAGAATTACCGAATTCTAATCTTGATTGGAAACTTTGGCTGGTGTGTACTGTTGAATTATTTAGATTCAATCTGCTCCTCAAATTTGTGATGGAACAGTTTACATGAACCTGGGATTCTGTCGCCTTTAGCCATTGCTAAACATTCAAACTGCTTCTGGATTAAATCCAAGTAAGTTAGATCTTGTAGACTGTATGTGATTTTAGTTTAATTGACGATTATTTTATTAAAAAGGCTGATGAAGCTCTAAAGATAGATATGAATTACCCAATTTCATAAGTTGCTGAAAGCAGGTTGCTCATAAGCTAATAAGGTTACACTATCCAAACAACTTCTACAACAACTTGGATTTATATAGCGCCCTCCACGCCGGACGGCGTCTCAGAGCATTTTACAGTAACGGATCCCGTTCTATGATTCTGATATATTTATCTCACCTAGATTTCTGAACATATTTAAGGATTATATTATATATTACTTTACCTGGAATTCCTTCAGATAGAATCACTCCACCCCCTCCATCCCACACATGCATTTATAGCAATTCCTTTTGATGAGTAAATGCTCATTAAACCACACCTTCCCTCTGGCAAATGTTCTGAGCACAACTCATTTAACATTTTTGGGCAATGGATCAGTCGGAATAGTTGAGGCTAGTAACTATTTGTTTGTACTGGACTAGTCTTCCTGAGACATTTGCAATAAACACACATCAATTTAATTAGGAAGGGAGAGAAAGAAAATTAGAGAACAAGGAAATTCTTTACCTTTATACAGTACCATGCAGAAATAGTTGACAATGGATTTTTCTGTTGCAATACAAAAATGTGTTGAGCACTGCTGCAATTGTGTGCATTTTCTCCAGCAATCTATTGCGCGATATTACACCAGAATCCTTCTCACATATTCATTCTTCAGGGACAGCTGTCAACTGCTTCATCAATCCAACACACTGTCATCGTCTTAAAACCATTAGAAATGTTACTGTTTTGAAGGAAATAACTGAACACAGAATGGCAAAATACACAATGGGAAGATAACAACCCCACCAGAATATACAAGAAATTCCTCAATCAGGAGCACAACATTCTTTTTGTTTGATGCTCTAAACTTTCTTTTTTTTTGTAAATCAACCCTTAAACAAAGTTGCTACGGTTCGAATTTCAACTATAGTTTTGGTATTGTTTTAACATACCAGAAGCCTTAAGACTGTTGCAGTTTGTTCAGCTCAACATAACCTTGTGCATGCAAATTGCACAATTCTGCAGTAATTTTCTCAGTTGAATAGCCAACCTATTCATGATATCCTGACTTCCCCTCTTCTCTTGCCAGTTTTCGTTTCATATTTCCCCCAACACTACATAATAATCCAAGGTTTATAACAATGTAAAGACTCTGGCCCACAAGAAAGGAGGTGAAAAGACAGTTCAGATTTAATTACTTTACACAGAGAGTGGTCAATATTTGGAAAAGACAGCCTGTGGAGGGTATATTAATGGGCAAGTGAATGTTCCCACAGCCTCGTCCACGTTACATCATCCTGTTTCAGAAAATGATGGCAAATTGTTTTCAGGCAACACAAGCAATAACACAAGAGCAGGAGAAACTCCATGTAAAGCTTTACCACTCGTGTACTCTACAGGTGTCTTAGTCTATGCAGAATGCTGAGGTGCAGCCCCTAGTTTCCTTATGAAGACAGGGAAGAAGTCATCTTCAGGACGAGCAATTGTGATGTTGCTCCAGATAGATGTCCGTCCACAAGAACAAGGGAGCAGGCCAACAAATTGAGCTAAAATATTCCATCAATGGGAAGATACAGTCAATTCAGAAGTTTCCCCTACCTCAATTTTTCCAGCCATCCTCTTCATTTGTTTACTCCAGGGCAGTCTAGATGGAGCTGAACATTTTTAACTTTCTATCCTCGTGGGATAATCTTGACAATTTTTATTCAGCAAAATTATCATTTTAGCTCTCTCTGCACTTGATAAGAGTTCAGTAAAAGTAGTTTTGAATAAGGGAAGAGTACGAACAAAAAAAAATTGTTAAGCAATCTGGGACGCTGCCCTGAGTGAGCGACGCTATATAATTGCAAGTTGTTGTTTTAAACAGACGACAACAATTTGCATTTATATAGCGCCCCTCAAACATGGTAGCATCCCAGAGTGCTTAAAGTACGCAGACGGGACCTCAAGAGACCAAAGATCAACAATATTATTTCCAGCAGAATGATGCACAGGATAAAGAGCAATAAGTTGTGGAGGAGAAAACATTGTTACTCCTTGCTGACACAAATGAATGCTGCCTAATAAAACAGCCATCATATTCGACAGCGATAACTTATGATGAGCCTTGAGGTGTTTCAACATAAAAGGCTCTAAAAATTTACTTAATTGAAAAACGCAAATGCTTGCCATATCAAGCCACATAATACAACACGATCCATAATTAAATTCAATTGTAGAAGGGACTTATACTTGGACAAATTCAAACTTTAATACAATACTGGGATTCAAATGCCTAGCTCTTAAACTACAGTTGGGTCTAAAACAACATACCTCAGACCATGCTTCCTCCAAGGAAGGAGAGAAACTCATCAACCCCCATGCAGGACTAGTGGTCTCAATAGGTGGTCTGCTTTTGAAGATTAGGCTGAGACAGTTGTTATACAACCTCAGAGAGATTAGTTTCAGCCCACAATTC